AGCAATCTTTAGGGCCCTCACAAGCAACAAATTTTTTTTTTTTAAAGATCCCGATTTAGGACTTTATTATTATTTTTTTTTTTTTTATTTTTTTTTTGTGAAAGGTTACAATTTTGCCAAATAGATGAATAAAAAAAATAGTTTTGTTGCTTGTGAGGGCCCTTATACACCTATAAAGAGTAAGCCCAAATTTGTCTTTTTTACCAGTCTTGTAGTACAGCTGAATTCCAGGTGGATCAGATGCATGTCCTAATTCTACTGTTTTCAAAACACTTAAGGCCTGTTTCCATGCCAGCTTATCAGATAATGTTCTAGCCGATTTTGAACACTTTAATAGGCCAAATGACAGGAAAAGAGACATGAGAGTAGGAAGCAGTTTATCAGGCGAGGGTACTTTTCTTCTTACACGCTTTAGTATCCAAGTTCTATCGTATTTGAGTTTGTTATCCCAAGAAAGGCCGTTTGTTTCTAAAGCCTTTTTGACAATATCTTGGTCTTCTTCATCCATGATAAAAAGACTTCCACTGAATCTTCGAACGAACTCTTTGTATAAGGTATGTCTCTTGTAAGGCTTGATCATGTCCATCAAATGAAATATGTCTTTAACAACTCTTGTGTAAATAATAGACGAGTCTGAATCTCCTTGGTTTTTCACAATACTCAGAAACATCTTGTATCCAAAGATAAAGTTATCGTTATCTACCATACTCAAATTGTCTTCTGGGAAAAGGGCTCCAAATGCTTCGTTGGCTTCATTAGCTTCGGTAGATTCGTTGACTCTATTGGCTTCAGATTTTACTCTATCGCCAGCATTCTGACGAACTGATTCTAATCCAATTTCTCCATTAGATAAACTTGTTACTGTATCAGTAGCAAGAACTTTGGCCTCGGTTTCTGTTACGAGATCTATCTTTAAAACTACCAAGTTAAATGGTGTTGGACCAAAAGAATCTAAAGATGGGCCATTTGTTGGACCAATTTCTTGCCCAGGAAAAAATGCAGGAACTTGTACGCGGATAACGTTGATGTTAACAATGTCCGAGTCTTTACATAGCTTATAATATGGCCATATGCAACAGCTTTTTTGCTGTTTCGAGGATTCAAAGAAACATAGGTGCCTGGGACATAGTTTCTTGCAACAATACGCGTACCAATTTCAGACAAGTTCTTTACCTTGTTATAAATTTCTAGACTTGCCCAGGCATCAATGGCGGCGTACTGGATCTGCTCCGATGACAATTCAGACGTACTCCATTCGGACAATCGCTCATCTTTAAGGATTTTCGGTCCAAGAATTCGAAAAGAAATTTCAGCAAGAGACATCTGACCACTAGGAATACATTTTCTTGAAGAACAGAAAGATCCTAACTCTAGAGCACCCCGACAGGTCATTCGGTACTCCGTATTAATTCTACCAAGGTCACCTCCAACCTGTCTGCCGACTTTTTAAATGTTTGAATCTCTCAAAAAAGCTTGCAAATATATCGGGATATCCCTCCATGATCTGTCAATATGGAATACAAAGACCTTGTTTTTGTATGCAATTTGCATCACATCCACCTTGCTATCTGAGGAAAACGGCATCCACTTGCAGTCGAATCCGGTCGCTTTGTCAGATTCATTTTTTATACATTCAAGCAAGTCTTTAACATGTCGATCGATTTCATTTAAATTACGGACAACGTATACAACTTCAACGTCCTGGGGAAGATTCAAAGAGTCTTGGTTTTCATCGGTGCTCAATATTTCCATATTTGATCTAAGTTGAACTTTTTCCTTGAGTGAATCAAAAATGCTTTCCAAGAAACTCTTGTCGCCTTTCACATTATCAGTAAAGAATACAATAGGCATTTCATGTCCGTAAAGACTATACGCCTCGCGCATCTTTTGAAAAGAATAACGAAGATAAGACAATGCCTTTGATGGAGCTAGGACTTGTTGTACTATCTCTTCGTATTCATTTGTTACCGTGTATAAACCAGTAAAAACACTCGTATCTTCAATCTTCCCCTGAATTGTTTTCTTCATTTGAGAACCAGAATCAATATGCAGGTTGTGTGCCTATAGATACTTATTTTCGTACTCTGTACACTGCAATGATTGAAACCCTTCGTCCAAAGATGGACAAGCACATGATGCTTTTGGATGGCAAAGTTTTAAAGGGTGATCATTCGGTTAAGTTTCCAAAACACATGGCAAAGATCGAGAGAAGTATCTAGCAACACCATTTCTTTTTCTGAAAGTCGAAATTAAATACTGAAGTTCAAGGCGATTATGACGAATATGGTGCAGTTCAAGAAGAATTTTTTGAAATCTCTTAGGTCCAACAGAGTTCTGTATACATGGTCTCAGTAGATCTCCAACAGTCTTAGACACACCTCCTTTGTGGGTTAACACAGCAGGAAATTCCATCTGAAGTTCATAGGGAAGTTGGCTTATAATCGAATCGCTATGACCATTGAAGGTTTTTCCACATCTGGGAGAAAGACATCGGTATCTTATTGACATAAGATAAAAGCAGCTATAAGAACATATTAGAGTGATCACTTTATTGTTAAGTTATTTATATTGTTTTTTTTACCTTTGGAGATCAGCAATTCTTCTAGCGTGAGGTAGCTTGTTGTATCCTTTTGTTTCGATCTTTGAATCACAAGTAGGGCAGCAAAGACCTGCAAGCTTTTCGTCAATCAAAAGATGAGGAATCCATAAAAAAACTCGAGGTTGGTAAATGTCTTCAATCTTCTTATTGTTTTTATGGATGAAGTAAGACATCATCGGCTCGATCCAGAAAGTCCCTCTTTCGTATTCAGAGGGATACTCTTCAGTAGATAATCTGGCTTGAATCTTTTCACTACCTCGAGGAAGAATGTCGGTTATAAAGTCTTCAACCTCGTTTTCTTCGACTTCCTCTGTTTCAACTGAATCAACATGGTCGTCGAGTGAAATGTCATGTTCAGTTTCTTCAATATTTATACGATCAAAGGCAGCTTCAGTATTCGTATTTAAATCCTCAGCCAAAATTAAAACAAAAACATTAGTTCAGGAATAACTTCATCCCAAGATTTATTACTGTTACTTGTTCTTCGACAGCTGGTGGTAATGTACCTGAATCTGACGAAGTGGGTTGCGAATTAGCCTTGGCGCGAAGACGGTTGCAAAAATTTCTAAAAGACTGTTGTTTAGGGTCAAAGTCTCTGGTAGCTGAAAATCTTCCAGTTGAACCAGCTTTACTTTTGTCATTTGTCATAGAGATATATGTTAAGCACTACAAAGAAAAAAGCTTTTTTCTCTCTTCTCTCTCAGAAATGGCAAAAACTAAAAAATCTGGAGTTAGATTGTAAAGACCAGTGTTAAATCAGAGTTTTATTGGATAATATTGTCCAATCACACTTCTATTTAACACCGGAGTTTCCCCCAGGCATCAACCACTTTTGTTTTAATTTACAATTTCTCCCCTCTTGACATGCTTTGTGAAACCGTTTCGGTAAAAAGGGAACTTTTAAAGTTTGAGGGCGTAGATCAAGGTTTAAAATACGTCACACCGACTGATGTTTCTGAATTTAAAAAATCAAATATGGATTAAGGTTTGGTGCAGAAAACCTTCTAAATTAAGAATAGGCCAGTTTTTAAGCAGCCGACTGCAAACATTTACTTTTTTTTTTATTTCTGTTTACATTATACAAAAAAAGAATACATACATATTTTTATGTGAAAATGTATTTTAAAGAATAGCATGTTTTATTATTGTAATAAGAGAGAAATCAATAAAATGGGAAAAAAATAGATATATCTATGTATATTTGCTTGTAACGGAGTAATGATTGCAGGATTTGAAGAAAAACAGCAGATAGAAGGATGTTCACAAGGAAAATCTTACCTGTAATTATAATCATACATTAGAATTAATAATAAAAAAAGCGAAAGATGACATACCTTTATATATATTTATGAACAATAGACCTATGCTTACGCCAATAGACCACTAAAGAATGATAAATGTTATTACTCTTTTTATATAAGGCGTATACTTTAAGACTTACAGTATATATAGTCTCATTATCTTAAACATAGGATCAACGATGGAATAGTGCATAAACCTTGACTGATAGCCTTGTTAAGGGTACGTTATCATGCTATATATTAAACATTGAGTGTTGGATAATGGTCTATCTATAATTTATACCTAGCTTTCGTTTAAAAAGTGTTGAAGAAAAAGAAGAAAATTCAACTATTTCAATAGAAGCCTATTTTGGTGGTTACAAAAACCAAGTGCCTTCTGAAACATAAATAAATAAAAACTGTAAATAAGAAATTATTGGATGATCACAATTGTTGTTGTTTTATTTTTTATTTGACCATCAAGTATTGGCTGAACTTCCAAATATGGATTTTTCTTAGTTGGTGTGTAGTCAGAAATACATATACGGCCATTAGCAATAAATAATGTTTGTCATTGGGGAGCATCTAGCAATCAGCCCTATAATTAGAAATCTGGTGAAAACATGCCTCAGCGTTTCGATTGTCAAATAACAGCATTTAAAATAAGTTTCTGTCTTACCACCCGCCTTCTTTTTTTTTTTTCTTTTTTTTTTTTTTTTTCTACAAAGCCCATCATAATGGTATCATCTGTCACCAGTCATTTTTGCCATATCGGCTTGACTTACAGAATTATTTAGACTAAAGATGTGGTATATGTATTTGCATAGCAGGATCCGAAATTTACATCAACACAAAAATTCCGAGTAGTAGTGGTTTCCGCCTGTTTATTAGATACTGTTTAAAAATGTTTTTTTACAAGCAGCTCGTCTCTGGAAAGTCAAGTTTGTGTATCACTTACGGCATCTCCATAATTCGGATTTCTGGCATGCTTACTAAATCCAAATCAAACTTGCATTTATAAGTCAACTTATTTTTTTCTCTCTAGCATTTGTATCAATCATTAAACATTATCTTTTCCATTTTCTAACTCTACTTCTGAACGTCATACAAGTAATATACCAATAAAAGTTTATTAAAGTAAAAAGAATGTGCTCCTCTTGAATTCCCAAAATACTTTAATGCTTACTAGGCACCTACCCCGTCAAGGTGGAATTACAGTAGGTTCTAAAAACTGATGTGATGACATAAAAACAAGCATATGCATGAATACAAATAACAGAGCTTCTAGGATGACATCAATGGAATAACCCTCTTAACCAAACTCGCTTCTACTTCATGTGCCCTTCTCCCTCCCCTCCCCCCTCTCTCTCTTTCCACTTTAAATACAAGATGAATCCACGAGTACTTTCTCTTTCGATATTGGCTTGATATTGCGTGGATCAATATTCTCTGTCTGATCCTTTTTTACTTTTTTTTCCTGGACGACTAGTTGTTGTTGTTGTTGTTGCTGCTGAATCTTGCTGCTTATAATAATGTTGAACCTGATTCGGGCTCCCCATCATATATTAACTGATACCCATCTCTGCTAGAGGAAGAATGATGCTCAAAATACATGCCCTACTGACTCAAGAAAGAGAAAGCCTGAGCAGGTAGAAAAAAAAAAAGATGATTGAGCCTCGGGAGACCGCACAGGACTTTCAGCTCATATACTTGAAAATACGGATCTAATAGATGGCAGTTCCAGATTTTTTGCGAGTGTTAAGTAGGAACCCAAAGCTAAGTTACAAACCTTTGCAGTAGGAACAAACCCCAATGTATTCCTCCAAACCATACTATAGCAACGGTACGGCACAGGTTCTTACTTGTGAGTCCCATTTCAAATTGAATTTTAAATGGCGTGAAATCTTAACAAAGCTCCCAAGCTAATCATCCCTATAGAGCCAGCGTTTGACATATGTTTACCATACAATGAAGTCGTACCCGCAGATTCGATTGTTCAAGCATATAACATTGTGAAGTCAAAGAAGTAACACAAGGAGAAAGAGAGAGAGAAAAACAAAATTAGTCTTACTCTAAACCACTTTACCTTCTGATTTTCACTTAAGAAATGTGTCTAGTTTGGGCAAAAGAAAGCATAATGAGTTAAACTAATGAAAATGGTTTTTGAAGTTATAAAAGCGAATGGTCTTTAAACACACGACCCTTTTTTTTTTTTTTTTTTTTTTTTTTTGTAAACACCGCTAAGGTTTCTGTTCCCGACTACCGGATAGTCCTTACAGTCATTACTGGTCTTTGGGAATGAATATATGCTTATGGAGTTCATTACTTGATCTTATAAAAAAATATGAGACTTTCTCCTTCCACTCAAACAACAATGGCAGGAAAAAGAACTACCGTCTTTTATTGAAAAACGTTGCCTGAAGGAACTTGAAGCGGGACTGTAACATTTGCATAAAGAAGCCTGTTCTCAACCCTAAGAATGACTCATTACCAGAAAGAATTAACTATTCATGAACTTAAACAACAGCATTAGCTATACCTTTTAGCTGGTTTGTTTGTCTCAATAGCTGCTCAACCCGTCATATAAAGACTTATATTCATGGAGAGGAAGACAATGTTAACAAAACTACATTTATTCGACGACTTATTTGACAGAATGACAAAAGACACTCTTAGTTATGAACACTGATGATCAAAAAAAAAAGAAAAAAAAAATGGCTACAACGGAATGCTTTTAACGATTTCTAATTAAAACCTTTTTTATTCCTTTTGACGATGCAAGAAAAGGTGGAAATGAAGTAAGTCAGTGCAGGCGCTAAACTCTCTCTCTCTCCGGTCATAGAGTGACAAAAAAAAAAGACGGTTGAGTAACGTGAAGACTTCAAAGAAGGCATGGATTTCTGTGGCATGAAAAATAGTGATTTTTACAGGAAAGAGAGTAGTTTTGTGTAACACTTTTTGTTTTTATGAGGATCTCCTTGCTGCGCAAACACACTCACTCACCCAGAGGCAGTCATATCGATAGTCATATGGATCACATGGACCATAAAAAATTTTTGATTTCAAAAAGGTATAAAAAGGGGAGCATTTTATCCCCACCCCGATTTTTTTCTTCAATTGAAACATGTCTAAAGGATCAATATCGTAAGTAGGACCCGGGGTTTGAAGCCTAATCTTCTTCAAGAATTAACCTTTTTTTTTTTACTTTAACCAAATATAGTATGCCTAGAAAAGCAGGAAGTAGTAATTCGAATTCAACAATGAGAAAACCTACTCCGGAAAAAAAGATCAAAGATTTCAGGTTGACAGCTAATCAATGCAGTTCACTAATGATTGATGATGTGTTCAATAACCTACCAACAATTCAATGGTCTAATGTTAATACACTGATTGATGAATCTATTAAATGTTATCACGATACGCTTGAAAGCACAAGAGTTTTTAATAGTATTGTCACCTCTTTGGAATCGATACATCAAAAAACGAAAAATAATGCTACGTTGGCCTCGTATAGCTTGAAGTGTAGTCATTATTTAAAGCAAGATCATATCAAAAGTCTGTTTGACAAAACGTTCGCCTCAAGGATCACAAAATTTCAAACTCAGGAACTGAAGAAATTCAACAGAGCACAAGGACTAGAAATGCAACTTTAATAACATCACAATGTAACGATGAATATTATGATGAATTAGTGTCAGGCTCACACGAAACTGTAAGCGAAGAAATTTTTTAAAAACATATAAAGAGGGCATATTCAAAAAATTAAACCTTTTTTATTTATTTTAGTTGGAAGAGAGAGAAGATAGTGAAGATCCGGAAAATAGCGAAGTTGATGATGAAGAAGTGGATTTCCCCTCCGATCTAACAGTAAATCACCATCCTCAACGGAATGCTGATTATACCCTTCTTTATGATGATCTCTTCATAAAACCAGATGATCAATGCAATGACAGCGATTGGATTATGGATACTATTAATATATCTGACATGTGTAAATCGGTTAAGGCAAACACAATGGGTCTAAGAATTAATCCCGCTAATCTTTCCTGATATAAGACTCCTGTAAGTGAAGAAAAAAATGCTTAAGCATGAATATGATTGACTCACAGTATCTTATTTCATAGTTCGCTGAACGACGTATATATATTTGATGACAATATTAATGGATCTATAAGCAAATATTTCGGAGCGGAGTTACATAAGGTGGTAATGTCTGACATCAGTTTTAACTGCTACCGCCCTCCCAAGCCCAACCAATCTCATGCTTGGTGTTTAGAAATTGCTGAAGTAAGTTAATACCATAAGTTTTGATGAATATGTTGTGATAACTAATGAAATTACTTGTCTGAAGAATCCCCCTGATGATTTAATGTCATCATTGAAATTATGCAGCACTTTTTTAACTCAAGCAATTGAACAAGATAATGAGGTTGATTTACATATGGCTCACACTTTGACGCAGCTGTAAATATACATAAACACCCACATGATATAATGAGTTACTAATACCATATATTTATTTAGATTACCTGTGTTTGTTGCTGAATCCCATGATAGTTCAATCGAGGATTCATATGTACACCATTATTTAGCTCCCATACTTCAGTCAATATATAGTACGGACAAAAGATTCACTGTTCGATGGTAAGCTAGCAGTTTTTGTGACAGCTTTTGTGGAAATAGATGACTAATCTCCATACATTTTCTTAGGGCCAATGGCGCCTTGATTGAAGACTCCGTATATAAACCTGACTTCCAAGTATTCAGCCGTATAATTAATATCAAGTGTATTGTAATTGTAGCAGAATTTAAACCTAAGTCGCATAATTCAGCCATAGAGTCTGATTTGATCAAGCTAGGAAAACAGATGAAAATTATGTACAATGAATTGGTTGAGAAAAGAATACCTACACCTACAGTCTGCGGGTTGTTATGTCAAGGCGAAAATTTAAAGACATATGTAATGGATATGCCATCTCCTCTCACGTATCGAATGGTGAAGCTATCAAGTGTCACCTTATGCAAAAACGTCGAGGAATTACATCTTTTGCCAACTTTTATTTCTAAGCTGATTCAAATTAAGGTAAGAACAAAGTGTTTGATTAAAACGTTTATATCTTGCTAACCTTAATTTCTTTTCTAAATAATACAAACAGAACATCACGATTGAGAATGTAACAAAAGCAGAAGATTGTATTATCACAGCCAATAATTCCATGCATCGCCCGCCACACAATCCCCCAGAATCGTGGCTTTCGTATAGCTTTTGCCAGCTATCAAGATCAAATAAAAAGAGAAAACAGGACGACTAAGAATCAAATGGAACTCGTTTTTTTGATAATCAATATATTATACCTCACGCATGCACTATAATTGTTACTGCAATAAATTTTTAAGTTCTCACATCGCCATATGTAAGCATAATTATAAATAGTCATTCCACAACAATTATCATTGAGAGGGCGAGCAACTATAGCAAACACATTGATAATGACAAAGATATGGCACTGTCTACGATTAATGCAACCAACTATGGCCTTTCTACGCAAAATTCAAAGTATTATATATAACTTCGTATGGGAAAAGAAAAGACCTCTGGCATCCTTCAATCAACTTAGCCTACTAATAACACAAAGTGGCTTAGGGCTAACTTCTCCAGTCAAGCAACATATGGTACTCCAAATTCGACACCTTCTATATATTTTTCAATTAAACAACACACAAAGAATAGTGGAACATTTCTTTCGATATCACTTAAATTCGATATGACCAACAATATCATCGCCGGAAATAACATTTTATGTACCTGAGTGGCGAAATCATGCAATAAATTACCCTACCTCAATAGTGAATGCATGCTACAAGGCATTTGATCAATTCAATATAAAGCTAAACTTCTCAGAATGCTCTCTTGATTTACTGCTACAGCTACCTATACAATACCTTTTCCTATCATATTCCAGGAAACACTGGCTACAAAGATGCAAGAATTCACCAGCGGAATCCTTTTTTATATATGACCAGTACATGAAAAGATTGCGAATACGGGTGGAGGGAGAATATCCAATGAAACCAAAACTATGTCGCAAACTGAAGAAAGATATATTAGACCTTCGAACCGTAAAACTACGACCTTTTATTTATCAATATATAGTAAGGGATACGACAATAAATGCAAATCAACAAAATAATACATGTCTCAATAAGGCATTAACGGAAACAACATCATGGAAGACATTCTCACCAGTAACATACAGGGCTATTCAAGAAACGCAGACACCAATAATAAGCGGTACCTGTAATCAAAAAGGATTCAAAAGATTCTGGAGCTTACCAATATTACTACCGGCTAGAATCTGTGGTATAAAATACTATCAAGGAAATTACCAACATCAAAATACCTAAATCAGATTGGAACAATTGACAGTCCAAGATGTCGCCTTTGTCACAACTATGTCGACAATTTAGAACACTTTATAGTTCAATGTACAATCAAATCAACAATATGGAACAGAATACTTACAAGTCACTATCCTACATTCAATGTAACCAAGAGTAATATATTGAAAGCATTATATGATATGGAAACTCCATTCGGTACACAATCTAGTCGAAACATCCCTTTCCTGGTGATTATTTCCACAACAAATTATTATATATGGTACTTTTACTGGCAATTCATCATCCATAACATACCTTTTGTAGCTGAAACTATTATCAACAAAAGCAACAGACAAATATCCGTCATACTGAATAGAAATTCAATCAATGAATGAGATAAAAATATTAATCTTTACACAACCTAAATTAATCCATGTCCCCAAATTTCCTATCCCCTCAGGCTCATCAAGTCCCACTTCTACGTGAATGTATGACTATTAAGTTCAATAAAAACTTTAATTTACAAAAAAAAATAGTCATTCCACATGAAAAAAAAAAAACCAACGAACTTGAATTGTTTTGTAATCAATCACATCTCAAGCTCTTAAATTAAAAAAAATCTGTCATTTTTCTAGTTGCATGCGAGGCTGTACTGCTGCTATCAACACGTCTCATGTAGATGAACAAAAAAAAAGTTGTGTTGTGACCTTTCTCCTACCAACCTTGCCATGCAAAGACTCCATCACCAGCTGTCCATCGTGCAAAGAATTTCGGTGTGTGGCTATTGAAGTGAGTAAATTTTATCTTAAGCAAGTCGAAAATGACAAGGATGAATATGGTCCGCAAGTTACAATTGTTTGCTAAAGAAAAGAAAAAGATACTGAATGGCTTGTATAACTGGGTTGTTAGAAAGTATAGCCGTGTCTATACGAACAATTTTCACTACTTGCTTCATGCGCTCATAAGTAAGAGGGCTTATAGAAACTGGTAAATAGATCGTTCTTATGCGTTATTCATCGTTACAGAAGTAAGACAATTATCTCAAGTACATAATTCAAATATCCCGGTAGCATTCGAGCACTTTATTGCTAAAGTTTACGTACAAGATCCCCTTTTTTTTTTTTGGTTAATGATTATGACAATATGTTGGTGTGAAGATAAGCAAAAACATTAACCAAGAGTCCCCCTTTTCACTTGTTGATGATTCATCGAGAACAAGTTTGCGTCATGATTTGAATAATAACCTTTTATCTTTTATCAGATAAACAGGGGAATTTCAAAAAAAAAAAAAAAAAGGACATGGACAGAAGGATGTTTATCGGTAACCAATGATCGACAAGAGATGTGACTAGTAGGGGAAACGGCTTTCTACCTTTAATTCGAATCTTTCTTTTTTTTTTTTTTATTTATTTACTTCATTCTCGATATATGAGTGAATCCATAATGGCGACTACGCCGTCCGTAGAATCAAGTTTGAATCCTGTAGAACAACCCGCCTTAAAAGTAGCATTGAGTACTGGATCTTCGTCTTTTGAAAAGGTGGTGTCTGCATGTACTGGTGCAGTCATCACCATGTCTTTTAGTAAGTGCTTTCCCCCTTTCTCCCAAACGAACGACCGATCGATCGATGAAAAAAAAAACAAGAATCTAAACCTTACAAAAAAAAAAGTGAATCCTTTGGACGTTGTTAAGACCAGACTTCAAGAAACATCAACCAACGGCACAAGACATTATACAGGCACCATTGTAAGAGAGACAACACCATTACACCCAACACAAACTAAAAAGTTTTTTTTTTTTTTTGATTATTAAAAAAAGGATGGACTCTCAAAAATCTTTAAAAATGAAGGCATATTTGCTTTATGGAGAGGATTATTACCTGGATTAGTTATGGCATTACCTTCTACTGCTATTTACTTTGTGGGTTACGATTATATTCGAGATCAAACGAGATTATCACACTATGCAAATACAGCACTCGATACCTATTCACCTTTATGGGCTGGTGGATTAGCAAGAAGTAAGTATCTCTTTTTTTTATATATATATTACAAACGCGGCCATTAACATCAGATAAAAAATAAAATAAAAATAGCCATGTCAGCATTGGTCGTATCACCTCTCGAATTATTTAGAACTCGTATGCAATCTGCTGAAGGCATCAATGGATTTTCAGGTATAAACAAGTGAAGAGATGAAGAGGATAAAGAAAGTACTAACAAAAAAAGAGGGTGAATTTTAGATGTTTGGAAAGGTGTGTCAAGGATGGTACAGAGAGAGGGACCACAAGCCTTATGGCGTGGATTACTTCCTACCATGTTGAGAGATGTACCATTTTCTGGCATTTACTGGATGGGATATGAAAAAATCAAGCACAATTTAGAACAACGACAAGATTTGACTCATTTTCAAACTTCATTTATATCGGGTGCGTCATCTGGCATGGTAAGACATATAAATGGTTTTTTAATAAGTATGGAGACATTACTAGAAAAAAGAAGTATATAAAAATAGATTGCAGCCATCATCACAACCCCATTTGATGTAGTCAAGACTCGTCGTCAAGTTAGTTGTGATGCAGAAGGTAATTTATAATAAATGTATGCAGTAACGTACGATCTGACAGGTCTATCTTTTTTTATCTAAATGCAGAAGCACAAGTGGGACGTATCTTAAAGAATATTATGGCTCGAGATGGTGCAGCAGGGTTCTTCCGTGGTGTTGTTCCTCGAGCTGTCAAAGTAGCACCTGCATGTGCCATCATGATTTCAAGTTACGAAATGGGTAAACTCTTTTTCACAAACCGTAAAAATAGACAGAGTGATAAAGAAAACTAGAAAATACCCTTTTTTATTATGATTAAAAAAAGAATTTTTTTTTAATTCTTCGTATTGCTCTTTTTGCTCTTTTTCTTCTCATTCTTGGTAGATGTTGGTGCTTCGTCTTCAGATGATGATGAATCACTCACCTCCTCTTCCAATTTTCTCTTTCGGTCTTGTCTCTCGGTTTCCATCTTGTCCTCGTCTTCCTGAAGGGCTGCTTTAATAAATCTAGCTGCTGCGTCCTTATCTACCTTCATAGTAGCTGTAATTTACATATAAAAAATTAGTATCTAGAAAATAATTCTCAAAAAAAAAAAGAGAGAGATTCATCGCCTTACGTTTATCTCCCTTTCCTTGAACTCGCTTCAATTTCTTAATGTATGCTTGAACACGAACCTACATGGAGAATTAGATCTCTCATTTATTCATTTTCTCGAACCGTCTTTTTTTTTTTTTTACCAATTCTTTCATGACATCGTGTTTAGCAGGATCGGATCCTTGTGTTCTCAAATAAACTACAAAAAGAAGGTTAATATAACATAATGCATGGGGGGCATGGAATGCAAAGAGTACATACTATAATATAAGGTGTTTAAACTATATGACAATAAGACTTCCAACTCGTAGCGTTCGCTGATAGGCAATTTGGTATAAACGTCACTTAAAGGCTTGGAAAAAATAGGCTCCAAATGCTTTTTCACCGTATGTAAACGAGCTCTTAAGGCACGCACTGCCTTCTTTGGGATTTCTTGAGAAACGGTTTCCATTTTTTTTTTTTTATAATTATGTACAAGTACAAAAAAGAAAGTTTTTTTTTTTATTTTATTTATTATTTGATGTTTTGGGCTATAAAATGAGCAGTCACTTAGTTGCTCAAATGCTTGATCAAGTAACTGTAAATTCTACCCCACGCTTGTTCACGTACAGCCTTTTCAGCACTGATGGGTTCAATATCACTTTCGACAAAGCCCAATTCTTTACGCTTGGTTACAGTCCAATCATCATCGTTTAAGAAGGCATGACCTTGATCGGGATAACGGTGGATTTCAAGATCCTTTGCATTCTTCAATTGAGCTTCCAACTTGTCAGCTGTATGACAGAATATATGTGAGTTTTAAAATATTTAAGCTTTTTTTTTTTTTTTTATAAAAGTACCTGATGGAGGATCACTGAAGCCAACAACATTGTCCTGTATTTGTTTAAAGAAAGTTAACACTCAAGAAAAGATTACATGTGTAAATCCTATATACCTTTCCACCAAAGTGACCTTGGACTGCTGTATCCTTCAAATTTGTCACGTCAAATGTGGCAGGAGCAGTACCATAACAAGGTACAGCTACTTGAATAGGCTTACCAATCTTGGCAGCATGAGCAGCCAAAGCAAGTGTAAGTCCACCACCCATACAGAAACCAATAGCACCAATGGAGCTATTATTTATATAAGTAAACGCCTCATTTTTTTTTTGTTTCATTATCGCATTATGTCTTACTTGTAACCTTGTTCTCTTAATTGTGTAACCAATAACTCCATTTCCCCAATGGCAACATCCCAGTCAAGGTTAGTCATTAAATGACTAGCTTCCTAACAAGAGAAAAAGAGGGTGTTTAGGGGTTCACAAAGAAAAAATAAAGAAAAAACTAAAGAACGAACCTCAGCAGTTAAACCGAGCTTTCCCTTGTAGACGTCAGGAACCACTGTACGAGCACCTGTTTTGTCAGCAATGATTTGAGCGTGATTCTTGATAAAATCATTGACACCCCACCATTCTTGAAATACCTGATAACAAACATGTTTAAACAGATGTATAGATATCAGCTGTTCTCTTACTTACAATGATGGCAGCACCTGGCAACTTTTTCTCGGTCTTGGGATCAAAAGTGTAAGTAGTAAAAGGCAAGCTCATATTTTTTTTTAAAAAAAAAGAGAAAGAAAAAGAAGTAATTTAGACGCGATTACGCCCCAACCCTGCTTATTAAATACACACACACACACACACACACTACTTACGAATATTGGTTGCACAAAGATTTGTAATACCACAGCCTCTCTTTGCTTATCGTGGGGATATATATAAAAAAAAAAAAAAAAAACCTGTTTATTTAGGCATGAGTATGCTAGTTCTCTCCTTGGATCTAGTCAATTCTGTTTTAGCTCGTTTGTAACCATCGAGAGTGGATGTGATAGATCTCTTTCGTTTCATGGATAGTCTCTGATCAAAATATTTCACAGCAATCACTTGTTGCTTTACATTCTCTAATTGTTTTGTCTCATACAAGGATTTATTTCGCTGTATCAGGGCATGAAAGAAATCGTTGATTCTCCTTTGTTTCCTTTCCAGTAGTGCCTTTTTCTTGGGTGCATTCTTCTGGATAAGATGGGTAAAGAATGTAGCGACTCTTTCTTTAATTGGGTTCTTTTGCACTAGCATGGATTTCCTTTGCTCTCTTCTCAGTTCGGATGCTGCTTCCGTCGTCGTTGTTGTTTCTGCTGCTGTTGGGAGCACAACCATTTTATTCGAAAAGGAAATGGTACTTTCTCTTGCCAACCGGTCAAAGACTGTCTCGTCTGGTACTCGTACAGGCTTTGGTTTGTTTGGTTTATGATCGAAACTCATGACTCGTAATGCTCGTCTTTTTCGGGTGCTGGTGCCAAAGGATGCTGCAGAAATATTACGTTTGGCTAAACTCCCCTTCTTCCATTTAGAATTGTTTCGTCTTATAATATATAAAAGCACTTACTGAACCAAGAGTCATTGGGTCGACCTTGTTTTGTAGTTTCTGACAAGTCCCAAAACTTTGGTGCTTCAAAGTTCCATTTCGAATCACTGTCCATTTTATATATATATAAAAAAAAATTAAAAGAAAGAGAGAGAGACGCGTGGGCCACGTGATGAGGATGGTGTGAATGGATGGATTATAATGGGAGGTGTCAGTTTTTCCGGATCCCGAGTTTTTATTAAAAGCATATCTTTTCACCCCCAAAGCATAAACATTCGAATGTTCATTTGCTTGTTTTGGATAGAAACACAGCCCTTTGAGGCGATACGAGGATCAGCCGATGTTGTTACTGGGACTATTCTTTTTGATTATTATTATTTTTCTCTCATTTTTTTTATTTTATTTTATTTCATTTTTTTCAACTGTTTCTTTTTTTTTTTTCTTCCTTCCTTCACATACAATAAAAAAAAACTATGGCAAAACCTACAAGAATCAGTCGATGTAAGCTTGTGGTGGTAGGTGATGGTGCCTGTGGTAAAACTTGCTTGTTGTACGTCTACACTGAATTTGGTTTCCCAGAAGTAAATCACATTTATATGCATATCCCTTTCTTATATTGACAAATTATAATAGAAATATATCCCTACTGTATTTCAAAGTTTTGTACAAGAGACAAAAGTGGATGGTATACAGGTAGAACTTGCCTTATGGGACACCGCAGGTAAATACACCCTTTTTTTTGATATTCTTTACCCCGCTCAAGTAGAAACTGATAATGTGTGTGTATATAAAAAGGTCAAGAAGATTATGATCGTCTACGCCCCTTGTCATACCCTGGTGCACATGTGATACTTTTATGCTTTGCAATAGATTCACCTGATTCTCTTGATAATGTCCAAGAAAAGGTGAACATTTTAAACTATTCCCCGCTATCTTGTTATTTAATTTCAACTGACACTTCTTTTTTTTTTCAGTGGATTGAAGAATTAAATACCCATTGTTACCGTGTTCCACTGCTACTGGTGGGTTGTAAAAAGGACCTTAGAGTGGATACAAAGACGATTGATGAACTACAAAAGATCTCACAAAAACCCGTTTCGTACGAAGAAGGTGTTGCTGCCTGTGCCAATATTGGTGCTAGTAAATATTTCGAATGCTCGGCAAAATTAAACGATGGTGTTCAACAAGTATTTGAACACGCTGCAAGGGCCGCTTACATCTATAAAGACAGTATCACTCGCTCACAATGTCATAAAGGTCAAAAAAAATGTATATGTTTATAATAAAAAGAGAGAAAAAGAGAGAGAGAGTCTATATATATTTATTTATCTTCGGGAATCACCTTGTATGGATTCATGATCCCGTTAGGATCAATCGCCTTCTTGAGCGTCTTCATCAATTTCAGTTGTACATCTGTCTTGGCTCGAGTCATGTAGTTGATTTTGGATACACCAACACCGTGCTCTGCAGTAATCGATCCCTTGTGTCTCACTATAATTTTATTTTGAATATTTTCATGCATATAAAAATAAAATCTTGATCTTACTTGTCCAATCGAAAATAAATTCATCCATGTCATCCTGTCCCTTGAGATCAAATCCATCCAAATTAGCCATAATGTGCAAATTCTACACATATAAAGATAAATATAAGAAATCTCTAATAGAATATATATATATATATACAGATACATACACCATCTCCAACATGGCCAAAGCCTAGCAAATTAGAATAGAGTTTGCCAGGACCCAACAAATTCTTTGGGGTGAAATGTGCCTTGGCATCCTCCACCAGCTTGTAAAGAAGAGGCACTTCCATAGCAACATCATAAGTCATGGCTGTACCACTCTTTGAAATGGATTCCGGAATCTTTTCACGCCAAGACCACAATGCGTTTACTTGTTTAGCATCTTGTGCCATCACACCATCCACAGCAACTCCCTTTTCTAGCAATCTTCCCAAATAGTCATCTAATTTCTATTTCAATTTTGTTTAGTATACAAAATAAGAAGATCACATAGAAAAAAAAAAAAAACCTTCTTTTTTTTTTTTTTACTTACTTCTTGATCATGTTCTTGTCTGCTGCCTTGCGTTTCAAGTAAAGCGTAGAAAGCATGCTTTCCTTCAATAGGATAGTTTGTATCCTGCATCATTTCTTGTTTTACAATACCCACAGAATCATGATCCCAAAATTCAAAGGCTATTTTATCTCTTAGTTACTTTAAATCCACTTTTTTTATATCTTTCTCACTTACCGGATAAAATCTCGGATAAATCTTCTTTGGCCATCACAAATGCTTCTTGCACTGCCTCATATGAGTCGAGTGCAACCATGGCTACATTCACAGCCTAAAATTAAACAGAAATTCAAAAAAAAAATCCTACTTTTTCACCCTTATTACACAGATTACCTTGGGGCGTCTGGGTGTCAATAATGAAATACCCGTAATCAGACCAAGTGTACCTTCTGAGCCAATAAACAATTGTTTCAAGTCGTAACCTGAATTGTCCTTTCGAAGTGTCGATAAATTTTCCAAGACCGTACCATCGGGCAAAACCTAAAAAAAAAAACAATTATATTTTTTGTGTGGTTTATATATGTGTGGAGTCATAACCAATCAATTTTCCCCCTTACCACTTCTAATCCCAGGACATTACCATGGAGATTACCAAATTTGATCAATCTTAACCCACCGGCGTTTGTACTGACGTTACCTCCAATTTGACAAGATCCTTTGGCTCCCAAGTCTAAAGGTACTGTATATCCCTTGGGCTCCAAATACTGATCCAGGCCTTCCAAGACAACACCACAATCCACCACGGCCACACCCGAAACGGCATCAAAATGCCGGATCTTGTTCATCTTGGATGTGTTCACGATAATCTCATCAAAGACTGGATTACATCCTCCACTCACACCCGTCGCTCCTCCTTGTGGTACAACGGCTAATTGATTCTGATTACAATACTTCAAGATCTGTGAGACTTGTTCTGTAGAAGTGGGGAACAAACACAATCTATAAGAAAATGTTTATAAAACAAACCAATTGTATATGTATATATATATATAAAACGACTTACGAAGAGGTGCCTCGGTAAAGGTTGAACCAATCTGTATTGTATGGCATCATACTAGAGCTAGGATCCTCTGGATTTTCGTCATGAATGATATTTTGAGGTGCCAACACACTCTTGAAAAAAGAGAGATCCTTTTCTTCAATCTACGATACATGGATGCAGTTATTATGCAACGTCCCTTTTTTTTTTTAAAGGATATTTTACCTTGGCAAAAGCAGGGTTGCGCTTAAACTCGGGATGTTTGACGCGTGTGAGTGCCGTAAGCGTTTTACTCAAAACAGCTCTTGAGCTATGGATCAATCTTCTTTGAAGCATAGAAAAGAAAGAAAAGGTTTGGAATAAGGGGATGGGAAAAAATAAACGAATATCAAAAAAAAAAAGGTCTTAAATGTGATTAGATTAAGTTGACTTGAGTGGCCCAGGTGTATAAACTCCGCTGTCCACCAAAAAAAAAAAAAAAGTATCTTTTACAAAGCTAGGGCCCTAAAAAACATTAAAATACTTGAGAGTACTTGTTGGGTCAAATGCTCAGATATTTCTGTCCACCTCTGATTTATTATTTGGCAATATGATTCTCCAATAAAATAAAAGTATCATACATATTTTCTTTTTATAAAGGCTTCTGAGTAGTGTATCTACGCGCTTCTCTTCTATTACAGGATAAAAGCGTCTTTTCTTGAATTTTGTTGTTGCGCCAGCAAAGTTCACCAAGACATTCCGTAAATACCGCATTTTATAACAATTGATGAAAGAATCCTCGGCATCTTTTTTTTCAGAGATATCCTCCTCAGATTATTGACAACTTTGGAGCATAATACTAATAGCTTCTTGTGGTATGGTTTCCTGCTTGTCTTTATAAAGTTGTCTCTTAATATACTCAGGAACTGACATCACCCCTCAATTTTTTCTGAACTGCAAATCATCATTGCAGCTGCAATTAAAGCATTCGTTTCTTTAGCAGTGAGACCTCTATTGATGGTAGCATTGTCCAGGACGATGGTGTCTTCGGACACCACCAAATTATCATCCTCGTCATCGCTTGATTGAAGATCTAACATTTAGAAACTGGTTTAGCAAAGTTCTTGATTTTTTTCTAGCTGGACACTCATCCGTTTTATAAGCGGTACCTTCTTCATGCTCATCTTTATTTTCTGCATCCGCAACTCCTGGACTTTCGTCATCGGGATTTTCTATGGAGGAATTGTACAATCGGTACTGGAAAATACATTTTTTTTTTTATAAGAATTTTCGCGATACAATGCATTTTTCTGTATTTTGTGCCTTGAAACTTGATTAACAACTTAAATGCTTCCGTTTTTTGTGCTAATGATTTCTTTGCTTTAAATTTTTTTTTTTTTTGGATACAACTTGGCTCTTCTTGGAATCATCAATCTTCTTCGCTTCATAATTCTTCTTATTACAAACTCGTAAATCATGTCTATACTGGTCATGTGACCACATATTTTCGATATTTACAAAGTACTGCTTGCATGCCACTGGCTAATGCGGGAGTAGTTGTAAAATGATAAGCATCATTCGAATTCAGTTGCTGCATAACAGCCTTTTGAAATACTACAATGATGGATTGGGTGTTTTAGTCAAGTAATCAATTTAAAGATGTATGTACATTGCTTACTCAGTGTTTTTTGTTGGGAAACTTTTCTCCAATACAGTGCGACATAATATTCCAAAATCCCATTGTAAGAAAACGTTTTTTTTTTTTTATCGCACAAGGATTTCAAGGACTGTTCGCTTAAGTAGATAAGATCTTTTTTCGGTTTCCCCAATACCGTCATTACCAAAATCAACATCTTTGAATCTAAAAACGTCGTGTGTATTTGAATCTGAATCCAAACCACCTGTAATGATTAAAATGAATCAATACATTCAAAAGCCTTAGACAGACCATAAATCGATGCATGGCAAGAGTTCTGCAAATGCTCCAAACGATCTTTTCATGTTTTGTAGTCAAAATTCTTGTTGATAACTCCTTCAAGTGTTTTTCTCCATTGTTCTGATTATGTCTTCAGGTTTGGTTAAATCGGAAATGTCTAGACCTCCGTATTTTTTTTAAGCGTATCTTTTTTTATACCACTGACAGTAATTCTGGCTAAAACCAGAAGGCCAGTATGACTAAACCTATATATATTCCAATCATAGCTATTCACAGTTCGTGAGTTCCAAAAACTCAACTCTGCCTAGGAGGTCCTATAGCCAAGACTAGCCGCAGTCGCAATATCGCAATGTATCTTTTTTTTTCGATTTTAACGTCTTTTGAAAGAAACAGAAGTGTCATTACTAACTCACCTTTTTACGTTATGGGTTACTTTCATTCGATATAAATATGTTAAAGGAAAAGAAAAGGGGGGAAGAATAAAGTGTGTGAACCAGCTTTATTTTTAGGCTGATAAACAAGAGCTGATATCAGAATGATTAAATTGCTTAATTCTTAATGCACGCACTAAGTATTTACAAGTACAAATTTGCGTCACATTTTATGAATTTGTATACGTGCATTAAAGAATTATTCACGTAGTTTACAGAGTTACAAAGCCTAAGGGAAATCCAACAAAAACAGTGCTTAAAATTATCATCACTTTTCAGAAGTCACTTTTTTTAAAACGGATAAGCAAGTGAGGGGCGGCAAGTCCCGAACGACAAAACATGACATCTATATTATAAAAACTTATGTGATTTATACTGTATCCATACTATAAGAATTTGTGTGATTTATATTGTATCCATACTATAAGAATTTGTGTGATTTTTATTGATTATCGAGTGAGGAGTTGCAAGTCCCAAACGGCAAAAAAAAGTCCGGAGGTCCAGATCGGCAGTCCGAAGAGCGCCTAAAAAAAACCGGTTTTTTTTTTTCCTACTTCTTCTATTATTATTTTTCTTATATTATATATTTTACTCACCAACGTCATTAATACTTAGACTCTGAAACTACGAAGGGATTTTTAAAGAGGTAAACTCTGTATTAAAATAGGAGCAATGTATTAATCATTTCTACTTTTGCAAGGTTAAGAAAAATAGAAGAAGCTGAGTAAATACAATCAGTCATTAAGACCTGGGAGAAGATGATGTAACCACCAATACATCCGCCGGTCACTGTCTTGATGGCTTTGAGGCTTGGTAATGGGTGCATCATGAGGACACCAGGCCGATTGTAGTAGCAAGTTCTAACCTTTTGCCAATATCGTATTAAGGTTATGGGATGGCGGTCACAGTATAAATCCTGAACTGTTGCGCGTATTTATAATAGTGTAATCAGTCATTAAGACCTGGGAGAAGATGATGTAACCACCAATACATCCGCCGGTCACTGTCTTGATGGCTTTGAGGCTTGGTAATGGGTGCATCATGAGGACACCAGGCCGACTGTAGTAGCAAGTTCTAACCTTTTGCCAATATCGTATTAAGGTTATGGGATGGCGGTCACAGTATAAATCCTGAACTGTTACGTGCATTTTCAGCTTCACTTAGACTCTGGAACTACGAAGGGATTTTTAAAAAGGTAAACTCTGTATTAAAATAGGAGCAAGGTATTAATCATTTCTACTTTTGCAAGGTTAAGAAAAAGAGAAGAAGCTGAGTAAATACAATCAGTCATTAAGACCTGGGAGAAGATGATGTAACCACCAATACATCCGCCGGTCACTGTCTTGATGGCTTTGAGGCTTGGTAATGGGTGCATCATGAGGACACCAGGCCGATTGTAGTAGCAAGTTCTAACCTTTTGCCAATATCGTATTAAGGTTATGGGATGGCGGTCACAGTATAAATCCTGAACTGTTGCGCGTATTTATAATAGTGTAATCAGTCATTAAGACCTGGGAGAAGATGATGTAACCACCAATACATCCGCCGGTCACTGTCTTGATGGCTTTGAGGCTTGGTAATGGGTGCATCATGAGGACACCAGGCCGACTGTAGTAGCAAGTTCTAACCTTTTGCCAATATCGTATTAAGGTTATGGGATGGCGGTCACAGTATAAATCCTGAACTGTTACGTGCATTTTCAGCTTCACTTAGACTCTGGAACTACGAAGGGATTTTTAAAAAGGTAAACTCTGTATTAAAATAGGAGCAAGGTATTAATCATTTCTACTTTTGCAAGGTTAAGAAAAAGAGAAGAAGCTGAGTAAATACAATCAGTCATTAAGACCTGGGAGAAGATGATGTAACCACCAATACATCCGCCGGTCACTGTCTTGATGGCTTTGAGGCTTGGTAATGGGTGCATCATGAGGACACCAGGCCGATTGTAGTAGCAAGTTCTAACCTTTTGCCAATATCGTATTAAGGTTATGGGATGGCGGTCACAGTATAAATCCTGAACTGTTGCGTGTATTTATAATAGTGTAATCAGTCATTAAGACCTGGGAGAAGATGATGTAACCACCAATACATCCGCCGGTCACTGTCTTGATGGCTTTGAGGCTTGGTAAAGGGTGCATCATGAGGACACCAGGCCGACTGTAGTAGCAAGTTCTAACCTTTTGCCAATATCGTATTAAGGTTATGGGATGGCGGTCACAGTATAAATCCTGAACTGTTACGTGCATTTTCAGCTTCACTTAGACTCTGGAACTACGAAGGGATTTTTAAAAAGGTAAACTCTGTATTAAAATAGGAGCAAGGTATTAATCATTTCTACTTTTGCAAGGTTAAGAAAAAGAGAAGAAGCTGAGTAAATACAATCAGTCATTAAGACCTGGGAGAAGATGATGTAACCACCAATACATCCGCCGGTCACTGTCTTGATGGCTTTGAGGCTTGGTAATGGGTGCATCATGAGGACACCAGGCCGATTGTAGTAGCAAGTTCTAACCTTTTGCCAATATCGTATTAAGGTTATGGGATGGCGGTCACAGTATAAATCCTGAACTGTTGCGTGTATTTATAATAGTGTAATCAGTCATTAAGACCTGGGAGAAGATGATGTAACCACCAATACATCCGCCGGTCACTGTCTTGATGGCTTTGAGGCTTGGTAATGGGTGCATCATGAGGACACCAGGCCGACTGTAGTAGCAAGTTCTAACCTTTTGCCAATATCGTATTAAGGTTATGGGATGGCGGTCACAGTATAAATCCTGAACTGTTACGTGCATTTTCAGCTTCACTTAGACTCTGGAACTACGAAGGGATTTTTAAAAAGGTAAACTCTGTATTAAAATAGGAGCAAGGTATTAATCATTTCTACTTTTGCAAGGTTAAGAAAAAGAGAAGAAGCTGAGTAAATACAATCAGTCATTAAGACCTGGGAGAAGATGATGTAACCACCAATACATCCGCCGGTCACTGTCTTGATGGCTTTGAGGCTTGGTAATGGGTGCATCATGAGGACACCAGGCCGATTGTAGTAGCAAGTTCTAACCTTTTGCCAATATCGTATTAAGGTTATGGGATGGCGGTCACAGTATAAATCCTGAACTGTTGCGTGTATTTATAATAGTGTAATCAGTCATTAAGACCTGGGAGAAGATGATGTAACCACCAATACATCCGCCGGTCACTGTCTTGATGGCTTTGAGGCTTGGTAATGGGTGCATCATGAGGACACCAGGCCGACTGTAGTAGCAAGTTCTAACCTTTTGCCAATATCGTATTAAGGTTATGGGATGGCGGTCACAGTATAAATCCTGAACTGTTACGTGCATTTTCAGCTTCACTTAGACTCTGGAACTACGAAGGGATTTTTAAAAAGGTAAACTCTGTATTAAAATAGGAGCAAGGTATTAATCATTTCTACTTTTGCAAGGTTAAGAAAAAGAGAAGAAGCTGAGTAAATACAATCAGTCATTAAGACCTGGGAGAAGATGATGTAACCACCAATACATCCGCCGGTCACTGTCTTGATGGCTTTGAGGCTTGGTAATGGGTGCATCATGAGGACACCAGGCCGATTGTAGTAGCAAGTTCTAACCTTTTGCCAATATCGTATTAAGGTTATGGGATGGCGGTCACAGTATAAATCCTGAACTGTTGCGTGTATTTATAATAGTGTAATCAGTCATTAAGACCTGGGAGAAGATGATGTAACCACCAATACATCCGCCGGTCACTGTCTTGATGGCTTTGAGGCTTGGTAATGGGTGCATCATGAGGACACCAGGCCGACTGTAGTAGCAAGTTCTAACCTTTTGCCAATATCGTATTAAGGTTATGGGATGGCGGTCACAGTATAAATCCTGAACTGTTACGTGCATTTTCAGCTTCACTTAGACTCTGGAACTACGAAGGGATTTTTAAAAAGGTAAACTCTGTATTAAAATAGGAGCAAGGTATTAATCATTTCTACTTTTGCAAGGTTAAGAAAAAGAGAAGAAGCTGAGTAAATACAATCAGTCATTAAGACCTGGGAGAAGATGATGTAACCACCAATACATCCGCCGGTCACTGTCTTGATGGCTTTGAGGCTTGGTAATGGGTGCATCATGAGGACACCAGGCCGATTGTAGTAGCAAGTTCTAACCTTTTGCCAATATCGTATTAAGGTTATGGGATGGCGGTCACAGTATAAATCCTGAACTGTTGCGCGTATTTATAATAGTGTAATCAGTCATTAAGACCTGGGAGAAGATGATGTAACCACCAATACATCCGCCGGTCACTGTCTTGATGGCTTTGAGGCTTGGTAAAGGGTGCATCATGAGGACACCAGGCCGACTGTAGTAGCAAGTTCTAACCTTTTGCCAATATCGTATTAAGGTTATGGGATGGCGGTCACAGTATAAATCCTGAACTGTTATGTGCATTTTCAGCTTCACTTGTTTCTGCAATATCAATGTTATTCCAAGGTAGTTTTTTTTTTTTTTGTTACTAATTCCTTTTATTTCATGAATTTAATTACAATCTCTTTAAGTTTTAGTTTATAATGTACTAACATTGTACTTCACTTTTACCGCTATCTATTCTTATCTTGATCTGAATTGGGCCCGGGTATGAAGTCGGGCTAGCGTATATCTTTGGGACTTGGTGGTGGTATATGCTCCCGGTCACCTTAATCTTTTGAACTTGGGTGGTTTTCCATGCCATTGACTATAGCCTTCCTTAAGGATCTTCTTTACAAAACCGAACTATTGGACGTGGCTCAATTGAAAAACAAAAAAAGTCCGCCCAATTACGATGAGACCACCCATGATACTGTAAGTATTATAGATGCTGATGGCTTTACAAGAAGTGGCTAATATTATTATATTTGAAACCTCTTTTAGGCTAGTATAATCACATCTCAAGTTCTTAAATAAAAAAAATCTGTATTTATTTAAAATAAAGACTTTCTACAAGTTGAGAGTACCCGCCATAATCCAAAAAAGTACAATATTCCACTTTCTTTACTCAAACGTGTCAAAGTGATAACCGTATGAGAATAACCTCAATCCAACCTTGTTGTTTACGTTACCTTTTCCTACTAAATAACTTTTTTGTTCAAGTTCAAATTCCTTCTTTTCTTAGAGTGTATATTTAAAGATTGAAAAGGAATTCTATCATAACATTTTGACATTTGTGAATCGTTATCAACGAGATCCAAGACATGAGCTTTTTGATCCTCTGTAAAGTTGTCGATTTTTTTTTTTTTTTTTTGATCGGCACTTCGCCCGTCTCTTCGTAGCTTCTCCATCATCGCTGAGCAGTTCGTTCTTCGACACCTAATCCTCTCCCGACCACAGCCGCCTACCTCTGTCCCACAGGTAATTCGATCATACGATCGATGAACGTCGTCCTCTGATTAATGCTATAGTCTGCATTTGTCCTTTTTGAGGTAAATTGCCCCGGCTTTGAAGTAATTGACTTTTTGTTTTCAGTTGGTTGTTTTTCCAATGGCTTATTCTTCACGTAAGAAGAAAAATTAACCAAAGTTTCAAGACATCTTCCATAGGATCATACGTTAATTGACCGTTTTCATTATAAATATTGTTTTGTCCATCTTCATAAAAAAAAAGAGATCTTCATTTCGTAAGGCTACAATAGACATTATAAGAAAAAGATATAAAAAAGCTTCCTCAGAAAAAGTAAGAGTCGACATTTTACTCCTATGGCAATGAAAACTTATTTTTGATTGGACGACATTTTGTTCCTGTGAGAGCGAAATTTAATTCCTGATGGGCCGACATTTTACTTCTACTCAAGCAACATTTTATTTCTGATTAGGCGATATTAGGTCTTTATTTTTAATCAACTGTATCAACTCTTAATTTAGTATTCCCGATCTTTTATCCGTGAAGCATCTTTTCTTTTGTAGACAGTAGCATTTATTATGTGGTTTTAACACAAGGGTAACATCTTGGAACGATGATTTAAGGTTTGCCGGCCATCGAATCTAAATAAAGATTTGAGGTTTACGATTTCTTCAGCGCATTCAACTATATGAACTTGATTATCATGTGAAAGAGTGTCAATGATAATTTTTTTCAAATTTCTATGCTCACTGAAACCAAAGTTAGCTAATCGTTTTGCAAAAAATAAGATTTCTCATACCGTAAAAATAGTTCAAGATCGCTCATGTTTGTAGTCAAACCCGCCGAATCAATGACAACTAAGCATACTTTATTCTTCTTTGCTAATTGCTTAATCATATCTATCAACAAAAATTAGTCTTAATTTTAATTGAGTTTTATAAGATATTGAATACCTTGTGCGTCACCATTTATTCCTGATAGCTCTCCTATGATCTTATTCTTTTTGATGTCTCGTCTGCTAAGTGGAGTCTTGGCATTACAACTGACACTGACATAAACATAATCAACTAAAGACCTGCTTTTCAAACCGGCAATCATATTTTGAAGTGATTTGACAACTTCATCTGAAGAGCCTGAAGTCCTTGATTTACGACAGTACCCCAAAATGCAGTAGCCTTCCTTTTTGAGATCAGTGATATAGCCATGGTATTTTTGACTTATACCAACTATCTCTTTTAATAAACCATCTACAATATGATAATGATTACTAAATATAAACAGATAATCTTAACATTACTTACATTTAAAGCCGTCCTTTAACACGTATATCTGTCTTAGCGATGTTCTATGGTTTGAATCCCCGCGTTTCCTTTTTTTTTTTTACTGTAAACAAATATCAAGTTTTAAAATATTATAATCAGCGGAAATGTCCAGACCTCCGTAATTTTTTATTTTTTTTCAGACGTATTTTTTTATACTACTTACAGCAATTCTGGCCAAGACCAGCCAGCCAGTATGATCGCACCTATATACAGTGCAGGCCCAGCTATTCACAGCCCATGAGTTTCAAAAACTCAAGAACCCTGCCTAGGAGGTCGCCCTCCTATAGCAAAGACTAGCCGCAGCCGCAATACCACAATAATGTCTTTTTCGATTTAGTATCTTTTGAAAGAAACAAGAGCCATTACTAACTAACCTTTTTACGTTATGGGTTACTTTCATACGATAGAAGAGATATGTTAAGGGAAAAGAAAAGGAGAAGAATAAAGTGTGTGAACCAGCTTTATTTGTAGGCTGATAAACAAGAGCTTATGTCAGAATGATTTAATTGATTGTTTCATCATTTATACTGTTTGGGCCTTTACTTAAAATAGAAACATATGCAAACAACTCCCAAGCAAGTCAGAACTTGTTAGTTGTCTATCTGCGTTTCAGCAGTAGCTTTTAATGACAGTAAAGCAGATGTTATGGAAAACAGAAATCGATCATCCTATGAAGTTTAGACGATGTGGCATGTCAATCGACGTGTAGACCATCACGTTTGAAAAAAATACCTTTGAAAAAAATACGGAGTTCTGGACATTTTCGGTAAAATCAGTAAATCCATCGAGCTTAGATTCGTGTTCATCGCTTATGGGCTCTGGTTCATGTTCAACAGCTGGTTCTTTATAATTATCTTTTAATACATCCATGTAGTTATTTATTAAGTGTTCAATCGACGGCTTTTCTTGTTTTTTTAGGCTTTGAACTTTTTGATGTAGCCACATACCAGACGAGGGTATGTCTTCTGCTGACATGCTCTTCACCTCATTTCTCCTAAGCATAACTTCAATTTTTGCTTTGACAATCGGAATCACACCTGTTGGTAACTGTTTTGATTACAGTGATGAGCGAAAACCGTCTATACTTTTATGTTTTCCGTTTTTGTTTAAGAATTTCTCACATTTTTTAGAATACATCTTGTTGTTTTCTTCTGCTATCGACATACACTGGTTTTGGATCTTTTGCTGGGTAGATGTTCTGACAAACTTTGATTCCTTGTGATTTAAGAAAGGAGATTGTTCTTGCTAAACTTTCTTTAATACTGAATTGGAAATGTCCAAACGCCTCACTGAATATTGCTTCCATCGTTTGGTCTTGGGGGTCATCAAATATGACAACTTGGTTTTCATTAGCCCAAAAAAATTGTAAAATCCATCTGGCATATCTCCTAACGTAGTGGATAGAGTGAACATCCAGAGTTGTGTTATCAATCTAAATATGCCGCTAAACTTATCCCCTGTATATTGATGTCTTTTTCCTGGTAAAACAAAAAGAAGAGTGACAGCCTTTATCATGTCAGATAATCTAAAATCAACTTACTTAAAACATGCTGTCTACTCCTCTCATCGTGAGGGGTTAATCTTTTCATAGGGTCTCTCGGGGGAATATACTTAGTGGATTAGGTTACGAAAGCAAAAAGGAGAAAATATGATTCGACAACATCTCTGTATTGAGACTTATTTTACACCAAAAGCACCTAGTTAATATAGCATAGGATGACTTGATAGTGAATTGTAGCAAGATCTGTTAATATAATGAGGACATACTCCGCAGGTTTTTATATCCAAATGTCTCAATCATGCTTTTTCCTTTTACATAATAACACTGCTGGCTGTTCGTTTCAATCTCCCATATTAAGTTTTTTATTTACAAGAAAAGATAGGAGTGTATTTGTGTGTGAGTGTGTGTGCGAGTGTATGTGTGTGTGTGAGTTATAATTCTTATTCGTCCTGCGTGAGTTCTACTTCATCCTCTTCTTGTTCTTCCTCATCGTCAAGCTTTGGCTTCTTATTGTCAATTGTCATGGGATCGTCCTCTTCTTCGTCTTCAAGTGTACGCTTTTGACCTCTAGAAGATTCCTCACCCGTTGTTGCTTCATTCATCTCATCCTCGTCCTCTTCTTCTTCGCCATCATCCTTTGCTTTTGATTCATCCTTTTCCTTCTTTCTTTGTTTCTTTTCTACCATGTTCTGTTGGTAAGCTGCATAATAAAACAATTGAGTCAAATGTTTCTCTTGATTCATGTCACAAACGCTAACCTGTCAAGGATTCTCTCAATTGAGGTGCCAAATGCTCCAGCTCGACAATTTCTAAAGCTTTAAATACATCGGGTGCACTGATAGTTTTGTGGTTAGCTCCCTTGGCTACATCATTGGCACTAGAATCGCATGTTAATTTTTGGTTACAATTTTTAAAACTTGAGGTTTCTCTTTACACTGAGGATAAATAATTAATAAATACAGTAGCGGCTTTACTCACTGCCAATTTGGCATCCTTTTGTAAAGCTGTTCCAGGAGGAAGCTATGAATGTAAAAGAATGTGGTGAATAAAAGTGTGAGTGACGCATTAGTGAATCTCTTCTTACAGCAGTCTTTAAAACTCGAGTGACATTGGCTTTAGGTAACTCATTATCTTCAATCGTGCTAGACATTGTGTTTAGGACGCGTAAACAAATTGAAAAAAAATATTAAAAAAATATTTTATTTTATTATTGAAAAGGCGCGCGTGCTGCTACTGTAAAAAGTCACGACAATTTGACATCCCCCCCCCCCGAATAAAGGACATTCTTTGTAGGCCGAATCAAGTACAAGGATGGAGATTATATTGTTGGTAAAGATATTCGTACGGCCGATACTACAACTGATGGAATATCTATGAGTTTAGTGACCAGGTTATCTTCCCAGAAGAGACGCACAATTTTGGCTGAACTCCCTTCCCTGTATGCTGTTTAACTATCTGTAATTACATCTGGCGCAGGCTGGTTATTAAACTATCTCACCAATCTTGCGAAAAGATTCTTTATACTATGTAGAAAATTCAGAATAGACAACCTACTTAAAAGCGGGAATTACTGCTTATCTAGATCAGGCATTATTGCTCCCATTCTTCAAAGTAGATACCAACTTTTTATCAGACAGTAATTACTTTTTCTTAATACCAACTCTAGCATTTTGTCCTGATGTGAGTTTGTGTTAACTCAACTCTAAACGCTAATTCTTTGTATGTACTTGAGTAAGGGACCCCATTTATATAGTAGAAGGTAGTGACTTACAAAAAGAGTCCGAGCTTATTGCTGCTAACACTTTCTAGCCAACCAGATTGTTCTCCGGACGTTAAAGGCTGATTAATGCCGCTCGCAAGCTTAAAAAAACCACAATGCATACATTTTTTTTCTCTTTTTTCCTCTTGATGAGTTTAATTTGGGTCACAATGGCTCAAGATGATACTTTACCAGTACCCTTATCACGCAAAATGATATCTTCAAATGGTCTCATGTCAAAATAATATTGAACTTTAATAAAAACGTAAGAGAATGGAAAAACAAACAAAAAAACATGAGGTACTGACACTTTATTTTGTAGGTATTACAGAGGATAACCTGGAAACTCCGAGTAAAGAACGAATAAGAAACCAATGTACGATTTATTTATTTTTTTAATAATTATTTTAGCGTACTACTGTGTTGATAGAGGTTAGTTTGAATATACAATGAGAGATTAAATTACGCTTGATTATCAATTTAGCCCAGGACCTCATAGCCAGAAATGCAAAAAGCATTAAAATACCCGGAAATCTAATAGCCGGGTGTCGTGATTCCAGTAAATAATTGAATTTTTTATCGTCACATGCAGTGTTTAACTCTTTTTAGGTTGGAGGTGCTGGTTGAACAAATGCTGGGAAATTTGAATATTACATTTCCGGAGAGTAATTTTGTAATTTGGATAATCGTGGCAATAAGAAAATAAAATATAATCCGTGATTTAGTTTACAAAAAGTATATATTACAGACCATTTTTTATTTTTTAGATACAAAAGAAAAAAAAAAGGGAGTCAAATGAGTTGCCAAGAGAGTATTAACTGAACAATATAGCTTGCCATGGAGACTCCAAGTCAACCTGCTGATGACTTGCCCCCCAGAAATCCAGCTTGAAAGAGAAGAAAAAATAAAATAAAAAAAAAAAATGTATATAAACAATGTGCTACTTTATCGTCTAAAAAAAGAAAATCCAATATCCGTTTTGTACAACCACAAAGAAAAAAAAATATAAAAATAAGATGAACCCTGAAGAAGACACGCAATGTGTATAGATGGTGTGTGTGATATGGTGTGGGGCATGTGTTGGGAGGGTTTTAACCAAAAGTAGACACGATGTGAGCTAGTTGATGCAAGCCACCACCCGAAGGAGATTTATTGTCGTCGTCTTCATCCATCGGATCATCTTTGGGCTCTTCATGCTGTTTAGGATATTTCTCACTAGTTTGATTTGGTGTGACGTTACCTTCCTCTACCCCTTGTTGTTGTGCAGGATGAAGTAATGTGTACGGGAAACCTGAATTTTGTGGTCTTGTGAAAGTTAAGGGACGATGTTGGTAAAAAAGGGTAGAGGTAGAAGAATTAGAAGGGCTAAGATTCGGTGTCACTTGTTCACTATTTTCGGGTGAACTTGGTCTAGATGACCCACTCTCTTGTATAATATGGTGAGCAGATGAAGATGATGCGTTACTTAGAGTAGGTGAAGGTGTATCTTGTACTTTCTTTTTCAAGCTAGAAGGGGTCCTTGCTATAGATGATAAAGGTACGGGAAAATCAAATCGTAATGGTGATGAAAAATGAGGTGTACTTGGTGAAGCCCTTAATGATTCGTGGTAGTTGGAAAGATGTTGGTCAATGGTTAATGGTGGTTCTACTTGAACTGGGTCTGATTTTATACGGTGATGAGCATGAAGACGAGGTCTGGGTCGAACTTCATCTACACCCATTCCTCTCTTTTGACTTCTTCTGGACTTTGGTGACATGTGTGTTCTATAATGCTGCATCATATTGTCTTGACGTGAAAATCTAGACTGGCAACCAGGAAAGAGACAGGGAAAGTTTTTTTCTCCTGTGTGAATCCTGTTATGTCGAGCTAAATGCCCACTATACAAACAAAAATAACATCGGTTATTTACACATTGTTATTATTAATTTAAAGTAGCAATTACCTTGTTGTGAAACTCTTATGACATCCAGGTTCTATACAATGATATTTCCTTTTCGATAACTGTGCATCTTGTTGCCAGTCATCCGCAGTGGGCGACGTAGGTGATGTAGGCGATGTGGACAGTCTACTAGCTACTTCCTCTTCATCACTCGTATTCAATAAGCTCACTTTTCTTCCAGATGCATTCTTTACTGACAATAACACTTCGTTCATTATGTGTGTGTGTGTGTGTGAAAAAAAAATATAAAGAAAGAAAGAAAGAAGAAGAAAAAAAAAAAAAGGTTTCAAAATTTTTAAAGTTATTGGGAGTATTGTATCTTTTTTTATTATTATATAAACAATTCAGATACAGCTGGTCCGCGGAACCGCAATAATATAGACCCTTAGGAGGGGACCCAGCTTTTAGAAATAAGCTGGGTAAGACCAACACAAAAGGGTTCAACCATCTATACACTAGTCTCGCTTTCTCTCACAGTCTGCTCAGGGGAAATATACATCTAACTTCCATTGCATGGGCGGGATTTGACCATGTGGGTGTGATACATTGTGTGGTCCATATTTACTTTAATCTCCTCCCATTTATCTTTCTCTCTCTCTTTCCCAGACCCTGTATTCACCAATATGATTATTATTATTTTTATTTTATTTTTTCTCTTTTTGGACCACCCTTAAATTCTGAATTACTGATTTCTTGTCCTAATCCTGAAACATCTTGAGTGGATGTCTCATCCCTTTGTTATGATAGAACCCTATTATCTGAGTATTTAAGGTTGTGGGTTTGTCGTACCGAAGCACATTAACACTAAAAGCCTTTTTTTTTTCCCATCCCTTCTTACGTAAGTTTTCAGTATTCATAATAAATACATCCCTGAAGATCTTTTTCATTTAAAAAAAAAAAAAAAAAAAGTCTTTTTCAATTAAACTGTTCCGATACAGTCATATAATAATATAAAAAGGCACTGATTAAGAAGTTTCTCCTCCGTCAGATGATGCGCTCCTAATGTGGCGCTTCTGCTTGTGAGACATTTTGGTTGAGTTTAGATAAATTGATTTAACAAACACATTTCGACGTACTTTTCATTGCATAAAAGACTACCTTTATTGGCTTTGTTTGACTAAACCCTAAATATCTGACATTTTTGCATTGGAGGTTTTTGGAGCTCTTACCCGAAAGGGAGATTCTTATTTTTCTGCAATAAAAAAAGTTAGCTAAATCATGAAAAGAACAGGTAACTACTGTACTGTATACAACATCAAGATAAGGAAAATTAGGCTACTTTGCCCTACATACACAAGGCTGGGTGTCAGCTTTCTTTCAACTAAAAACTCATGTAAATTGATACTGTTTGAGAATAGTCTATGACTCTATTTTACAAAATGCAAGCTTTTTAACAAACCTAACACTCAAATAATGGAAAAAAACTGTAACAACAAGCTAAAGCGTTGTGGGTTAGAAAAGAACGAGCAGCCAGATTTAGCTTTTGGCCACATCTTATTGGTTAAACAAGATTTAATCACGTGCGCCCACGTGAATATCACGTGATTCACTATGTTTTATATTGGTTTATATTATTTTTAATTTTTTGTATTACATGAATCGCCCGTGTAGCGTAATTGGATAACGCGTTAGTCTTCTAAACTAAAGATTGCGGGTTCGACCCCCGCCATGGGTTCATCATTTCTTTTTGATTTTTTTTGCAAATTTTTTATTTGTTACCGAGTTTTGGGATTTTATCTATCAGTTTTAAGTGTTTCTGAGAAACCCCAAAGGTCCCTCAATCTGATGCAAGCATTCACCAATTTTTATGTACTTGGTCGAGCACCAATTGTGGTCCGCTCAGTTAAAAACCTAAAAATGGTCTGTTCAAGGTTATAGGCGATATTTATGCATTGGCATTTTAATTTTTATGATGTGTATTAAAAAATCTTTTGTTTAACCAATACGATACAAAATACAACAACTATATTAGTAGTACAGGGAAATAAGAGTTATTAAATTCATTAAGCATACTTCACCTCAACTGTTAGATCTAAAATTCCATCTGGGACTTTGGTCAAACTATTTCTTTAATTGATACAAACCAGCAACATTTTTAAAAGCGCCTTGCAGCTTTTCAAATATTCTAAAAAGGAGCTTTCTTCCCTTTCTATGTTTTTAATTCAAAAAAAAATCATACAAATAAGACAGGTTTCGACTCCAAAAGACATTTCATTTGGCTGAGGCTATGTCACAATTATTGGGTAAGGTTTAATTTAACTTTCAATTGTAGTTTACTCGAGTTCTTGCAAAACAAGCTGCATTAGAAACAATTTAGACGCACGTGAATGAATTCTAAAGAAGTAGAAAGTATGATGAAGGCGATCGGTATTCTGAATCTGTAAAAACTTACACTGGGGCTAGTTTTCGATTAAAAGGGTTTCAGGCAATTAACAAAAAATGTATCAACGTTTTACTTGCTAAGCTAAATATTGTTGCAGCTGAGGTTACCGGAGTAATTGTCCTGCTAAGTTTGGCCATTGTGTGCTTGGTTAAAATTACAGTTCTTAATATGGAGGCCATTAGCAGTTTTTAATACTTGAGCTGCTGCATTTTGTTGAATTAAAGTAGCTTAAACATTAGCAGGTGACATAATAAAATTATTTATAACATAAAGGCTCATCGAGAAAAAAGGGTTACTAAGTTGGAAATCAAGGATGTTATTAATTTGAGCACAGAAATTCAGTAATAGGGTATGGCAGTCCTTGATTATACAAAGACGACCTTGTACGTTTTAGTTATCCCTATCTTGAATAATCTTTAAAACAAGTCCATCTAAATGAGCTGAAATACACTTGAGTAAAGTTAATTGGAATCGTTAGAGAGAAATATCTTGCCTTGATGAATACTTGCTCCTCTTGCGAGCTACAAGGGGGTAATTGCCAGAAGGTCTGTATTAAATCTATTTAATGTTAAAGTACTGGTTGACAGGTTTATAAAGTTTATTATCAGTAGAATTCGATTAATTTCTATTTTCGCTGGCTTTAGATACAAACTGTAAAACAATCATTTTTCATATACTTTGTATTGAGTGCTCAAAGTTTAAACTGAATAGTTGTATATGGCACAAGTTTTTCATTACTTTTGTTCTCTCAATCAATTCTGGCAGAATTTATTCCAACACTCGGATTTGTTGTTTGACCCAAACTTCGTTTTTACTGGATCACACGGAGCTTTAAACACAAGTCAGAAGGGTCGAGATAGGTCTCTCCTACTTTTTTTTAATATATTTACTCTTTTCCTTTTTTCTTTTTTTTTCTCTCTTTTTTTTTTAATATTAAGTTATTGTAGATACCAACCAAACAAAAAGAAGGAAAGATGTCTTATAATAAAATAGGCGAAGGGTCGTCTTCGACAGGCAGCCGAAACTTGGAGAGCAGAAAAGGCAAAGGAAAATACCCAGCAAATCAACATAACGAAGAAAGTCCTCTTATCATACCTTCATCCTTTGCCAACCCCTCCCAACCTTACGGAGCAACCCCACCAGAGTCTCCACCTGCTGTTATTAATGACACAAGAAGATCCCAACGCAAGACTTGTACATATATTGCCATCTCGATAACCACTTGCAGCGTAATTATTTTATTCTTTTTACTATGGTTTGCGCCCACCTTTGCAGAACGTTCAGTCAAAGACGGTGTTGGTTTCAGTTTTCAAAAGGCTTCGATTCTTAATGTCACCGACGATAACGTCATTACTATGCATGTTGTTGGAAAAATCGAACTCGAGCCGAGTTTGTTCAATTTACAGCAAAAATTCAATCGCCTCTTTGGAACGATTGGAACTGATGAAAGCGCCTTACAGGTCTATTATCAGAAGCCATCAGTAAACACGGCTGCATCAATACCATCCATGGGTAAAATCGATTTACCTGCTTTAGACTTAAACGGCGGCTCATCCGTGACCGCTTTTGATTTTATCACTGCCTTCATGATAGATGATACAGATGCATTGATGGAGTTCTGTAGAGATGCTGTCATCGCTGAAACTATAATGTGGCGTGTATCAGGCCCACTGACTGTAAATCTCGGCTGGCTACCTTGGAGCTCAAATGTGGAACTGGACAAAACCATTGCTCTAGAAGGTATATATTTATACAAGTTGGATCAAGTTTAAATTTCTAAATCATTTTGTTAGGTATGAATGGATTACAAAAGACAGACATGCAATCAATGATCTTTTCAGAAGAGCATCCATTAGGTGGTATTGGATTGTCTGCTACGGTAGGAATATTTAATCCATCTAGCGTTTTAAGCTTAACATTGGGTGATATGGATTTCGGCATTTACCTACCATCGACCGATAAGGATGGAAAGGACGCACAAATTGCCATTGTTCAAGCCAATGATGCGGATCTTCAAGGGCACCGCATGAATTATTTCAATGTTACAGGTCGTACTTTACCAATCACCGACGAAGCACAAGCATTGATGGAGACTTTTATCACCAGCTATATTCACGGCAATACTACCCTTGTTCATGTACGAGGTAGTGCTATGGGTCCTGAAGATGAACCTCGTAAAAAACATGTCAGTAGTACTCCCCGATGGCTCCGTAAAGCTCTCGAAAAAGTCGTGATAAGTGTACCTTTCCCTGGTGCCACTGAAACAGACCTCATTCAATCACTGGCATTGTCAAACATCAAAATTGACTTTTCAAACACAGGTAGCCCGTTGATTTCAGGCGACGCTATTGCGTTGCTTAAAAAACCACAGGAAATGCAATTTCATATGGATGTTACAGAAATTGATCCCCTTGTTTACTTGTACTTAAATTTGGATTCCCCGTCACCTTTTGCAAGTGTGCATTCTAGCAAACCATGTCCTGCAAGTTCGATTGATGGGGATGGTATTGATTTACCGTTAGGTAGTATGAAAGTCACTTCTCGCTTATCTCGTGCTCCTTTCAAGGTTATGCCTGGTGGTCAAAAAGATTTTGAAGAGTTTATGAACAGAGTGTTTAAACAAAAGAAAGGTAAAGTCTATATCCGAGGAACTTCGGCCGCAAAAGTAGAAAGCGCTTTTGGCAATTTAAATATCCGTGATCTGGAATTCAATGGAGTAATTGAAACTCAAGGATTACAAGGCTTGAAGTATCCTCCACCCAAGGTGACTTCCATGAACATTGTCAGGGGCCACCAAGACGCCCTTCATGTTAAGACTGAATTAAAAATTTACAGTCCGTCCGATGTGAATATTAATTTAGGCGAATTAAACATGATGTTGCTTTTTGATGGTCACTTGATTGGTAATACCACAATCCCAAAATTGTCACTCGCCCCAGGTGTTGATAATGACCTGACCGTTTCTGCATGGCTTTATGGCGATAACGAGCATGTTACAGATTTTGTCGGTCAATATATTTCAAATGGTAACCCAAAAAAAAAAAAAAAAAAAAAACCTAAATAAAGCCACAGTTGTACTAAAAATATTTGTACCTTTTTTTTTTTTTTTCTAGGAATCGGCGCTAGTAATATTACGCTTACTATTTCTGGAAATCACCCAAATGCATCTCCATCCAAATTCTTAAACAGCTTTTTACAACTCTTGACATTTGATGTTGAGCCACCAGTGTTTGCTGAGGCACCTTTGCTAGCAGATTGCCAAATGAATATATTGTCATCCACCGTCATCATGAGTTTGAGAAACCCTTTTGAAGGCGTGGAAATGTCCATCAACAAACTTAATGCATCTGCGACATACGAGATTTATGAGATTGGACGAATGGAGGCCAATTTCGAAGATTTAGGGGAAGGATGGAAGGGTCCTCTTGTTTTGCCACCACCGGATTGTGAAAAAGGAGAGAAATGCGTAGGCAAAGTTGTTGATTCAGAGAAGGTACATATCCAGACCAAAAAATTGGGATTCGAACCCATTAAAAGAGCATTGGGTGGTTCAATCGAAGTTTCGGTCGATAGCGAAGTGAGTGTCATGATTGACAAGTATGCATTGAAAGACCTGCAATACCGTCAAAATAATATCACTGCTAGAGTTGTAAAAAAGTTTTAAACAGTTGGAGCTTTGTAATAATAAAATCATAAGTCTTGCTAAAATATCCTATTAAAGTCGTACAGAGGAAGTGTTAAGAATCAAGACCCTTTAAGAGCTGACAATATGCTTGCTTTAATCAATTTAGTTTAAATGATGTCAGCCATTCCTTTCTGTAGTTTAGAAAATTATAGAGACACTTGTTTATAGCTAAAGATTGATTGCTAGTTTAAAGAGCCATAACCCTACACTTTATTCATATCTTATAGATCTAGTAGTCAACAGGCTCAATAGTTATTATACCGGGTATAAGAACAAAAAGATAAAAATGTAAGTAGAGATATCTTGATCTAGCTTATGTTGGGTGTATTTATTTACCTATAAAATATGTCAGTGGATTATATGTTACTACTTTTCTGTGGACAATTAAGCTATTGTTTCAGTACTTGCTTTTACCCTATTTAACAAGTGTACTAAATTCTGGTCCTGAGTATAATTGACTTTTATCACTACGAAAAAAAAAAATGTTGATAATCGATTTGACTTACTTCTACTAGCAACATTGTAAGAAAACAAAATAAAAGCTTATAAATCTTGATAATAATCCCGCTTTCAGTTAGAATATCACAATCAATGTTTATAGAATATTTAACTGTCATAAATAATTCCTGATTGAAACCCAGTAAAAAGAAGAAATAAAATGGAAAATAGGTTAAAGTTTGATTTAGGGGTTCTGCACGTGTTTCTTTTACTTTATTCTTCTTCTTGTGTCATGATTACTTGCATTTTAATTATAAGCTGCATAGCTCATTGTTCAGTCAAGAAAGAAGAATAATAAGCGGGTTGCAAGTTTCTTGATTGGTGATGCTATGAGTATGCTAGCGTATGTTTTAATAAACTATTTCCATGATTCACATGGGGAAAATTAAACAAGTAGTTTCGTGTGACATGATATTATAAATAAGTACCGCTTAAAAATTAACAATTATATGTTACTCAGATGAGTAGTTTTGTGAAATGCGCCAGAAGATGAAGAAAGTAGCATTATCTCAGTCCCCTGGTCTCCCTTTTTCGTACTATTAATTATAAAATGTTACATTTTGTAACCACAGTTTTTTTACTATCTTTTTTCATTCTTTCCTTCCTTTTTTTCTTTTCTTCCCTCCCAATCACTTTCATTTCAAACGATGCGTATAATATTTCTTTCAGTCTTAGTTTTACTATGTGTGCAAGGAAGTGTGGCTTTTTGGTGTGAGCTCTTAAACAATTGTCCAGTATCCACTACTCCACCGCCACCGCCAGCGGCTTCTGCAACTCCAATAGTGCCCCAAAACTCAACATCTATTCCCGCCCCCACCGTAATAACTCCACCTACCAGTATAGCACCTTCCTCAACTCCCCCCGTTGCTTCTAGTACTACTGTGTCTAGCATAAAACCATCATCGATCAGCTCAGCTGCTCCCTCATCCGTTCCTACTAGCATGCCTAGTTCAACTTTTACTCCTACAACAACTTCCGAAACTTCTACTATGACCTCTGCTACTCCTTCAGCTACACCCACAAATAAACCAGAGGAAAGTAGCGGTAGCAATATTGGTGTTATTGTTGGATCTGTGTGTGGTTTTATTGCAATTATTGGTGCAGGATTTGCATATGCATTCTTTTCCAAGACAAGAAGAAACAACCGAGATAAGCGACTTTACAGTCAGTCAGACGATAATAATTATGGTAATGGCGGTCCTCAAGATCTTTACAGTCGTCCTTCTCCAGCCTTAGCAGCTTCAGCAGCAGCAGCTGCCAATAATATTCATGGTCATAATCAATATGATAATAACACATCTTATAATTATGCTCCTCAAACACCCATGGTTGCAGTAGCTAAACACGACCCTTACTATTCTACAGCACCTGTGTCTCAGATGGGTTATCCTACCTCCGACCCTTATTATAATAACAATCAACAACAGTATTATGATCCTAATGCAGTTTATTACGATCCACAACAGCAGCATTATGATCCACACTATGTTGATTCACAAAAGCATCAATATGAGCCATATGCTCAACATCAATCACCAGTTTTGGCTAACAATAATGTTAGCACTCCTATTACCACAAGTTCCAATGTATATTCGGTACCACATAGCTATTCTAATGAGCCAAATAACAATGTAAATCACAGGTAGAATTCCACTTTTTTGTTTAGTATCCTTCACCCCCCCCCTTTTTTTTTTACAAATTACTTACCTACTATAACTACATCCCCCTCCCTTTTATTACTTATTCTTTCACCATCTATTCTAACCAAAAAATTCTCGTATTACACACTTCCTACCCACACTCTAACTCTCTATACACCTTGTTACACATTCGCACACCAATAAAATGCAACTATAAATACTACAGCGTACAAAATGCCGCATAATTTTTTTATTACATGATGGTACATTGATCGTTGGACATTCTATCCGTAAGACGATCGAGCCAAGAAAGATCACCAGTACCTTTACCGAATTCAATGTAGAGACACCCGGGATTAGGGATGTTGGGTTGACAACTAACGTTGTACTTCTTTACGAGTTCAATGATGGCCGGCTTTAATTTAGCGATTTGGCCAGGACTGTGAAGGCCTTTACCGACAATAATCACAAGATGATCATCACCATTTCTCTGACATCTCTGAATAGCTTCTTCAACCTTTTGAGAGGCTTCCTTGACAAACAATCCGTGTAAATCAATCTCATTGGATGCTCGACCTTGGTTTTTTTCTAATATAAACAAGTAAATAATCAATAAATGTAAAACAAATCAACAGGAAAAGCTTACGTGAATAAATATGTTCAGCCGCCCTTTGATTAAATTGTTTCATCAAGTTGTCATGCTTGTGGCCCTGATTTGACAACTCCTTGGCTGAATTTTATTTTTTTCTTAATTGGTATAAAGAAAATCTTTAGATAATACACACAACCTACCTCGAGCGCCGTCACCGCTGCTATAAGCTTCTTGGCTTTGAGCATAACAAGCGTTTCTCTTTTCAGCTTCTTCATGAGCTTGTGCTCGTAAAGAGGCATACTCATCGTCATCATCGATGTCAGCAGAAGGATGGTAATTCGAGGAATGAGTGCTACTGGAAGAGGAATGGCTATATTGCTGTTGTTGCTGGTAATGGTTATTCTGCTGTTCTTGTTCACTTTTCACAGTCTTGTAAATTTTAATTCCTTCTTTCACAACATGTTGGACCTTGTCCATGGATTGAGAATTACCCATTTGTGCAAATAATTAATTTTTTTTGAAAAACAAGGAAGAAGAAATACAGCCAAGATCGATCAAATTTAAGCGAGAGAGGTTGCAGGAGGACATTTAAAAAAATTAAAGTTCTTGTGCGGCCCAAAAGTCTACATATGGTAGCTATGGGATACACAGTGTTTTCCATTGTTGATTAAAAAAATCGGTCCCTTATCTCTTTCCTGAACTTCAATTTGCAGTGTTTCTAAAATCCAAACAAATCTTCAAAGAACCAATGATTTCTGTTTTTTTTATTAAGAGGGGAAAGTGAGGAAGGGCGCTTTACTTGTGTATTCAGCCGAATCAACTTTACAGGGGTGGTGAGAGAATTCATCTTTGCACGAAACGTAATTTTATGGAATGTTACTATAAAGATGAAGATGCGGGCTTGTAGAATTGAGCAGGAAAGTAGCCTCAGCATATACCCTATAGTTTGGTGGTTGTAGTTATTCTTGCCCACTGTTTGAAAGAATCACAAGAGATGAGGTGAAATTCAAACCAATAATTGAGAGTTATTTACAATTTTGTAATAGGAGCGTTCCAAACCAGATACAGTCCAACAAATGGGAGAGGCGTTTAAACTAACGAAAATAGACCATTTAATAAAATTAATATCATGATCAAGCCGGTTATTGATGCTTATCTAAATACTACACTCTATGAACACGCCAAATGCTAGTAAAAGCTTGCGGCCCTGTCTAAATATGTTGAAAGGTGAGTAGGGACGTAGTCATTCAGAGTATATGGCTAAACGGCAGTGTACAATCCAATGCACATGAATAGTATAACGGAGTATAAGAAACTACTGCTATTCTTTAAACTACCATCTGTGTTGAAGACATGTCATTTTACAGTAACTTCTTTATTATTAGTTTGTTTCAAATGATGTGTGTTTTGTTAAAAGCTTCAAGAAGCAGGACTTACTTATTCAATCCATAATTTTGCACTATTGCTTCGGAAGCTAACATGTTTTGTGGTTACGTGAATATGTATAACATGTTTGGCCAGACAACACATAGCAAGACCAACACAGGAGTCATATTTACAATGTTTTTGTTGCTAATAAGATTTACAGTTATAGAACAGCAACATTTATCTTTTTTAGGCATCTATCCAAACTTTTTAACACTAAATACAACGGGACAAAAAAATTAAAGGCTTTTGTTCAAGAAGTCGCTATTATGGGAAAAAGTGAGTTAAAATTTTAACTTCTAGTTAACCTCGTTTTGAAGTGATTTTTTGCCTTTGAGAGTTAACCTCTAGTTAACCTCGTTTTGAGGTGGTTTTTTGCCTTTGGGAGTTAACCTCTAGTTAACCTCGTTTTGAGATGAAATTTTGCCTTTGAGAGTTAACCTCTAGTTATCATCGTTTTGAGGTGTTTTTTTGCCTTTGGGAGTTAACTTCAATTCAATTTTGTTTGGTGGTCAAACTTTCGCCTTTAAGACTTAATTTCTTCAGAGTTAAATGTAAAAATCCTTGGGTTGCATTTATGTAATACTACATTTAAGAATTATTTATCAATACTCAAAAAAATATATCAACTTAATTAAAAAGCACCATGTAGCTTGAAAAGTATGATTATGCACTCGCAATCCATAATTGTCTTTATTTCCCTTTTTGGAGCTTAAAGTTGACACACGGTTTCTCGTTATTTCAGTCGCGGATGTGCTACGGGCCACAAGGGAGAGCGATATTATCAAAACACATAGCACAATCTAATAACATGTAGGGCTTGACCTGTCAGGCGTATTAGAAGTTCGTCCACAATAGTCTGCAATGAAATACATTGTTAATAGAACTTGACTGCATTTTTGAATTAAACATTATGAGTTTTTATCATTAACAAGGGAATGAAGGTCTCTCTTCGTGTTTAAAGAAGTAATAAAAGTGGGCTGTTCGAGCTTAACTATATTCCCCATATTAAGAAATGAGGTGGGAAAAGGCAGAAGATGAATTTAACCCAATGGACATGACAAAATATGAAATGGAACATTTTTAGGTCCCACCCAGGTGAACAAAAATAAATAAATATAATATTCCCAGAATGGGTTGCAATCCCATTTCTCTCTCTTTTTACCTTATATTTTTTCATGACAAGACCAGATATTTTTAGTTTAAAGAAACAACTTGTTGTTTATGGTTCTCACCATAATAACAAGGTGAATATTGCTATCCATATGGTATTCGTACCTACTATTTTCTGGACAGGTAAATAAAAAGATTTGAGTTACAAAAGTATACTAATGCAAGCCGTAACAGCACTTGTATTCGCTGCAAATACCGGCCCATTTGTGGATGTCACTGGAACTCCCTTTAGCTTCTTATCAGGCTTCGGTCCAAATCTTTCATTCGTCACAGTGTTGGGTTATTTGACTTATTATGCTATTCTCGACCCCATTGCAGCCGTAAGTTGTTTCTTATTACTTGGACATTCTAATTAACCCGAACCAAAACATAGGCCATTGCCACCCCCATTCTTCTTGCAATGAGTTATACTGCTACATCTTTCTTAAACAACAATCCCAACGCCAACAAGATTGCAATTAGCATTCACATTGTCTCCTGGATATTCCAATTCTTGGGGCACGGTTTTGCCGAAAAGAGAAGTCCAAAGCTATTGGATAACGTCGTACAAGGTACTAAGTTGCAATTTGTTTACATGTAAATTTTCTCATATTTAACCTTATAATTAGCATTGGTATCTGCACCTTATTTCGTATTTTTTGAAGTCTTATTCTATCTTGGTTATCGACCTCAGCTGTATGAAGAAATTATGATTGATATCAACAAGGATGTTGCCGAATTTAAAGCGAGTAAGTATTTTAAATAAAATAATTCTGCCTGTCTTAATCATTTTTAATTCTATTAGAAAGAGCAACACGTGAAGGAGCTCGTTACCAATCACTCTAAGTCCCTATGATCTTTGTATCGCGTTTAATTTTTTTGCATGATCAAATAAACACACACACACACTCTTTCTTATTCTCTCTCAACGGCAAACACGTGATGCACAAAGATACCTCTTGTTTTTTTTGAAACTCCCAGTTTTTTTGTGTACATTTTTTTTTCTTTTTTCCTTCAGTAACCCATCTTTACCACATACTTGTTTTGGGGTTATTAATGAAATGGGCCCTTCACCTTCATTAACAGTTCCTTTATCATCTTCACAAAATTCTGTAGATGTAGACGATACAGCCACGAGTTTACCTTCTTCTTTACCAACACACACCTCTAAGCCGCCCCTCAGCATGTCACAAGAGGTAACAGAGTGTACACATGTTCTTCTTTCTCCAAAATGTACTCAACTTTCTATCTCTAGTTGGAGGAATTACTGATAAAACTAGATAAAGAATCAAAAATGAAGTCTGGGGTAGAAAATATGCTCGAAGTCTACTTCAAAGACAAGAAGCGCACAAAGGACTTGGAACTTCAACTCGAAGCTTATAATACATCCATTGATGATACAATAAAACGCATTGAACACATCAGAACAAATGCCGGTACAAAACATTCTAGTCAAAACTTCTCTCTATATCTGACTGACCCTTCTCTTTCTTGTCACTAATTAGGAAGCAATATTATTGAAGTTGCAAAACTTTTAAAGTCTTATAAATATACTGGAACAAGCTTCTCAGATGCCATTACACCGTCTGTTCTAGCTCAATCACGCTCGAAACTGAGGTCGAACGGAGGTACTTCAAAAGGCAAACAGAAAGCATCACTAGAGAATGTTTCGTACCCTGATGACGGTATTGTTTTTCCATATAAAATAAAACTATCCCAATATCTTAATATTTTTTTTTTTATATAGATGCGTGGCCCATTGGAAAGCGACTCGATCATATTATTCAATTCCTGGAAATGGACGAATGGAAACTCATGGCAAATACAACCATCAAGGATTCAAAGCTAGAAAAGCTCGAAACTCTCATCAGAATATTAAAAAACACAACTGACATTGATACTTATTGTCCCAAGAAGAAATTAATTATATGGTAAAGAAAAATGAAGAAAAATTGCATAATTTGTAAACATGACATAAATTAAAAAAAAAAAAAAAAACTAATAACATAGAGTCTAGTTTACGTCAATGTATTGTCAGTCCTACCAAAGAAATACGGATTATGGCTTTAAGAGCACTACGCTTATTAGTGGAAGGCCCCCACGATGTCGAAACCATGCTGGTACACCAATTAGATATTTTCACAGCAAGGTATATATACTTTTATATAAATAAAATAAAACACACAATTAAAAATAATGAACCCCACCCAACTCAACGTGTTAATATGTTAGAGCTTTGGCGCGTGATCCAGAAGGATATGAACCAGAAAGAGAACAGACATTAAAGCTCATACGCTCATTTATCGAATATGGCGGTGTAAAATATATCAACCAAGGCATTGTTAAGGCTGTCGTAGCTGTTGCAGAACAACAGGATTGTAAACTGAGAAATATCGCATTAGAGACCCTGGCCGAATTGACAATTTTGGATATCGCATTGACCGTAAGATCCGGTGGATTAAGAGTACTGATACAAGCATTGATTGATGGACAACCCGGAATATCAGAAGTATTAGTTCAGTCTGTATTATATGTGCTCGATTCACCCGAAAAAAGATGTTACCTTAGACCAGGTGTGGAATTGGAGACCATCATTGCTCCTTTCACTGAAAACAGCAAAGGGGCTAATTATGAAGAACGACTTAAAAATAGTGCTAAAATGGTGACGACCTTGATCAAGAGCTGGGCAGGTATTTTTTATATGAGTGCAAACAATATGAGGGCCGCTCGTTCTGTTGTGCAAGCATTACGCATGCCTATACCAGAAACCCAGGTAAATCTTACTATGGCAGTAAGAAACACAAGTGAGCTAATACAGAAAAATATAGAAATTGGCACTAGATATGTTCTTCGAAGTGTTTAGAGTGAAACTGCCAAAGGATCACCACGGGTTTCTTTCGGGAAGACAGCACACCGTTCAAATAGCACCCACCACCAGTTCAGATTCAGCAAAGACATCAAATCATCCAGGACCTACTTCTGTATTAAACGGTGTAGTCATGTCTAATTTGATGACAGCGGGTGGCATCAGTCCTGACGCCTATGCTAGATCTACATTAAATCGTGGAGCTACCACAGCCAGTAATGCCGAGAGACTCAAGATGCTGGATCATCATCTCAGTATTATCATCATCATCTTTATCGAATCGGATATTCTGATGGCACTTATTGATATGGTGAAATCAGATGATATTTACATGTCACGTAAAGCCACTTTATTAATTGGTGAAATCCTGCAACTTTCCACCCGTCTTTTACCCATTTTGATGGCCATCCAAGTACAATCTTTACCCAAACTCTTTACATTAGCATCCAATTTCGATGACGAACAAGTGCGACATAATGCCACAGCAGCACTGGCTCATATCGATCGATTGACTCGAGCAAGAACTCGTTATGTCGCTTCCAACGCAACATCCACTTTAGCCACCTATAAGGGAGGTGAACGTATTTTAAATAGTGCAACCTCCGCCCGTACACAAGAAAAAGTGCATGAAGTCAAATTAAAAATTGGTTATGCCATTGACGATACTCATTTCAGACAGCTCCTTATGGATTCTCAAGTGCTCAACACCAAAGATTATACAAAATGGAACTGGGATAGCGTGACAGAATTACTACAGGGCCCATTGTTAAACCCGAGACGATTGGAAGAAGCCATGCGTGGCAGAAAATTTATCAAACGACTGCTGGCATTTTATCGACCTTTTAAACATCAGTTTTCGGACATGAATGCTACCAAAGGAACCATCGGTCGTTATGTTAAGACGGGTTGTACATTGTTATCGACCTTGTTGACAAATACCGATGGCGTACGCTATTTAATTGAAAATAAATTACTGGGGGATATAGCAGAAGCCTTTAATGAATTAGATCCTTTGCTCTTGAACGGTGATCCCGAAACAGAGCCCATCTTTTCAAAGGAACGCATGGAAAGTACTTTAACATGTGGTTACTTTGCTCTATTAGGCACATTATCAAAATACAAGGAAGGTGTACGCATCTTAGAGAAATTCAAAATTTTCAGCTGTTTTTATCAAATCTCGGAACTCAAGAATAGAACTGATCTCAAAGTCGCCATGATTACCAATCTTGATTATACTTTAGATGGACATCCTCGAGTATTATTGTCAAAAATCATGACATCCGGTTATAACCCCATTCGTTTGTTCGCTACACAACATATCGGTGTCATCATGCGTCAGTCAGAAGCTGAATATAACGACTGGGTCATTCGGTTATTGGTTACGCAGCTCTATGATACTCACATGGATGTCTGTCAGACTGCTGTCAGTTTACTGGACGAAGCCTGCGAAAAACAGGCCAATCTGGAACTATTAGTGCAATGCCGACCGAGTTTAGGTCATTTAGGCGAGATTGGGAACCCATTGCTATTAAGGTTTTTGTCGACTTCCACCGGCTTTTGTTATCTAAATGCCTTGGGCTATGTTCAAAAAGAAATGGACGATTGGTTTGAGGTAAGAAAAAAAAAGAATATGAAGTGAAATTGATGATAGCAACTAACATCCTCCATGTCATGCAGAGAGGAAATCAGAATTATGTAACACAATTGGAGCTTTCGCTGGCGAGAGCATTAGTTAATACGCCCGAAAAAAAAGTCATCAATCCATTTGAAGAACGAGTAGATAGTGAAAACGATTTTGAATCATTGTAAGTTACACTTTGCTTACCTTGGAGCTAATGCTAATATATGTATACTCTTTTTTTTTTTTTAAAAAAAAAGACAACCAGGGGATGGATTGACACCGCCTCACTTTTACGGCGAGTTAACAAAGACAGAGGAAGGATGTCATTTATTACGAGATAAGGGTCATTTTAAATTATTTGCCGATTTCGTTCGTAATTTCCCGCTAGAAAAGCATGTGGAAATGGAAGAATCTCTGGCTCAATTAAAGGCGGTCTTATGGGCGCTGGGGAATATCGGTGCGACTAAAAATGGACTGCCGTTTTTGGAAGAAGAGGACATTGTTAAGGACATCATTATCATGGCAGAGAGTAGTGATATTCTATCATTAAAAGGGTAATATGGGCCATAACTTATTTTACATTTAGATGACTAATGGACTACCTGTATAGAACTTGTTATTATGTGCTTGGGTTAATTGCCAAAACGCAACAAGGTGTAGAATTGCTAGGTGAAATTGGATGGGAAAGTGTGGTCTCACCTAACGGAGAACCCGAAGGATTATGTGTGCCATTAAATCTATCCCGATTCTTGACAGTGAGTTGAAAAAAAAAAAAAATGTCATCTCTTAAAATAAGTCTTAATTGGGCCATCTAAATAGATTCGGAATTGGAAATATAAGCCTGCATTGTCAGCACCACCTATTCTACCAAAATCTGCCACAGCTGATTCAATTGGTGCAGACATACTAAAGAATATTGGTGATATGAGCAACCATATATTAGCGAATGAAGCCTCTAAAAACTTGGCTAGGTATGTAAAGAATCAAAGTAAATAAATAAATGATCATTATGACTAATAACATAGATATAGATTAAAGCAATTTTACCCTGAATCTTTCAAACGAGTGGACCTGTACTATTCTGTATGTCAATTATTAGGCAGCTATCATTTTAGGTCCCCCGTGAGAAAATACGTATTAGAGATATTCGATATGCGATTTACGACCGAGTTGTTGAAAGAGCTTGATGAGATCTCTGCTACGACAACACCATGTATAACATTTACCTCAACCGATGAAGCGATTTTGTCCAACACAACACATTCTACATCGGCTATTCCCAATCCTAGCGACAGTATACCACAAGAGAAATTAGAGCCAAAGCATGTAAAACTAGGATTTCATATACGATGATCTCATTTCTCCCCTCTGGGGATTTTTAAGTCCCCGAGAGTACATAATCATGCTGATGATTGAACCATCTTCCTTAATTCTGATTGGATAAAACTCATTTAGCAAGCATGCTTTTTTTTTTTTCTAAACCATCAAATCTTTTTTTTTTTTTCATCCAATCTTTTTTTTTTTTTTTTTTTTTTTTTTTTTGTACATATAATAAAAACTTCCCACTAAAATATAGTTTCACATCTTTCTTCTTTCTATTTCACTTTATTTTAAATAATGACAGATATTCTTCCAGCATCACCCACTGCTTCTGTAGCAAGTACCACCAGAAAATATCGGTTTGCAACTGAAGTAGTTACTGTTGATAACTCAGACGATCCACATAATGCCGCTTCTGTTCCCATTTATCAAACAGCTACTTTTAAGCAAAAGACAGCTACTGGATCTGGTGAATATGATTACTCTCGTAGTGGTAATCCTACCCGTACTCATGTTGGTAAGTCGTACACAATCATTATATATTTAATTAGATTTATTAACCATCTAATAGAAAACCATTTGGCAAAGATCATGAGTGCTGAAAGAGCATTGGTTGTAACTAGTGGTATGGGTGCTTTGGACGTGATTACTCGCCTCGTCAGCGCAGGTGAAGAAATCATTGCTGGAGATGATCTTTATGGTGGTACCAACAGACTCTTAACTTTCTTGGCCAAGAGTCAAAATGTCAAGACACATCATATCGATACCACCAAATCCGACTCTATTTTACCTTATTTATCTGACAAGACGCGTTTGGTCTTGTTGGAGTCTCCCACCAACCCTCTCATCAAAATCAGTGATATCCCCACCATCTCCAAATACGTACATGAACGTTGTCCTAACGCATTGGTTGTTGTCGATAACACCATGATGTCTCCTTATTTGCAACGTCCTCTTGAACTCGGGGCTGATATCTCATACCATTCGGGCACAAAGTATTTATCCGGTCATCATGATTTGATGGCCGGTGTCATTGGTTCAAAAACGGCTGCCGTCGGTGATGAACTTTATTATGTGATTAATGCCACAGGCTGTGGTTTAAGTCCCTTTGACTCATGGCTTCTTTTACGTGGTGTCAAGACATTAGCTGTACGTATGGATAAACAGCAAGCGAGCTGTATTCGTATTGCCAATTATTTGGAGGATCAAGGTTTTAAAGTGCATTTCCCTGGACTTCGTTCTCACCCTCAACATGATTTACATGCCAGCATGGCTTCCGGACCCGGTGCCGTCTTGAGTTTTGAAACAGGCGATACGGGCATTTCAGAACGTATTGTGGAGGGAGCCAAGTTATGGAGTATTAGTGTTTCATTCGGCTGCGTTAATTCATTAATCAGTATGCCTTGTAGAATGTCCCACGCTTCTATTCCCGCTCATGTGCGCGCTGAAAGATCTCTCCCTGAAGATCTCATTCGTTTATGTGTCGGTATTGAAGATGTCGAGGATCTTTTAGAAGATTTAGAACAGGCTTTACATATCTCCGGCGCATTACCATCCAAGTAGAAACATACACATTCTTTTTACATCCATATAATCCCCCCCCCCCTTTTATTTTTTCCTGTATACACCCTTTCTTTCACAAACAAATGTAATAAAACAAAAACATCTGTAAAAATAAATAGTTCGGTTTGTCTTTTTACGGAGTCTCCGGTAGGCTTGTAAATATTATACAATAAGCTGAATGTATGATGAAATAGACGTCAAATGAATTCAGGGGGGTTTACAACTTGACGAAATAATAGAAACAATACCTTTATTTCAAAATAATAATAATAATAAAAAAAAAAAAAATGGGAGTATAAATGAGAAGGTGCATTTTCTCTTCTAATGATATATGATGCATTTACTAGTCTTCTTCAAGGGGATCATCTTCTTCCACAGGTTCTACTACAACCACCGTGATTTGAACTTGATCTTTTTCTACCTTGGCATCATGCTCAAAGGTTAAATCTACTGTGAAACGGTCACGACCACCGTTGGCCATCATGAGTTTAGTTGGACTGTATTCCAAAGTATTCAGCACACTGTTCACTTCTCGCATAGTCACATCTTGTAACTCAAGTCGTGTCTTCTTTTCATACGTGCCATTGTTAATACGACCACGTCCAATGGAAGCTTCCACTTGCAATGTCACTTTGGAGATCTTATTGGGTCCACCACGTACAAATATCACATTCAGACCTTGAAACTTGCCAGGCACAGGTTGTAATACCAAAAGATTATCATGTTTCTTATCATCTTCCAGCATACGTTCTGAGATGGAGTGGTAGAGATAGTCGCGGGGACCTACTAAGCGCATGGGGACATCATATGTACCTGTAGACGAAATGATACTATGTGTTTTGGTACCACGATGAGGTATATTTAAATCAAACTTTCTAAACACAAAATCAATTGCACTTCCCGCTTGCACAGGCTTATTGTTTGTCATCTTGCCGAACAAATGAATGTTCCAACTAAAAGGCTCAATCTTATTTTTGACATCTTGTTCAGCTAAAGCATTGGGTTCCAGCAACTTGTGAATTTCGTTATAGCCGTATGGATACAAGACTTTACGAGGTAAGATGGTTAATCCGCCTTCTTCAAGCACAGCGCGTCGTTCACGAACATAGGATGTGATAGCCTTGGGTCCACCACAGTTAAAGCAATCAGGGTCATAAATAAAGGAATCAAAAGCTCCTTCCGCCATTTCTCGGAATAGTTTCCAACCGCGTTTAAATCGCATCAGACCTTGAGGTAGATACAGACCTTTATCATCAAGCGTCCATGCACGATCATCATAATTATTGGAATAATCCGACCCGATAAATTCTTGATTAGAATTGGGAGGGATACGGATCCATAACGCATCCATATCCATGTAAGTACCACCGTATTTATACAATAAGATACAACGAATATAATCTGTCAAATGGTAGTTAAAGTATTGTCCACCATCCCATTTCTCCCAGTCCTGAATCCAATCTTTGGTGCCAGGTCCGAAATACCAGTCCCATTTCAACAGGTTTTCTTTGGTAAAGTTGACTAACTGGATATTGTAACCACGCGCCAAGTATTCGTTAAAGAAGTTCTCGGGCAGTGAGTTAGACATCATAATAATTACAGCGTTAGGTTCGTGAACCCAAACCATCTCAATCGCACGCCAATGACGATCTGTAAATGTCTCGGGACCACTTGTCCAGCAAACCCAATATAACAAGTGCCAATTTTCCTCATCCTCGGTATAAATAGATGAACGTGCCGACAGGATATCTTTAATAATCCATTGATCATTGACACCAATGACGGACGATGGTAACGTATCCTTGACAACCGGACCAGAAATTTTCTTGTAAGCCTGATTTTCACGCAAAGAAACACCGCGTTCAAGGTCACAATGTAAATTGCTGGAACGCCAATTATCGGATTTACCATGACAAGGGTAACATACAGCACACTTCTTTTTCTTGTTTAAGCCAAAGCATTGAGGCTGTCTGTGCTCGGTGTTCTTATAGATGAGTTTCATACTCTTATCAAACTTGTCGTAAGGAAATCGTTTGGCGATCATGGACTCTTCGCATGCATCGGCTGAGTCTTGAATACGTATATCGTGAGTTGGTTCAATATCAAATCCGAATAACCACATGGCTAAGTTTACATCGTCTCGACTCACAAAGCGTTGAGGGTGCTCTATTTTAGCAATTCTGTCCACAATGTCACTGGAAATAGTGTACAATGTACCTGAAGTGAATGCTGGTAAAACTGGCATAGCGTAATCGTGATCCATATTATAACTGGGCTTAAAATAATCGATTGGCATATTTCTATATCCTAAAAGAGTCAGTATGGGGGGATCGTCGTGATTAGATGATTGTTTACCTGTAAACAAAGCCGTTCCAATAATTAGACTTGGGAGAACCCAATTCAACCAATTCTTTACGTAAAACATCAAATCTGACAAAGACATCATCATCTGTCTTGACGAGATAGTCATGACGTACAGAAGAAGACGCCCATTTAAAGGCCTCGAATAATTTCTTACTCTTGTCCAACTGTAGATCTGGAGCTGGTACGACCAACAAATCATGATATTTCTCCGATTCCGCCAACAGTTTTGGTCCCATCCAGGATTGAATACGTGGAGAAGGGGGTTGACCCACAACAAATCTATAAATGATGTTTGTATCACTTGTTTTCTCAGTCCAATGTAACGTTGTGTCTCGTAAGATTTGGCGTTTTTCAGCACTTTGTGAAGTCCAAGAAGATAAGATCAACACAAGAATCGTAATCCCGCCCGTGATAGGGCTGACCGTACTATCCAGTTCAAAAGGTGGTTGGTTATTCATCAATAGGATGGAATTGTATTGTAATCGATTGACTTGTCCAGTCAGCGCAAATCCTGATAATCCCATCACGATCAATAGTGGTAATAGCAGAATCTTTACTGCTGTACTCTTTAAATTGAAACGAGTGGTGGGTAAAACATCTTCGATCTTTTGACTGTATTTCGTACTAGAAGCAAACGTCAGCTTGAGAAAGTTTAAAAATAACAGAATAAAACAGATGGTCATCTGAATCCGAATGGGGTCTGAAGCATCGATGATTGAACCGATGATGCCTGTTAAACACCAGGTGACAACAATAAGTGTTAATAGTCGAATGATGGCATGTTTGATTTCGTAATGATAAAGCCATCGCTTCATCATACTGGTAGCTAGAATCCAGCTCCAATAACCAGCTAATATGCACTTTATTTCAATGTGTTAATAATACTGAGCGAGTCGAAAAGAAAAGAAATACTCACCCAAAGTATAGCCACATAATATTCGGCTTGTGTTGTTTGTATTGTTAAAGGTCCACCTGCATCTCTTTCAGGTACTTGCCAAGATGCTTTCAGGTTGTGAATGATATTTAGCGCGGCAGGGACGCAACTCAGAGCTCGTAGGATACTTACTGGTATCTCATATCGACGAGGTACGTTTAAACTTGATAAAATTCGTTTCTGTCGAAAAAATGGCAGCGTGTTTTTCTATAGCAAAGGTCAATTTTTTTTCTTCCTCAATTCTTATATTATTCTTCATTTACTTGTGCCATGGATTATAGTATCACACAAATTGTGTAATATATGTTGAATTGAGACCCTTTTATAAGAATAAAAGAAGGGAGTAAGAAAATCAAAAAAAAAAAAAGAAATTTTATTGTAACCTGAGTTTGTAAAAAGAAAAAAAAAAAAGTTTATTCAGTGTTCAAGAATTCGTTAACAGATGGATCGTCATCTGTGTTTACCATCTCATTAAAGAAACTATCTGTATTTTCTTCTTCTTGTCTCGAATTATCGAAAAACATATCCATACTGTTATCATCGTTGCTATTATTTACATTACTGTTAATCACATTTTGCTGTTCTAACAATTCGTTATTATTGGGTGATTCAGATCTGTGTTCATCTGTTTCCATTTGTTCATGTTCATCCTTTTGTTGGTTTAATTCAATTAAATCTTCATCTTTAATTCCGGGTATCGAAACAGCTTTGACAAGACTGGGTGTGTGTTCAATACGAACTCCCATCTCTTTAGCTAACGCATGTGACGCTTCATCAATCGTCTCTAATGTACTGGCTTCATTTAACTGACCCATCAACTTCCAAAACTTTTCTTGTTCTTTCTCCAGTAATTTCATTTTCTCCTCATGACTAGTCTTTTGTCGAACTACTCTTTCCTTGTGTTCCTCCTATTTTTTTATATCGTTCGTTAATCGTACTTCGACACAAGTTACTATATGCTTACAATTTGCTTATCCAACTCTTCCTTTGTCTGGCTAATGTCCAATGGGGGAGGTACAATGGAAGCTGAGCAATAAAGATTAAACACTGTCGTTTTCAGATTACTTTTTTTTTCTTTTCTCTTTTACCAGCGTTATAAGGGGTAAAAATTTCGGACAAGTAATCGTGATTACGCTTGTATCTTGCCATTGCAATATCTCGAGCCGAAATATCATCCAACTCATCTAGATTCAAGCAATAATTAAAAAACAGGTTGTTTATACTATTCAAGAAAAGAAGAAGCTAACCTCCTGAAGGTTCGTCTGCGTCGTCAGTAAGTGGCGCTGTGGGTCTCGAAGGCTATTTATGAATTAAGTGTCAGTTCTGTCTGTCAATCATATTTTCTCTATTGTAAGGTACCTTATTAGTGTGAGGGCGCTTTCGATGCGCATTAGGGTCGTTCATGGCTTGGTTTCTGTATTGTTGTTGCTGTTGCTGTTGTTGCTGTTGTTGGATATAATGTCCCTGAGCAGGACTGATGCCGATTTGACCAGGAATACGTTGTTGGGGAACAGATGGAATAGAACCACCTGGTTGTTGTTGATTGTAATAGTATGCTGAAGTCATAATAACGCGTCTTTTGGTGATAGAGAAGAAAAAAAAAAGTAAGTGAGTTATTTTTTTTTGTGTTGTTTTTCTGTGACTGGAAATATCCCCTTTTTTTACACAGCACAAATTTCACGTCATCTCTGTTTTGCCACTCGGAGTTCTTGGAACGCGCGGCCTTGGGCTAACGTTCACAAAAGTCTATATAACCAATTTTTTTTGGTTCACCTTTTTTTTTTTTTAATTTTTTATATATCTTCTGCAACATGACTTCAATCGGTACAGGAGTAAGTCCAGGATTCGTTTTCTTTTTTTTTCTTTGCCAGTAAATAATTAATTGCGACATCTTCATTATAGTACGATTTATCTGTTTCCACCTACTCTCCTGATGGACGCGTCTTTCAAGTAGAATATGCAAACAAGGCTGTCGATAACAGTGGGTAAATAATAACCGCAAATTTTATTTATTTCGAAATAATAAAGTACTTATTGCTTTGCGTTACAGTACCGCTATCGGTCTTCGTGTTAAAGATGGTGTTGTATTAGCTGTTGAAAAGCTTGTTCAATCCAAACTTTTAGTCGCAGGTGCAAATCGTCGTATTCAAAGCGCAGATCTTCATGTCGGCATTGTAAGAGAAAACAGAAACAATTCCTTCAAATTTTGCTCACCTCTCATTTTTTATACATTAATAAGGCTACAGCAGGTTTATTAGCTGATGGTAGACATCTTGTCAACAGAGCTCGTGACGAAGCTCAAGCTTGGAGAGATATCTATAGACAACCTATTCCTGGAAAAACCATTGCTGATCGTTTAGGTCAATATATTTCTGCCTATACCTTATACTCCAGTGTTCGTCCTTTTGGTACAAGTACTATTATCGGTTCCATGACCGATAAAGTACCTAGTTTATATATGGTTGAACCTTCTGGTGTCTACTGGGTAAGACCTAAGTGTCATTTTAGGTTGTGTTCACCTATTCATTTTTTTTCTCTTTTTCTGTAGGGTTACCGTGGATGTGCTATTGGTAAGGGTAAATCCATTGCCAAGACAGAAATCGAAAAGCTTGATTTAGAGAATATGACTGTCCGTGAAGCAGTTAACCAAATTACCAGAATGTAAGTTTCCCGTGCTACGATTTTCTCCCTATTCTTTTTAATCATGATTTTTCAAATTAGTATCTACTCATGTCACGATGATGCAAAGGATAAGGACTTTGAATTGGAATTGAGTTGGATCTGCCCAGAATCACAATATAAGCATCAATTTGTACCAAAGGATATCAAGTTGGAGGCAGAGACATTAGCAAAGGAATCTTCAGATGATGAGATGGAAGACTAAACTTTATTTTTTTTTGTCTGAGGGATAATAAACACATTTATGCAATTTTTTATTTTTCATTTTCCATTGGAGGGTAAACTGCGGTGATACACTAGAGAATTGTCGTACATTCAAGTGGTTTGGAAAGAGTGGCATTTTTATAAAATCTGTGGGATGGTTTATGGAAATTAAACGAGATATAACGCGCTTTGACATAATGCTAAATATAGGATGCTTAAATCCGTTGTGTTACAGATTTTGTAAACATGCATCTTGTACATCAGTTTACAGAGATACCTTCGGAAAGTACCATTTTATTAAAACAAATTACTCTTCAGGGCATGGTGTTAATGTATAAAAACCGGATGTCACACAATTAATCTCCACTAAAGGACTATGGACCTTGATTGTAGCAATAAAGACACGGCTATTCAATTCTTCCAAAGATGATTTGACCGTAAAATGTAGGTCCTTTTTGACATCATTAAAATAACAGGCTCGTTGAAAACAATGTAAATCACCGTAATCAAATTTGAGAAACACAAAGCTGTAACCATGGATGTATATATGATCGATATGAAAGTTAAATTCATTGAGGCTTTTGAAAGCTGTAAGATCCCATGTCGTTCCAAAATCGATGTTTTTTTGAGGTCTTGCTTGTTTAAGACTGATTGTTTCAGCATCCGGTAGATAGTCGTATAGTTGGTTAAATAAAGTTTGCGAGGGCCTAAAGCAATTCATGGTAATTGATACTTTACTGGCCTGGAAAAATACATTTTTCACAAATTCGATAGAAAGAGTCTCATGCCGAGGGAAGGTTTTCGCATATTCCAGTATTTCTGATAAAGAGAATCGATTTCTTGTAAACCTTAGGTTTTTTATAATTCCTTCCTTGTCGACAAAGTTTCTATATAAGAACCCATCCATGACATAAGAAAAACTTAGTTTATCCTCGCGAACAGTAACAAAATCTTTTGAGCTCCAACCATAAAAATCAAAAGTAGCATCATACAGTAAATCTCTATTACCTTTCAGCTTGACTAAAACATTGTAAAATGTATTTGTTTTTGTTTGTGAGAGCGACAATGAAGGTCTTCTGCCGTAATCAAATCTTATTCTTAAATCCTTGAATTTTTGAAGTTCTTCAACAAATGGTTCGATCAATCGGAATAATTCATACCCATCTTGCTGAATAGTTAAATTCAAGTAGATCAAAGGCTGTATAACTCGTAGGTAGTCAACGTACGCAGTTTCATTAATTGGAGAATTAATCGTCAGGCGTTTTAGATGTTTGTTGCTTGTGGTCCCAACTTGACTATTTGCTCGGGAAGGAATGGGATAACGACTGCTGTATTTGAAATCTACAATATTCTCACAGCAAAGTAAAATATCAAACAACGTCGTATCATTGCCTTGCTGACAATTATAAGTTAACTGAGTCAGGCAAGTAAATCGGGGTAAATAATAAAATAAGCTTTTTGATGAAGCTAACATTAGATCATTGTTGTTTACATCAGTTTCAAGTCGTTTAATCGATTTACGAAAATTATAACAAACGAGGAAATGGGATACATGCTCTTCTGGATATTTAGAGTGAAACGCAATCTCTTTAATACGCTGTAAATATAAATCTGTATCCGGAAGTTGACGTAAAATTGATATGTAATGGCCTGTATGGATACAGAACTGAAAATCTAGTTTTTCCAAATTCGGAAGAGACGACAGCAGCAGTAAAAAATCTGGTTCATCTAGTTTGTGATTTGGGCTGACATGATTACTTGTTACATACTCTCTGTATAAAGTGAACTCTCGTGTTAAGTATCCATTTATAAAAGGCTTATCCACTTTGATATGCTTTTCCTTGATTCGGATCTTCTGGAAATAGAGTTGAACCGCAGCCGTATACCATTGTTTACAAACATACATTAATGTATAAATGTCCTTTCTCTCTAGTAGAGAAAACACCTGTACCAGGACTTCTTTTGGAACATTTTCAGTGGACATACTGAAAAAGAAAAAAAAAAAAAAAGAAAAAAGAAAAAAGAAAGAAAGAGAGAAAAGGGATGTGAATTAATAACCGCGACGCCTTGTGCCAGATAAATTAACCTTTTTTTTCCCTGACCAATCACATAGTTTACACATATCGTAAGAACACACGGAAACACTACCTGTAGTTCAATGTCACAAAGTGATGTACCAGGCATGAGCTTTTCCTGCGTATTTCTTGCAGTTACTCTCAGTTAGATTAAAATCAAAATGAAATTGGTAAGAAATGCAGGACCTCAGCTCGACTACAATGTGGTGCTTTACAACTTACACATATAAATGATATGAACCAGAGAATCATTGATGTTATGTTCTACCAGAGTATATAAATATGAGCAGAATAACAGAAAGACTGAGAGGGGGAAATACTGGTAAGGAAGAATTAGAAAATAATATACCGCCTGAGTATTTATAAACATCAACGTGAATAACAATTTATGTTATCTATGAAAACATGCTTGCCGTATTTGTTAATTATCTTATGAGAAGGATAAGTGTTCTACGGCAAAATAACTACTTGTGTTGCACTTTATGTTAACCATCTGACTACAGACTTTGATGGTGACAATATATACATAGCGGCTAAGTTCTAAGGAAGCCATCACTGAAGGGGATATAGATAAAGGCATTTGTATAGGAGGACGAATTTATCAAATGAATGCTATGTCGAGAGATAATTTTGAGATTATCGCATTTTCGAAGATCTTCAACAAATGGCTCGATTACCTAGAATAATTCATGCGCGTCAAGATGAATAACCAGGTTTATATGATCTGAAAGTTGTGCTTTTTATGAAATTATTTCATAGAGAGGCAAAGTCTCAAGCATAACCCGATAAACAATATGGTCATCTAATAAAAAATTAATACAGTAGTATATACACTGTATTAAATTCATGTAAAGGTTTTTTAAATGGACAGCAATAAACTGGTTTGATCTGTTTGGCTTATATCGATCATTTCTATTTCTTCAGAATTTAGGGACTAAGATGCGTTGATCCTTAATTACTCAACTTTTTAGCGCAGTCTCACATAATGTGGTAGACTTAGTTTTCCGGTCTGTGTCAAACTCTATCGACAATGAAAGTTTGGTGTTTACTGATGATGTCAAACACAACGACAAATTTTGGGACGACATAATAGAGAGTATGAAAGAAATACAACAAGTAAAACGATGTATTGCTAGCATGAGACAGCGATAGGAACAAGTGAGATAGTTTCCGAAAGAACATCGATAGAAGAAGACGTATTTTGTTCAAAATTTATCAAGTAGTATGTTTAATTAAGATATGCCACAGGTTCTACCGTATAAAAATTGTTTGTGATACAATTTATATCTACTGAGGGACTATAGACCTTGATAGTAATGATCAATGTGCGGCTATTCCACTCTGGTGAGGATACAATCCCAAATTCCAAATTCTTCCGTATATCTATGTGATAGCGTACTCTTCGGTAGCAATGGGAGTCGCCGTAATCAAATTTGAGAAATGTGTTGTCATGACCCTGTAAGTCTAAATGATTAACATGGAAGTTGAATTCCTTGAGACTTTTGAAATCCGTAAGATCCCATGTGGTTCCAAGTGCTCTACCGCTAAAAGGATTTTGTCGTTTAAATGTAATAACTTCGGTATCAGGGAGATAAGTGTGTATTTGATCGAAAAAAGTTTGGGTAGGTCTAAAACAATTCGTAATTACCGTTGATTTATTGGCCTTTAAATAGAAATCACCGAATTCTATACAGATCGTTTCTAGTCGAGGAAACGTTTTCGCATAGTTGAATAAGTCCAATAGTGTGGATCTGTTTTTCATAAATTTTAGACTTTTCACGATTCCATGCGTGTCGACAAAGAATTTCTGATTGCCACTGTTTATGACATAAACAAAACTTAGCTCATCATCAAGAGCGGTAATGAAATTTCTTGAATTGTAACTGAAGGAACTAAATATGGCATCATACAATACATTTCTATCACCTTTCAGTTTGCATAAAACGCTGTAAAATACGTTGGTGTATGATGGTGGGATCGATATGCTTTGTCCGTAATCAAAATCAATTTTTAAATGTTTGAATTTTTGAAATTCCTCAGCAAACGGTTCAATCAACTGAAATAACTTATATCCATCTTGATGAATGATTAGATTCAAGCAATCCAATGGCTGTACGTTTCGGATATAGTCAATATATGCAGATATATTCATCAGAGAAGAAATGGTCAGCCGTTTTAGATGCTTGTTATATGTAGTGTCAACTTGACTACTTGCTCGGGAAGGAATGGGGTGACGGCTGGTGAACTGAAAATCTACAATATTTTCACAGCAATTTAAAATGTCAAATAAAGTTGCATCGTTTCCTTGTTGGCAGTTATAGACTAAGTGGGTCAAGCAAGTAAACTGTGGTAGATAATAATGTAAATGCTTTGATGTAGTGGCCATAAGATAGTTGTCGTTCACATCGGTTTCAAGCCGCTTAATCGTTTTACAAAAGCTATAGCAAGCAAGAAAGTGTGAAACATGCTCTTTTGGGTAATTTGAGTAGAAGACAATTTCTTGGATACGTTGTAAATACGTATCTGTGTCTTTAAGTTGATGTAAAATAGACAGGTAATGACGTGAATGGCGACATAATTGAATAACAAGCCTTTCTAAATTTGGTAGATAAGACAGCAGCAGCAAGAGTTGTTCGCCTAATTTTTGAAGAGAAAACTGATTTGCCCTACTTTCTTTGTATAAAGTAAGCTCTTGTGTCATATGTCCGTTTATAAAATGTGTGCCGAATCCTAAATCTGTTTCTTTAATCCGGATCTTTTGAAAATAAAATGGGGTTGCAACAGTATGCCATTGTCTGCAAAGGTACAGTAAAGAATGAATACTTTTTCGGTCTAGTAGACAGAATATCTGAACCAAAATTTCATTAGGAACAATTTTGGAGGGCATGATGTGTTAACAGAGAAAAGAGGGTTTGAAGCAAATAATTACTGCGCCTTGTGTCATGTAAAATATTCCTTATTGTCAAGGATCATATGATTGGATAAAAAAAAAGGACATATTACTAATTTGGAAGATAAAAAAAACCGACCTGCGATCGGGACCTTAGGCCCTCTCATATGGATGAATTAGTTTTTCTCTTTTTTTTGCAGTTCCAAACTTACAGCCCTTCTCTAACCCTAAAATGATGACACTTTCAAGCACTGTTTTTCGACGACACAGTATCTTTTTACCCTTTTTACTTAGGCTTTCTAACTCCGTAAACTACATGAAGAACGCCAAAAATGTCAAAATCGTAAGTTATGGAATCCCTATATATTTATTTGTTTGAATAGTTTTTCTTGTTTAAAAAAGTTTTACTTCGATTTTCCAAAGACGGACATGAACGAAATCGAGATTAAAAACAATCACAGCAGTGTTAACATTAGTTACTTTGAGAAGGAGGGTGAGACTATTTTGAAAACCTCGACTTCACCACTAACGCTGTGACACATATGCCTCCGTGCAGCTGTCGCTTTTTAGACTGGATTTTATCACGTTAACTGGTTTGACTTTCGGCATATGTTGACGCTTTGATTTAATGCGTTTCTTGATGACTTTACGTCTCACACCTGAATTGCCTGTCTTAAAATCAGCGTCGATTTCATCCTTCAGTTTCTTGAGTGCTATTAGATAAAGGATACTATTTGCTGCACGCTTTCTGATTAGGAGGAGTGCACAAGCTGCGAGTTCATTCATTTTTTATTTTTATTTTTTTGACAGAGTAAAAAGGTCCCAACCCCCTTTTTTTTCTTTCAGGCACATTTGGTTACAATTTGCAACTCCGTTTTATATTTTATTCTGTGAGTCACAATGTATTTTCAACAGACTCAGCAGTAACATTGATAGTAACAGCAAGAACACGATTGTTAAGTTTGGATATGGCCAGACAATGAACGAGGAAACATATTTATTTTAAAAAGAAACTGTTTCTACTGTGAGAAATTCATTGGCATTGCAATGAATCTCAACCAACTGGCTGCAAACTTTGATAGTGACAACCATTGTATTTGTGCTGGGTTTTGATAATTCTTCAACTGTCACGGGTATATTCTTTTTGCCATCTCCATTAAAATACACTCTTTTGTAGCTGTGAAAGCCCCCGTAGTCAAATTTAAGGAACGCAGAATCGTAATCTTTTACGCAAATGTGATTAGCATCAAAACTGAAATTATTCAAGCGTTTAAAAGATGTTAAATCCCAGGTAGTTCCAAGTATTCTCCCTCTAAAATTTTCTTCTCTCGAGAAAATGATTGTTTCTGCATTTGGATAGGTTTCGTGTATCTGATCAAGTAATTTTTGTGAAGGTCTATTACTGGAGACGGATATTGCTGTTTTACTGGCCATAAAGTGAAAGCATCCAAATTGGACATAAAGAGTTTCATGATTTTGAAAACCTTTGGCAAAAGAGAGAATATCCATTAAGCTGACCCTGTTACCTTCCGGAAAATTTAAGCTTTTGATAATTCCATGTTTATCCTTAAAACCAGGGCAAAGAGGTATCGTTATCCCGTACGATAAATTGGATTTACTATTACTAATAGTAATTTGATCTTTACGCCCAACAGAGGTGATAGTTGCATCGTACCGTAAATCCGAGTTACCTCTTAATTTCAATAAGGTGTTGTAGAATGCCTTTGTCTGTATAAGTCGAATATCTGGTCTGCCGTCTGCTTCTGCAATAATGTTTAAATTCTTGATGTTACTTAGCTGTTCAGCAAATTGTTCAATCAATGGAAATATGTTGGATTCGTCACTGTATCCAAAGTTCAAGTCTAGATATTCCAGTTGGTCCACGACAGTACGAATATAATTAAAGTAATGAATAGAATCTGTGCGCGAAGTTATTGTTAAGCGTGTTAAATGCTTGTTTCTTTTGGTGCTGACGTGGTTTTTTAAGTGTGAAGATGTTGGAAACTTGTTTACGTAAATAAGTTCTGTAAGATTCTCACAACAGAGCGAAATATCAAATATTGTAAGATCACTGCTTTTGACGTATTCAATATCCAAGCGAGTGAGTGATGTAAAATGAGGTAAGTAATCAAGTAATCGTATTTTTCGCTCACTTGATACATCTTCACCAGATACAAAAAGTTTCATTCGTTTGATTGATTTACGGGCATTGTAACATACAAGAAAATGATTTGTTTTCGACATCCAATATTTACCATAAACAATTTCTTCAATGTGACGTAAATATCTGTTTGCGTCCGGAAGTTGAAGCAAAAAATCCAAAATTTCAATATAGCAGTGGTAATTCGTAGAAAAATCGAGTTTTTTCAAATTCGGGGCATAAGATAATATCTTTACAAAACACTCTTTTTCACGCTTATACCATTGGGGATCCTCCCAGTTTAAAGTCAATTCTTTTATCAAATATCCATATCCAAAAAGTTGTTTTGGGGTGTATGATGCCAAGTAATTGACCTTTTGAAAATAAGATGGCAAAGCGGCAAAGTACCACATTTTACATACGAACATGGATATGTAGACATCTTTTCTGTCGAGCGAATAAAATATTTGAGTTAAAATTTCTTGCGGTATATTTTGAATAGACATTGATGTAAAAAATAAATAAAAAAATAAAATAATGAAGAAAAAAGGACGAATGTGATTCAATGTCTAGTAATATATAGATAATTGGATGTTAGCTTTATTTTTATCAATTACACAAATGGATTCAGATGACCTTTAACAATACGTTCATGGGGGTGTTTGCACGAGCTTTTAAGATCTCATAAAAACCTTTAAAGATATTTATAAACGTTTTGTATTAAAATCTTAAGAGTACTCAATTTGGAAAACCAAATACCTGCCTGCATGAACTACATTTTAGATAAGTTAATGCGTCGATAATCAAACATAAAAAACATGGATTCTAAGTATGTCTTAGTAATTTTTAAAAAAAGATACATTTGGTCACATTTGGATAAAATTGCTTGATACTCTCAAATATAATTGAAATTTATCAAATCTTTAGCAATAACTGCGGCGCGTTACACATACAGCTTAATATTTTTATGATGAGTTGTTTCTGTTATGCTTCATTGAAGAATTCTTTGTCTTTCGCATTGTAGTATACAGTTAAGAAAGTATTTTGTGGATCCTATTTCCATTATTATAGTGCTGAACAGGAAAAAAAGAAAGTATACATTCGCAATTGCTGCTGCGGCTGTGCTCCATATCGGTTTTTGCAGGATGATCCAGACGTTGGGTTCCACACGTGGTTTTTGTAATACAGAAACAAATTCTAAATGCGGAATACTAGCAGTACCTGAAAAGTACATTTTAATATCAAACAAATGACCAATTGGACATCCAATTGACAACAGACATACTTTACTTATATAGTGTAAATTTTACTTACACTAAAAGGTCTAGATATATGAATTTCATAAGTGTAAATAAGTTCCTGCTTATCGATTGAAAGCATCTGAACAGAACCCTTGAAACAAACCGCCCGTTTCATTGTAACTATGTGTGCAACAATTCTGACTATTACTATTAAATATGATGAAGCTTTTATAAAGTAACAATTATTTATGCCAACCAGAAAACTGAAAGAAATGGAAAGACGTTTACATAAATGACTATCGTGCTAATGGATATATAAATATAAACCTACATTTTTCTATTTGTAAATTTAGTTAAAAACACAGGAATTGTTATTAATTTAGGGTAATACGAGTAAAATTATATTGCTTCTTCCTTTGTCACAAAAAGAAAAAAAAGAAAAAAAAGAAAAAAAAGAAAAGAAAAAAAAGAAAAAAAAAAGAAGCAAAGCAAAAAGAAAAAAAGAAACAAAGCAAAAATAAAACAGACATCGGGTATCGTATTTGCTCTGCTTCAAATAGTTTTTGGCGAATAGATATTAAATTTTAAATGCTAAATATATACAAGTTATTTATCGTTATTTTTTTAATTCTTGTCTTCACTAAGCTAAGTTTGGTAAGTCGTAACCCTGTTTACGCAGCTTTTATCTTTCCTGCTTTTATTTCTATATTTAGTAGAACCATCAATTAGGTGATGCCTGCCATGGTTTGCTTGTTATGGAATTTTCAGTGCTGGTCACTGTTGATTTATTCCTCATGGATACCTTTTGATTGTATACAAATACCCCCTGATAGGTTGTAAAATTATCTCTATCTTATTTTCGATAAAAGCAGGAGACGACTTAGTTGTAGCAGTACTGACCCCCTTTTTACTTTTCTCTACAACAGTAACAACCCCCAATAACATACTTTTGTCTACCTACTAGGCCTGATGATTTTAATAAGTTGAATATGCCACTCCAATACTTGACTGATATAGATCTATGCACGGAAACTTTGGGTTTAGAGCTTGGAAGTGTAACTAGGAACGGCCGAATGAGCGCTGTACAAGGCCTCACATAATTTTTTGCTGCTGACATGCGATCCAAGCCGTCTAATTGATTTACAAAAGCTGTAACAGACAAGAAAGTGTAACAAATCGTATTTTTCATGATTAAAAAAGAGACCAGTTTTTTCAATATATCGCAGGTATGTATTTATGTCTGTATGAGTTGAGTTTTACGACAAAGACTAAACCCAATTGTCATTTTGTTTTAAATTTTATTGTCTCGGCGGAGTCTTTGATTTACATAAACCTCGATTTTTGATTTCAATTTAAAAACTTTTACTTCAAAAATGCAAGCAATCAATGTTCAAACACCATCAGCTCAAATCAACAAGGCAACGCCACCTAAAGCTAGCAAAACAAAATTAAGTTTCGATTACACACCAAGCCAAGATGGCATTGATCATAATCTACTTGTTTTACTTCATGGTTTAGGTACTTAAGTTTTTAATTGTAAACACTTTTCCAACACATACTTAAATATAAAAACAAAGGCGATTCAAAGGGGCCTTTCACCAACCTCGGTAAACAATTAAAATTACCTCAAACTGCTACTTTATCAGTACAAGCACCAGAACCTGTTCCTTACATGGACGGATGTTTTCAATGGTTTCCCAGTTTTGACATGTTGACGGGTGATTGTACGTACAAGTGATGCGTTCTTTTATTTCTGTTAGATACTAACTCACATTCTATAGTACTGACACCAGCTAACCCAGAGCGACTCAAGGGATTATTGCGCACACGCGAAATGATGGATGGACTTATCAACCACTTAATAAAAGACTGTGGTTTCAACCCAAGTAATATCTTTTTCTTCGGGTTTTCTCAAGGTGGAACAGTCGCATTGGATACCGTATTGTTCGGTAAAGTGAGAAACTTGGGAGGTGTTGTGAGCATCAGCGGCTACTTGCTGGAGGAGCAACGCGTTGATCGTAAGCTGGGTGATGGATATGCTGGCTATATTCTAGTCACACAAGGAGAAAAAGATGGAACCATTGGTAGTAAATTCGAAGCTGAAAAGCGTGTAAGTAATCCATACTGTTACAGTGTGAAAATTGATAAAAAAGACTAAAGCTGAAAATGGCATAGTTTAAGGCGATTGAAAGACAATGTGGATCCACAGCAGAGACATCACAGATTTTTATCACCAACAAGGACCATACAATGCCATCTTCTGAAAGAGAATGGCGATTGATCCATACATTTTTTGGAAAGAATATGTCGAGAAGAAATATTGAACTGGAAAATATGTCTGATGTTTATTTGGTCAAATAAATTTAAGAACTACCCCATCCATCACCAAACTCTTGACAATGCTTGTTGAACCCTTGCTTCGTATGACACCATTTCTCATAGAGTAATCGTGCCGCATTCTTACCTGAAATAGTCTGTGTCTCCATCGTCGAAATAAAATTTTCAAATGCGCCAGTATACACAATACCAAAATCATCTTCCTCATCTGCCCTTAGTAAAAAGGGTGGGAAATCGTCAGTGTCAGTGACAGGATGGAGTTGAGGGAATGCGTGCCATCCTTTATAGTGTACCCAAGTTCGATTTAAAAACAATTGGTCCAACTCACTCTCCAAGAGCTTACTGGGTGAGAAAATTTTGATAACTGTCTCTCCATTTTCCAGTACACGATGAATTGAGAACGTATCAAAGGGAGCTTTGCCATTTTCAAACTTGTCGGCTTAGTTGTAAAAAAAAATATACACGTTAGACTAAAAGTATCTATTTTAACCAACTCTATTTTGTTACCTAAAGGAGTTCCAGTGGTGACTACAAAGGTAGGCATGGTATCGAGGGTTCGTTTAAAATAACTTGGATCGGCATGACCTGCTACCAGTGTTACATGCACCACGTGATAATCTCTTTGATACTCCTTTGTCGAAAAGGGGAACTGGATACCCGAAAATTTTAAGGGGGCAGCCAGTACAACATCGTCAAACACTTGTAAATTTCCATCTGTAGTCTCAACTACATAACGATGTTCATGGTATCCCAAAGCATCTACTTCCGTAATGTTATGCACTGAGACGACTTTTGTACCCAATTGGAGTGCTGCTTGAGAACGACGCGCGAACTCTTCAAAGATCCTAAAGTTGCCGCCTTCCACCGCCCATGTGCCATGACCCGCTTCCATGGAGACCATGACAGCCAGAGCATGTAACGAGTCCAGGTTCTGACAATAGTTTCCTCGAGTGGCTGTTTGCAGGATTTCATGCGAAAAGAGTTCATTGATACCCAATTCTTTTAAATAAGCAGCGGCTGTTTGATTCAACAAGCTTTCAAATTGAAGCGACTTTACAATCTTTTGAATGTTTTCAAAACCATGTTCTGTATCATACAAGTCCATGAATTTTTCAACCACACTCTTTTGCGTACTTTGAAACTAAATTTACATGAGTTTACTTTTTTTATTTTTTTGCCACGAAAACAAATAACAAACACTTACTCGGAGGGGTGTAAACCCGTAACGCCAAAGAGCCTTCATACTATCCCAATAACTTCCTGTTTCTTCAAACACAAACTCTTCACCGTCCCATACACCTAATCCCGGTCTTGTACTCTCTACTTCATCCGCAAGTGCAGTTAACCGAGTTAGTTCTAAGCCGAACCGCTCTGTCGCCTTCATCAAGTTCTTGTTAGCCTCCACAAAGATGGAAGCGCCCAGCTCAATCATACCAAGCCCAGGATCGTCCTTGATAGCCACAGTCGTACTACGACCTCCCAAATACATGTTTCTTTCGAAAATTGTACTAGTTACGCGAACGTTTTCATCTTCTGGAAATACATTGCTTAGCCAAAATGCTGTCGAAGTGCCTGAGGCTCCTCCGCCTATAAAAAGACTTTTACTATTTTATAAATGTATAGAGGTTTTATTGTTTTTGCTTTACCAATGATGGCAACAGACTTGATAATAGGCGTGTCTTTTTCATGAAGCACCTTTTGGGCAATGTCTGCAGAAACTACAATGTTTGTCAGCAAGGGTAATGATAACAAGAGTAATGTCTTCATATTATTTCTTGTGTGTGAGAGAAAAAAGAAAAGAAAAGAAAAATATTTATGCAAAATGTTATGCCGCGCTTTTTATTTTTATTTTTTAAATGATGCCATTGAACCCATCTATTGTAGATATGGAGAAAAAAGGTTAGTTTAATAATCACACATATGAACCCATTCTTCTCACCTTCAATGCCATTCATGGTATGAAAAACAAATACCATGACATTAGCCATCATTTGCATGGTGAAGCCTCTATATAATCCACGGATACCCCAAGCACTTGCCGTGGCTCCTCCAGTGGCAGATTTCTTTTGTTGTTGTTGTCGTCGTCGGACAGGGAATAAATCATCATCACTCTCACTATCGGAATCCATCACCACAGGCTTACTTTCAGATCGCTTATTACGTGTACCTTCTTCCTTCATAATCTTGTACAAGGCATCAAAGAAACCTCGATAAGGAGCAGGGCGTAATGCCACAGTAGCTTTGAAATCACCGCGTACCTGTGTCTGTAATCTTTTACGGATGGTTTCAATAGGCAACATCACAAGCAATCCCAGTGTGGATAAAGCCAATTCTGCCGCACCATAAAGAATCGGACTATCAGCAGCCGAGATATGTAACAATCGAGCAATAATCAAAGGTGTACTACAGCTTAAAAGTGGGGTAATGATGTGATATAATAAGGTAGGAAACAGGTTCTTGGATTCAAAATAGATGCCGTAGAGGCCACCTTCTTCGTGCAACATGGTACGTAAAGCATGAATGGGACCTTTGTATTTACTGCAGAGAGGTGAAGCACTTTGGACAACGAGCCTTGTGCGGATAATCTCCAAAGGACTGAGTAATAATCCAATCACAAGGTGAGATACGACAATAGTTGAAATGTTCGGTGTCACATTATCTAAATGCAATAAGGGAATCGTATCATCGTATAAACCAAACATATCGTTTAAAGAGCTTTCTAATCCTGGCCTTAATACTGTGCGAAGCATTTCATACACCCAAGTCACTCTCTGGCCTAGTCATTCTTCATGTTAGTTTTCTATCTTATACATGTATATATCATGATTTACCTTTGAATAAGGACTTCCATCCTTCGGTAGGTTGTGTTACAATGGAGCTCAAGATCTCTAGAACACCACCTCCTTCCATGGGTGCCATTTGTTGGATAGGTCGATGCTTTTCATCATAGACACTGACAGATCCTAAAAACTCTGTCCTGATACGCACATTATCAATCGATGTCCTTTCCGGTCTTTTAAAAAACTCGTCTTCCTCATCCGCTTCTTCTTCTGAATCGTAGTGATGAATCTAAACAAAAAGAAGTTAGTCATGTCAGACTACATTTGTGTATGTTCAAGAGAGTATCTTTTTACCGAAGAAGAGAGTGAAGACTCTTGTGGTAAGCCAATGACTTCCACGTCTTGGTGTGGTGAATATTGCACTTGAAGTAAAGTGGTACCGACTTCAAAGGGACTTGTCAACATGGTGACGAAATATTTTAGTAGAGCGAAACTAGTGCCTCGTGTGGTCAGGCCTTTGAGTTGTGCATGCTGTTCTTTTTCTTCCAATAACAACAGTGGAATAGAGTCATTGGAAGGTAAAGAGGTATAATTATGTTGATGATGTAAACCAGGTGTATAATAAGGTCGGTGAGGATTCACCTTTATACTCGACATGCTTTCAAAAAAATAAATATATACAACAAATAAAAATAAGAGACAAAAAAGAAATTCGAATGATTTTAATTTTATTTAAGCCCTTGCACATACAAAAAAAAAAAAAAAAAAATTAAACACTTACCTTTTTTATGACTCAATTTTTTTTTTTCTGGTCGCTTTGTTGTGCGTGTGTTTGCGTGTGTTTGTGTGCGTGTGTACTGATACAATTAAAATAAAGACAAATGTATAAAATAGAAAGGCAATTTACAAAAGAAAGAAAATAAAAACAAGACATTGTGGAGGAGGATTGCTCTCAAATTCTGTTGTGTTAATGATAAAGCTGGAAGAGAACAAATTTTCTGTGTGGAATATTGAATTGTGAACTGTGTAATATGTTTTTATATATTTTTTTTAGTTGTGAGAGTTTCTGATTTGATTTTTTTTTTTTTTTTTTCATAGCAAAAAAAAAAAAAAAAAAAAAAAAAAAAAAGAGGTGTAGTTGATTACTCTTAATAAGGTGATCTTGTACGTGGGGGGTAAGGGTCATATCTTGGTGGTGGGGGGCGGCGGTCATAACGATCATAGCGGTCGTAACGGTCGTAACGGTCATAGCGATCATAGCGATCATAACGGTCCCTTTCATAACGTTCATATCCTCTAGGGGGATCGTAACGATCCATATATGATCTTTCATAATAGCGATCATATCTTGGGTCTCCGCCTCTAGGAGGTCTACTGCTACCACCATCTCTTCTATCTCCTCTGGCTATAGATTAATAAATGTTAGTACTTGTGTTCAGATTATAATTAGGTGTAATCCACTTACATCCACCAGGTCCTCCACGCTTAGGTGGGCCATAGTAACGGCCAGGAGTGGGTGTTCTGGGTCGAGATCTCTTTGCCTTTTCAACTGTGACAACGCGACCATCTACCTCAGAACCACTGATACCGGTGATGGCTCTTTCAGCTTCTTCAGGGTCAGCCATACGAATGAATCCAAAACCACGGCTTTCACGGGTATGAGGATCAAACATAATCTCTGCCTTATTGACCTAAACATGTAAAATTTTAGATCAGCCTCGAATTAAATTTTTTTTTTATTATTTCAGCTCAACTCCTTACCTTGCCGTATTTTGCAAAAAGAGCTTCTAAGTCAGCACCAGAGGTACGGATAGAGAGACCAGTGATAAATAAGTTATCTCCTGGGTTCGCATCTTCCTCTTGACCTTGGTCTCCTCCGTTGCCACCTCCACCTCGCCTAATAGACATACTTTCAGTTTTTTGTTGTTGTTGTTGCTGCCGTTGAATAATAATATAAAAAAAGGAGATTGAGCTTACATTTGGTCTCTGGGTGAACGAGAACGACTTCTATATCTGTGGTCACTATGGTCACGTCCTGGAGAGCGAGATCTGGAACGGCTACGAGAGCGACGGCCTCTTTCATCTGAAACGCGTTGGTCAACTATTGGGATTATAAAAAGAAAGGGATGGTGAATAAGATGAATAAAACTCAACGTTGCACATGGAGCTGAAAGAGGCGCTGAATGTACTGAAAGACTTTTGTTGAACTGAGTCTTTTACCTGTATTGTCGATTTCACTCATTATTAGTGTTTAATTAAAACAAGATGAAAAAAAAAAAAATATACAGAACCAACAAATATAAAATTTTTCTTCGCCTTAAGGTCTCTTTCTTTTATTGCGTCATCAGGACGGATGTTTAATTAGTCTTCAGCGGAGGGTAAACTTTAACCAGTTTTGGTGTGTTGTTTCCACCACTTTAGAAATGCTCCATTGTCGTGCCTCTGCTACAATTTTTATGATTTCAACCATACATTTATCAATACCCTTAGGTGTGTCCAAGTCAGATTCAATTAGCAAACGGTCTTCGGGTACTGCTCGAATAAGTTCTTGCAGTTTCTTGGGTGGTGTCAGTCTTGCATTGATGCAAACCGAGAAAGAGATATACATTTCATATCCTTTCAGGTCCATGAATTGCTTTACAGATGCGGGAGACCCACCAAATGAATGAAGACACATTCTTAATATATTGGGTTTAACCTTCATTAACCTAAGTTTTCTGTTACTGAACATGAGTGATTTTGTCTGCAAATATTTGAATAAAGGTCCATGTCCTTGCACGAGATGTACACTGATACTTCTATCGAGCTCTCGAGCAAGTTGACATTGAACATCAAAAATATCCATCTGATGTTGTTCTGAGCATCTGACAGACGTAGGCTTCACTCCGTGCCAATCAATTGATCCACCAGGTAACAGTCTGGCTGATCCATCTATACCCACTTCTCCTACCATCGCACCAGGATGACTCAGCAACGTTTCTCTTAAATTAGAATACCACGTATCATAGGCAAATACAGGCTTCTTTTCCAGTGCTTCTCGCATCGCTTGTAAGTCTTGTTCATCAGACGACTGTAATATCTCCTTGTAGTGCTCATGCGCATTGCTTTGCTTCTCTGTCATTAAAAAATGACTAAACCAAGGGTGAATACCAAAACTCGGCACGCATTTCCCCTCGTATTGTTCGTTACACGATTTAGCTACCTTGGACACGGTTTCCCAATCGTCTTGTCGAACTCCCATGATGGTGACATGTCCCGTTTTCAACTGAGCAATCAAGGCCAAATTATCCTTGTCATCGTGTGGGTGACAATGCGCATCGCAAACGAGGTCAAACAGCTTCTCATCAAAGGTTTCGGTGGTTACTGGCACACCATGGTTTAAAAATTTTTCTTCTAAAGAACCGCACATTAATGCGTATCCAGAAAAAACATTCCTGTCGCATAGTTTTTTTTTTTTTTTTTTTTTTTTTTTTTTGAGTTTAAAATGCTTTGACGATCAAAATTTACCTTTCTTTCTTGTTCTCCGTTAACGACATGTTCTCTAAAACTTTTCCCAAAGAAGTTCTAATTAAAATACTTTGTCTATTAGACAAACGCGACCTTAAACCATCAATGTATGTATGCAAAGAGTGGTATGTAACCGCAGTCCCACTCTATTTTCAAAAGATCTGGATCAACACGAAAAATATCAAGACAGATAGCCTTTTTTTAAATGGGCATTTAACTCGAGAGCTTGACCTATACTGTGCATTTGACGAAAAGTCAAGAAAGTCAAAATTTTTACGGCTATTATCCTCCCTTCCAAATTTGAAAAAACTGGATTTTCAACTAACTGAATTTATAAACCATTACGCGTATATTTTACAGCAACTTGATAACATAACACTGTATCCACAAGGTATCGAAGAAATTACTTTTGGTAGAAATTTTCATACATCCCACTGCGCCGCAAATTTTCTTGCTTGTTACAAATTTTGTAAATCGATTAAACGGCTCGAAACTCACGTCAGCAACAATGATCTAATGTTGGCTACATCAAAAAGTTTGATCTATTTTCTGCCTCAGTTCACATGCTTGACTAAACTGACATTCTATAGACAGGATCAAGATGACGTAACCTTGTTTGATATTTTACTTTGTTGCGAAAATATTATCGACCTCAAATACACTAGTCAGGCTTCAATCCCTTACCGAGCAACTAGCCAGGTTAATACTACCAATAACAAGCATTTAAAACGTTTAACAATATCTTCTCCAATCAGTACATCCGCTTATATCAACTATATTCGGATTGTTCAGCCTTTGGACTATCTAAAACTTAGTACACCTCAAGATAGATATGAAATATTCCAGGTGATTGAACCGTTTGCTGAGGTGTTTCAAAAATTCAAAGAGTTCAGATTAAAATTTAAAGGCTGCGAATTATCATCAATTCCACCATCATTAACAGACACATTTTACAATGTGTTATGCAAACTAAAAGGTGATAGGAATCTGCTGTATGATGCTACTTTTAGTGATGATGGGTACGTCTTAGGCGACACTGTCGCTATTTGTGATAATAAGCTTACTTTTTGCTATGTCGTTGGTGAATCCGCTAGCTTATCTTCTAACAATACATACTGTCTAGTAGACAGCGAAAAGATTGTGAAAGCCGTAACAATTAATGGAAGACGGTCTTCTTTTACGGGTATCCTAAACTATGCAAAAACTTTCCCTCGAGCTAAAAATTTTAACATTAATACGCATGATTTCAACTGCAAGATCAATAAAACTGAAGTTATTATAAATTGTTCAAGTCCTTCGCAAGAAATATTCGCTCATCTAAAGGATTGCTCACCTCATGCTGAAACTATTGCGTTTGAGCAAGAAATTAATTTCGTATGCGCGGTTTCTGAGACCACATGGGACCTTACAGCTTTCAAGAGCCTCAAGTCATTCAGTTTCATTGTTGGTAATTGTATCAATATGGTTTTTCACACTTTTTTGGCTTTCAAGTTTATTTATGGCGATTTTCACTGCTACAAGAAAATACTTCTAAAAAAGAATATTCCGGTTGTAGATACCGCTTTTGAAGATACATTTACTGTCATCGTCAAAGTACATAGTCAATTAGTAAAGATAAATTGCAATACAAAAAAGTTAACCACTCAGTTGAACCTGAAATATATTCATTAAAAACATATGTCATACTTAATGTAATAATAAGAATAAAAAAACCACTTTAATCTGTATGACCATCTATTTTTCATGTTTGATTGTTTGTAGCTCTTCATCATTACTATCTTCCCTCCTTTTTCTAAACTTACTGAACTTTTTATATTCTTTACCTTTTTTTTTAAATATGGCAATAATCAGAGAACAGGCGATATGCTGGTTATTCTATAAAGAAATAAATGAAGATAACATATCCGGACTTGCAGAAAACATCAATTTAATGAAGGACGTTGACATCCGATACGAAAAGAGTCCACAACAACCTAGATTAATTCCGTTGATCCCTCTGACTAATATTTATATACCAAGTAAAGAAGAGTTTAATTTTAACTTGAATTTTAATAGTGATATTTGTCTACATAAACATATCTGGGCACTCGGCCACTAAGACGGTATTTTCTATTCAAGTGAAGGCGCAACCACTTGAAGGTTTGTGGCACAGTCCATTGATTTCATGTTTAATAAGAATACCCAGTATATATATTTCTGAGAACTGACTCATTATTGCACATGTATTATTTTCACGATATAGCGATGGATTTTTCTTATTAGCATCGGGTATTATTACCACTAGAATACTTATCTGATTGAGAGTATTTTGAGTATTTTGAGCATTTTAGAATAAGGATCACCCTCTATCTCATGAATACCACTTGTTAAAACAAATCTCATGTTTCAGCGGCTTTACCACACTCATAGCTCTGTACATCAAAACATTTATTAGAAGGCTGTCTATAACTGTTGCTCCTTTGATGCTAAATGTTTATTCCAAGCATGAAAACTATATTTAGAAAACGGGTATCACAAGTTCACAAATATGGCACTCTACATGAAACTCCGCATTATCCCATTGCCAAGCATTGTGTAAAAAAAGAGGGGGGAAATAATTACTAACCCAAGCTACGGTAGCTTTCTTTCTTTCCTTTATTCAACTTCTACATCATGTTCTTTGAAACTTTACCTAACGAAATACTAATTCAAGTATTTGGCTTACTACACAGAAATGATGTTCATTCATTGATGCACGTTTGTAAACAGTGGCATATGGCCGCATTGTTGCTCTATTTTCAAAAGATACGGGTCATAGAAAAACACATCAAAGCGGATAGCCTTTTCATAAATGGAAATTTTACTCAAGAGCTTACTATCTACAGCGGTCATACTACAAAGAATCCTCTTCGTGAAAAAGAATCAGATAAATCAACCTTTTTAAAATTATTGTCATGCCTTCCGAATTTAGAAAAGATTGATATTCAATCTCGTACCTTGCCAAACCAGTACATGTCTTTTTTAAGGGAGCTCATAAACACAGACACATATACACAACGTATTGAAGAGATTTCTTTTTACTCACACTGTCCAGAGGAGCGCGTGTCCCACTTTCTTTCCTGTTACAATTTTCGTAAATCAATCAGACGACTTGAAACTCAAGTAAGCAGTGACCGTTTGATATCAACTACATCAAAAAGCTTAAGTTATTTTCTGCCTCAATTCACGTATTTGACTCAATTGACTTACAGCTGTTCGCAAGAAGATGATGTGACATTGTTTGATATTTTACTTTGCTGTGAAAATATAGAAGACTTCAAATATAGCAGTCGGTACCCGATCCCTTCCCGAGCAAGCAGTCAAGTTGGAACTACACGTAATAAGCACCTGAAACGACTAACAATTTCTTCTCCAATTGGTACATCTGCATACATTAATTATGTTCGAACTATGCAGCCTTTGGATTACTTGAACCTAACTATTGAAAGAGACGGATATGAAATATTCCAGGTGATTGAACCGTTTGCTGATGTGTTTCAAAAATTCAAGGAATTTAAAATCGATTTTAATGGTGGTGAATATTCATCGATTCCGTCGTCATTCACGAGTTCATTTTACAGTGTTTTATGCAAGCTAAAATGTGACAGACGTATACTATATGATGCCACATTTACATCTTCCGAATGTACTTCTGACGACATTCTCGTTGTACGTGATGATGAACTAAGTTTTCGATATATCATGAGGGAATACGATAGCAGCTCTTTTGTGGAGAAGCATGACATTATTGACAGACAACAAATTGTAAAAAGCCTAACATTTACAGAAATTCGATCCTCTCTCTCAGATATTTTGAACTATTCAAAAACGTTTCCTCAACTTGAAACTCTATATATCCAGCTATTGTTTCTACATGTAAAAATCAGTAGATTAGATGTCACTATTAGTTGTTTAAACACTTGGAGCGACCTATTGAATCAAATACACAACTATTTACCTAATGCCGAAACAATTACTTTTGGGCGGAAAAATATATTCAGTGGTAGAAAACTTGATGTAACATGTGATCTTACTGTTTTTGAAAGTCTCAAAGCATTCAATCTTCACGTCGACCCAATAAAAATGAAACGTTATGATTTCATATTCTTCAAGTTCGATTATGGAGATTTTCACTGCTACAAAAGAATGTTTTTGAATAGTGATGATAAAAAAGACATCTCAGTCACTGTCAGCTCATCTTCAAAACTTGGTAGCGTCATTTTTATTGCTACCATCAAGGTTCATAGTCGGTTAGTCGAGATAAATTGTGTCCCGAATAGTCTATATACAATAAAACCTGTAGCGTATTCGTAAAAAAGCAAATTCGATAGATTTGTTAATTTCAATAAAAAAAATGTTATCTAATACCTAGCTAATCCATTTTTTGTGGTGCTTTTTTACGGGCTTCAATCGAGCTTTTTGACTTTCCATCATGAAAGTTCATTTTTAGATTCTAGTGCTAAATACGGTTTATGTAAATATAATTGCATATAGCCACCCGTAAAATTATACTCCAGTATGTCACATACATATAGGTTATGCGAACCCTATCTATTTAACATGAACAACATAATTCTGCATTTTCTGATTCAGAGACTAGCAGTACGAAGCATTTGACTTATTCAGCTTGTGCTGCACAAAAACCACGACTAGAGCCAAAAGGAAGCAGAAAATACATTTTAGTTCTCTGTTCATATCGTATTACTACGATTAGATTCAATTATCGAACTATTGGAATGAACCTCATACAAAACACAAGATAGCCCGCAGCTCGTAACACATAGAAGGACAAACTGAATTTATTTGACAAACACAACACAATGTGTAACGCACCGCAGTTCACAATTAACAAATGATTTAATTTATCTGAACATTTATTACAACGCTTTTTTAATACAACCACATAGTCTATTAAAGCAAAATAGTAACCCGGTCAAAGCGAATACCCTCATATTCCTCTTCGATCAATATCTGGAATGTCAGAGTGTAATAGAAGCTAAATTTGATATTTTAAGAGCTTGTGATACCACACAGAACAGTTTAAAATAATAGAGTATTTCCGTCGATTCTTCTTCAAAACGTATGTCAAATGTATCTTGTGATTTGAAATAAGGTTTATAGCCCATTGGATCGAAATATATTCTAATTTAATAATTTTCGCAGATTAGAACCAGTGGGGGTTTTTAAACAGTAAACCTAAGAGTTCCGGTATAATAGCTCACTAATATGTAGTGTCAACATGTTATTAAATTATTGGAACCGTGTTTAGAGTAACTACGCATGTTTTAAAGGTTAATTAGAATAATATTTTTCTTTTTTACCTATTCAATCGCCTGAGTTTTTCAAATATTCTTTCTATTAATGTATGGCCGTGTAACTTATGTACTCTTAATTGAGTCTGGGCGAAGTCTTGTCTCACCTGCCCCATCGGGTCGTCTTCAGGGGAATAAAATGAATCAATTATTTGGTTCAAAGTACCGCAACCCTTTACTCTTTTATTTTTCTTTCTTCTTCTTCTGCAAAATGTCATTTAAAACTGCTCCTAATGAAATCTTGATTAATATATTTAGCTTACTGGACAAAAAAGATATGTATCCATTGATATACGTATGTAAACAATGGCATATGACCGTAGTCCCACTCTATTTTCAGAATATCCACATCACAAAAATACCTACCGAAAGAGATGTGACTTATATAAATGGATGCTTCACCCAAGAACTCGCTATCAGTAGTGTATATAACGAATATGGATTGGCCATTCTTAGTACACCTGATAAACCAGCCTCTCTATTATTATTTTCGTCTCTCCCAAATTTGAAAAAACTGGATCTTCAAGCTTTCAACAGGCCAGCTCACTACATGTCTATTTTGCAGGATATCACAGATACAAATATGTATTTACGGTACATCGAAGAAATTGGAATTTGCCGGATAAGTGCAGAAGATAGTGTATCACATTTTCTAGCTTGTTACAACTTCCGTAAATCGATTAGACGACTTAGAACTTATGTAAGCAGCAATGCTCTAATGTCAGCTACATCGAAAGATTTGAATTATTTTCTGCCGCAGTTTACGTGCTTGACTCAATTAACAATTACTAATCAATTCGGAGATGACATAACGTTGTTTGATATATTAATTTGCTGTGAAAATATTATAGACCTCAATTATGCTAGCAGGTGCTTGGTTCCTTTCCGAGCAAATAGTCAAGTTGGTTGTACAAGTAACAAGCATTTAAAACGTCTTACAATTTCTTCGCAAATTAACTCACCAGCGTATATCGACTATCTCCGAATCATACCGGCTTTGGAATACTTAAATTTAACTATCGTTCATTACCATGAAGAAGATGCTTTCAAATTATTTTCAGTGATTGAACCATTCGCTGATGAATTTCAAAAATTCAAGGAATTAAGAATCAATTTTAACGGTTACCTATCGTTACCAATTCCACCATCACTTACGAATGTGTTTTACAGTGTTTTATGCAAGCTAAAAGGCGATGGAAATCGGCTATATGATGCTACTCTTTGTACCCCCAGCTGTGCCACAGACAATGTTATCGCTATTCATGATGGTAAATTAAGTTTCAAATACATCTCCGAACATGAAAGGCTTATTGGTTCACACTTTATTGATAATGTAAAGAAAATTGTGAAAGGTCTAACATTTACAGAAGATCAGTTCTCTTACTGGGAAATATTAGACTATGCAAAAGAAATTCCTCGACTTGAAAAACTTTATCTCTCAACGAGACTTTTCGATTTCAGAAGCATTGGATCAGAAATTATCATTAGTTGTTCTAACCCTTGGGAGGCTTTATTGGATCAATTTCACGCTTATTCACCTAAAGCAGAAACCATCACTTTTGATCGAAATGATATTTTTTGTACCCGATCAACACGCACACTCACATGGGACCTTACAGCCTATACAAGCCTCAAAGTATTTAATTTTCATGTTAATCCTGTAAAAGCAATAGATTACGATTTTGTGTTCTTCAAATTCGAATATGACGACTTTCATTGCTACAAAAGGATTGTGTTTCATAATGATAAGAAGAAGAATATCCCAGTCACCATCAGCTCGTCCCTAGAACGTACCAACTATATCCGTAATGTCACCATCAAGCTTCATAGTCGATCAGTCAAAATAAATTGTGCGCCGAATAGTTTATTCACATTAGAATCTGTAGCATATTCGTAAACAAAAGGATCGTTTCGATTTACCGAATATAATCTTTTTAAATCTTCCTCTTATACAGCAGTAAATTTGATAAGTACTTGTATCTGTAAGCCTTAATTCCACATCTAAACTTTACACTCATTACTATCATGTATCATATCTTATCAACCTTTTCTCAATAAAGTAGAATGCAAAAGCTACAGAATTTGATTATTCTAATATTAGAAGTTATCTCACAAGATATCAAACACTGCGTTCTCTCTGGATTGGACAGCGAAATTAACTTTTTTTCAAAGGCAAGACATTATATTTTGAACAAAATTTAACTTATACTCGTTTCTGTGTGTCCAAATTCGAATTTTTGGCTGTCTAATTCGTCTCATTCTAAAACTAATAAATTGTGATGGTGAATCCCTTGTACTCTAGTTCCTATAAAATTATAGACAAATTTAACAGCTTTGCATAAACTTTCGGTTTTGAATGTGTCTCTCGCAAAAGATAGAAATCATGATTTTCACAGTTACAGCATTTGTCCGACCTATTTTAAATTTAGGAATCGGACTTGGGAATCACTCTTTTGTGCACACATGTAAAATACCAAATTCTGAAAAGTCAATTAAACTTTTACTTTTCTTTCACCCTCCACTATGTCTGACGCAAAGTATTTTCAAAGAGGTAAATAATGGCAAAGGATAAATTGAGAAAATTATTAAAGTTAGAGTAGGTAAAATCCAGGAACTTCGTGCCGAGTTAACCTCGGAAAAACGAGATCAAAAGCATCAGCGCAAAAAGACAGTGATGAAGAAAATTGTAGCCAACATGACAATGGGAAACGACATGTCTCCACTTTTCCCTGATATTCTTAACGTGATGCAAGTTCCTGTCCTGGAAATTAAAAAGATGGTCTACTTATACATCATCAACTATGCCAGAACAAAACCTGACATGGCTGTTATGGCCATCTCCATGTTTATCAAAGTAAAAACAAAATAATCCTCCCCCCAACTTCCCATACACCCCACATCCTAACAACTCTAATACTAGGACGTTGAAGACCCCAACCCTTTAATTAGAGCTTTAGCTATTCGAACAATGGGTTATATTCAAGTAGAAAAAATTGTTGATGTCTTGGTAGACCCTCTTCGACACAGTTTAAGGGATAGAGATCCCTATGTTCGTAAAACTGCGGCTACATGTGTTGCAAAATTGTACATGTATGATAGAGTCTTGGTAGAAAGTGAACATTTTGTTGATATGCTGAGAGATCTCTTGGCTGATCCTAACCCAACCGTAAGTATTGGATGAACAAGCAAATTATTTCTAATAACATCCCGCTTAGGTCGTTGCAAATGCTGTAGCTGCTTTAACAGAAATTTCTGAAAGATCCGATAGTATTCAATTGAGATTAAATCATTCAATTGCAAGCAAACTTGTAGCTGCTTTAGGTGAATGTTCAGAGTATGTAAACTGAATGTATTTTATGTAGGTATATATTAACACAATAGCTTTATAGATGGGGTCAAACATATATATTGGAAGCTCTCATGTACTACGTACCCCAAGAATCAGGCGACGCAGAAATGCTTGCCGAACGTATCTCTCCTCGATTACAGCATGCTAATTCAGCAGTCGTTTTAACAGCAACAAAAGTCATGATGTATCTTATGAACTATATGGCTAATGAAGACGAAATCAACCAATTGTGCAAAAAGTTGGGTCCTCCTTTAGTCACTCTATTAGCCTCGGGTTATGAAGTGCAATACGTAGCTTTACGTAATATTCAACTGATTATTCAACGAAGACCCGAGATTTTGAAAAATGACATCAAAGTATTTTTCTGCAAGTACGATGATCCCATCTGTGTCAAGTTGGGCAAGCTGGAAATTATCTTTAGATTAGCCAATGATAGAAACGTAGATTTAGTATTGAACGAATTGAAAGAGTAGGCTAATTATATTTAAAGAGGAAAAAAAAAAAGCGGATCCTGATTCCGTTTCCTTTTGATAGATATGCTGCCGAAGTGGACGTAGATTTTGTTAGAAAGGCTGTTAGAGCCATTGGTAGATTAGCTGTCAAACTTGAATCAGCCGCAGACCGATGTATCGCCGCATTATTAGAACTCATTCAAACCAAGGTGAATTATGTTGTTCAAGAGGCCATCATTGTGATTCGAGATATCTTCAGAAAATACCCCAATCAATACGAAAGTATTATTTCAACCCTCTGCGAAAACTTGGATGATTTGGATGAACCTGAGGCAAAAGCATCCATGATTTGGATTATTGGACAATACGCGGATAGAATTGAAAATGCCGATCAGTTATTGGACGACTTTTTATACACATTTTTGGAAGAACCTTATGAAGTCCAGTTGGCTTTATTAACAGCCACCGTCAAGTTATTTGTGCAAAGACCTACTGTTGGTCAAGAGTTAGTACCCAAGGTATTGAAATGGGCCACAGAAGAAGTTGATAACCCGGATTTACGTGATCGTGGCTATATCTACTGGCGTTTACTTTCGACAGATCCAGCAGCAGCTAAAGCAGTAGTTTTATCTGATAAACCCGCCATCACAACTGAAAGCGACAACTTGGATCCCAATTTCTTGGATGAATTGTTACTTCATGTGGGTTCTTTAGCCTCCATTTACCACAAAAGCCCTACTGCTTTTATCAATCGTTACAAACCTCGTTATTTGTTACCATCTCCTGCTCTTAAAGAGAGAAACGGAAATTTAAACACATATCAAAAACCTCAAGAACAATACCAAAAGCAACAACAAGACCAATACCAACAACAGCAACAGCAACACGAACAACAGCAACAACAACAACAGCAACAACAACAACAGCAGCAGCAAGAGCCATCTGCTCAATTTAACGACTGGAGTTACAATGCTGCCACGAGTAATAATAGAGTTGTACCTACTCAAACTAATAATCCATATTCCACTGATTTGCTGCAATAAATTCTTTATCTGTTATATCTGACCAGACGTTTCCAATAAAACAATTTTACAATATTGCTAAACATATAAAAAGTCCTATATGCATCGCTACATTGTATTAATAATTCACACATCTATGTAACTACCTACTCGACTCCAATAAACAATGACCCCCTTCAGACTTTCCCTGTGGATATAAAAACAAATTCGCTAATATTGGTTCTTCAGTAAGTATATCATATTGGGTTTTTTTCTACAGACTAGATGCGACATCGTGTTGAAAAAGATCATCTAAAAATGCATTCGAATATAAAAAAAGGTTTGAGTACAAAAATCAAGATGTTTATTAGAGAGTAAAAATATCCGTTAGATTCTTTTAGGTTGTAATGTGTAGATATGTAAATGTGAGATTCGCGGATAAATAATAATAGTAGTAAAAAGGTAAAATAGATATATAATAGTTGGTGTGTGTGTTTCATTTCGCTCGCCTCGTTTGTTGTTTATATGCAAGGAGTTTTTTTTTTTGGAGTTTTGTTTACCACTTGGTACGTTCCCAACGGTGATCGTATTTTTGATTTAAAGCAATCAATTTAACTTGCTCGCCATCCTTGATGTCTTGCCATGGGTGAGGGTTTCCTTTGTGGTTCCAGGCTACATCAGGAGCTCTACAGGCACGAGCACCAAACCAGACAGCACCAGAGAGGGCGACACCCAAAATACCGACGATAGGATAAACTTCGGGTTTCTTGGAAGCTTTGAGGAAACTAGAGAGAGCAGTCATATTGTTGTTATTGTTTTGATATTTATTGAAAGTAATAATGATCTTCTATAAAAAAAAACAATTACTGTTGTTGTATTTATATGATAATTTTTCAGGGCAAAGTCAAAAAAATCACACCACAAAAATAAAAAGTGTCATGTTCCTATGACTTATTTTCTGCCTGGAAAAATTTCATTTCTTATCGAACGATTTTTTTTTGGTGGCCTGACAATTTCTTTTCTTTCCCTTCATTGTCTCGGCCTTGTACCACATCGAAAGTAAAATGATTGGTTGATGTCAGTCTACCCATATTTTTATGGGGAACTAAAAAAATCCTGGTAATTATTGATAAAAGTAAGAAACTCATCACAGATAATATGTTGTATAGACTTTTGTTTAACATGCCATCCTTGGAAATTGTTGATACATTCCGTAACTGAGTTTGTGCTACTTTGTACTCTAAATGGCCAGGTGTTAGATTGAGGCGCTATAAAGTTAGATCCGATGCATCATAATTTTACATGTCTTAATAATATATCATTGCATGCATTAAGAGCGCTACAATACGCATAAATAATACGTCCGCATACTGTTCCTGGGATTACCTTGTTTAAGTTAAGAAAAAAGTACCTCCGCTGTCATTTTTATAATGCATAGCCACCGCCACCATGGCTGACTTGCAAAATGACTTCCGTACCTAACTTTAGCGAAAAAATATCGCATCATTTATCAACCACCGACTTATATGCCGTTCGTCTGTGTCAACCAATAAAATGCTACACCTGTCTGTGCTTTATATTATCACAATTCTGACTCGATCCATTTTTTCGTACGATATTAGAAAGCTGTTTGCTATATTCAATTTGTCTGTTAAAATTTTAGTAGCACTACCAATTCCTGTTGTTCATACAGACGTCCGTTGCCACAAAATTCTAGCAAGGCTAAACGAAACACTAAAATGCCCACGTTTACTTTCTTAAAAACCAGAATTATGACATCATGCTACCTTTCTAGATTTTAACTCATAAACTCTATTTTTATTTTGTCGCAGTGTAACTGAACTGGCACACGGTCTATCTTTAACACATGCAATTGATTGCAAATAATCTGGGTTAATTTATGTGTGAAAAAAACAGACAACATATTTCTCTAATATAAATTAAAGTTACTTCTGCCACGCACACGATGCAGTCAAACCTATGGCATTAGGCGTTTTCATAAAAATAAGTAGCGGAAAGGCTGGGATAACATGGCTGGGGGTAACTCAGACCTTTGGATATTTATTCTTTAGCAGCCAATACACATATACTTAACTAAAACACTGTTATTCAATATACCAGTCAATACGTTTTGAATCCAAAGACGGCGTTGTTGCTGTCCCATTTATTTAAAACTTTGGCATGAATCTATGGACATATTCAGTAGGTGGTCAATAAAATTCATGGGGATAGACCACAGTTGTCAAACTTAAATAATATATATGGCAATTGGGTAATTTTCACTATAAAAGCTTTACGAGCAATGTTGTTTGAAAGGGCTAATCATATGCTTTTCTTTCTATTAACTATTTGAATTTCGTAAAAAGCTAAATATTCGACACTTGAAAACAGTTATGTCTCCTCATTTGAACAATTATTGCTAAAATATTGTATATACTTTGAAAATGAAATAACAACTCTAACTAAGTGAATCCCTACAATTTGCAGTATCAGGATGACGATTTGATTAATTTATTATATTAATAAAAAAAAAATTATCAAAAACAATAAAAAAAGAAAATACATGCATTATTGCATATGTCTGTGTCATTGCCTTTTATTTATTGTGAATGTTTGTCATGTTGAAATTGTATCATTCTAAAATTAAGAAGCATTCTTCAAGTCTAAAGATGATTCTGCTTGACCACAAGTTATACGTCAGGACAACCCAGGTCCTCCTCGGAGAAGAGGCAATGGACAAAGTCACTTATAAAAGAAATCAGGCTAGCTTCTCTTCCTCCTCCAAGCCCTAAAAAAAAGAGACGTTGTCACACAAGTTGAACAAATAGAGCATGACGGTATGAATGTGCTCGATTCAGATATTTCTTTGGCAACGAGAGGTTTGCTTCTAATCCCAATGACCTCACACCCAGGAAAAGAACAATCATCTCTGCTAGCCTTTCCTCAATTCTCGATCCGACTGACAAATCCTTTGGCTCCCAAAGGTCCATATTCACCGCAAAGCAACGGGAGTATGTAAATGCGTATTTTGATAAAAGGCTTGTAATCAAAAACCATGTACTTGATGATGAGATTCCCAATACAATCAGGATTGTTCAGAATATACTGAACCTATCAGCTGACTATGAATGTGCCATTGAATACGTAAACAAATTGAAGCAAAAGTACAGCAAGTCAGGCAGGCTCAAAGCAGCAAATCATAAAATCTTTAAGCATATTCGCAATATAATGGATAATTACAGTCATTTGCTTCACCATAATGAAAAGAAGACAATCCGAGAAAACGAGTATTTGTGCTTGATTTGGTCTTATATACTTGAACAGCTTTTCCCACCAAAAGGAATAGTTCATGTTGTTGCTGGCGAGTCCGATAATGCATATTCTACTGAAAGCAAAAAGAAGAAATACCCTGAAGCAAAGTCAGTACATGGGTTTAAGATTGATATAAGGCTTATTGTAGAAGTTGAAGAAGAAGAGAATGACGTTGCTGTTGGTGAATGCACCAAGAATAATGACAACAACAAAGCAATCAACGACAACGGAAAGCTGCTTAGAAAGTGCAAAGATACCATCGATGGATTAGTTTACAATTTGAGAAACGTGGATGATGAATTCATGTCGTATATGATTCAAATAACTGCTTCCTCCTGTTTGCTCTCGACGATGCATCTCACCGTAAATGGCTTATACGTTTCAAAGCATAGACATACATTCAATATACCTCATAGCTTTGATGATCTCTCAAGCCTATCAGACACGTTATCCCAACTGTTGACAATAAAAAGAGAGCTTCAATTAGTTACAGACAAAATAATCAAAGAAAGGAAGAAGACACGCACCGTAGAAGACTTTTTTGATTGACACAAAATGTCTATTATCAATGATCGACGTATGTTTTTGCTGTACCTGGTACAATCATCTTCGAGATCTAGTCTTTTACAATGCCAAATTCAATACTTTGGTCCTCCCCCTCCAACACGCCATTGAGGCATGGTATATATAAGCCAAAAATCATAGGATGTCTACTTGCTGTTTCCTTGCTATAAATATTATAATATTGGACATTGACAAGCTTAATTCGTCTATACTTGTTAGTAGCACCTTCTTCAAACTGTTCTTGCTCTGGTTGCTCTGGTGTCTCTGGTTTCTCTGTTGATGTACTTGTCTCATTGGTAAATATTGGTGTTGAATGGAGAAAGCCAAAGCATCGGTGTGACACTGTTAATACTTGGTATCGAGGAGGATTGTACCAGGTACAGCAAAACCAGAAGTCGATCATTGATAATAGGCATTTTGTGTCGATTAAATGAGTCTTCTGCTGTGTGTGTCTTCTTCATTTCTTTAATTACTTTTTCTGCAACTAATTGAAGCTCTCTTTTCATTGTCAACAGTTGGGATAACGTGTCTGATAGGCTTGAGAGATCATCAAAGCTATGAGGTATATTGAATGTATGTCTATGCTTTGAAACGTATAAGCCATTTACGGTGAGATGCATCGTCGAGAGCAAACAGGAGGAAGCAGTTATTTGAATCATATACGACATGAATTCATCATCCACGTTTCTCAAATTGTAAACTAATCCATCGATGGTATCTTTGCACTTTCTAAGCAGCTTTCCGTTGTCGTTGATTGCTTTGTTGTTGTCATTATTCTTGGTGCATTCACCAACAGCAACGTCATTCTCTTCTTCTTCAACTTCTACAATAAGCCTTATATCAATCTTAAACCCATGTACTGACTTTGCTTCAGGGTATTTCTTCTTTTTGCTTTCAGTAGAATATGCATTATCGGACTCGCCAGCAACAACATGAACTATTCCTTTTGGTGGGAAAAGCTGTTCAAGTATATAAGACCAAATCAAGCACAAATACTCGTTTTCTCGGATTGTCTTCTTTTCATTATGGTGAAGCAAATGACTGTAATTATCCATTATATTGCGAATATGCTTAAAGATTTTATGATTTGCTGCTTTGAGCCTGCCTGACTTGCTGTACTTTTGCTTCAATTTGTTTACGTATTCAATGGCACATTCATAGTCAGCTGATAGGTTCAGTATATTCTGGACAATCCTGATTGTATTGGGAATCTCATCATCAAGTACATGGTTTTTGATTACAAGCCTTTTATCAAAATACGCATTTACATACACCCGTTACTTTGCGGTGAATATGGACCTTTGGGAGCCAAAGGATTTGTCAGTCGGATCGAGAATTGAGGAAAGGCCAGCAGAGATGATTGTTTTTTTCCTGGGTGTGAGGTCATTGGGATTAGAAGCAAACCTCTCGTTGCCAAAGAAATATCTGAATCAAGCACATTCATACCGTCATGCTCTATTTGTTCAACTTGTGTGACAACGTCTCTTTTTTTAGGGCTTGGAGGAGGAGGAGGAGAAGCTAGTCTGATTTCTTTTATAAGTAGCTCTGCCCATTGCCTCTTTTTCGAGGAGGACCTGGGTCTTCCGGACGTATAACTTGTGGTCAAGCGGAATCATCTTTAGGACTGAAGAGTACTTCTCCCAAAATATAGAAATTACAGGACTTTTCTTTTTCAAGAGGCTCATCATTGTGGTTATCTGATTCTTAACTTTAGGTAGATGAATCAAAGCTGCTTGGAGAAGCTCTAAATCTCTCACAATCTTCAGTGCTGCTTGCTTCATATTAATAGCCGGTACTTCCTCCACAAGTTTTAAAAAATAATCAATGACGTTCCAGTTGTAGATAACCTGGTTCACCCGGCATGCTATATAATTTATGTTAGAGCGTGTGCCATTTCTTTTTTCTGTGCTTTGAGCCTTACCAGATAAAACAATCTTTTCTTGGATACTCTTCTAAGCAGTATCTTTACTGATGTCACCCATAATTGCGTGTTTAACAAACTTGAATGAGAAAGGCAAAGATGGGAAGAATAAAAAAAATTATATATTTTTGATCATCCGCCTTGTGCTAGCGACGGCCCACTCGATTTTCTGCCCCAAAGCTTACAGCTGGTATCGGGGAGGTCTTTGTTATATAGAATATATTATCTTTAGCCTTGACAGTGAGAAATTGAGGTGTATCTTTTTTTAAAAAAGAAGTAATATTTTAGCTTTTTTTTTTTTTTTTTTTTTTTTTTTTTTTTTTTTTTAAAAAAAAAAAAAAGACAAAAGTCGTCATTAACTAACCTTTTCACATTATTTATTGCTTCTGTTTAAAAAGATAGTATTATACAGGAGCATGTATAAATAAGAATGATACAAAAAAATGAAGAGAAGAAGGAAAGGAAAAAGTGTTTGAACGGGTTTTATTTTTAGACTGATTAAAAATCGTGTGAACGAGTTAAACAAGAGCAGGTTTATGTCAGGATGATTTAATTGATTATTTAATCAAAAAATTGTGTGAACTAGACTTATATATACAAGAGCTGGCTTATGTCAGGATGATTTCATTGTTTATCAAATGAGCCATAACGTTTCAGCCTTTTTATATAATAGAAACATCTGCAGACACCCCCAATATTATATAGAGGCAATTTAATACTTGCTAAATACCCATCAGCATTTCAGTAACAGCATGTACCATCAGTGAAGCATGATTTGGATGTCAACTGAAGTAAACGTTTTTCTTAGTTGTGAAAAAAAAATCATGTGATTTAAGAAAAATTTAAAAAGACATTCTCGAGCGAAAGATGTTATTCGAGATGGCTAACACACATGTCATATCTTGAAAAAGAATAGTAAAGGAGATTCCTCAATTAACTACAATTATTCTTTTGGATATCATCATTTAAGTACTACTAAAATCAAGTGAAAAGTCTCTTGTCTGATTGGGTTTAATTATTTCCAAAACTATGTGGGCAATAAACGTATCGTATAAATTCAAATATGACGGCCTATTTACTTAGCAATTCCTTTGAACTCTAAACTTGATGATTAACAGACCCATAAAAAGAAAACGTCGTTATTTTAAGGACCCTTTCATTTTATATCTTACAAAAAAAAAACAGATGTTTCTGTGTCGTTCTAACTCGGATTTACTGTCAGCGGCTTGAAAAGAAATCGAATTTGTTGGTTTCTCTGCTACATTTAACCACGTAATGCAATTAGTATCAATATCATTTCAGGGGTCTTTTGTAATATAATACCCTTAATTTTGGTTTAGTTACAGTTTAGAGTCGAGGAATCCTGGACTAAAAAATAAGTAAACTATACATTATACTGACAAAAAAATGCGACTAGTATCTACCTTTTTGATTACAGTTGGTACCTTCAGTCAAATTCACTGTAAAGGTAAACAAGTCCTTATTGCCAAACTACAATTTAATGCTCAAGAGTCAACATGATTTAGGGGTATATCTGTCAATAACATAACCCATCCCTTTTCATGCTAGCTTCTTTTAACAAGAAAGGCAATACGGGTCCTATTTTTTTTTTTTTGCAGATCCAAACAAGACGGACATTCAAGTTTAAATATGACGGGTGTCTTAGTAAGACTCCTGTGGCAATGAGTTTTAGGACTCTGATGGGCTAAATGGAGAAGCCAATGAATAGTTAATACCATTTTTATTTTTGTACATATGCAATGTACTCCTAGAAGTTATTCATGTGCCAATATTTTTTCTTTTTTTCTATAAAAGCCTTTTGTTTAAACTCTTAATAAACTTTACATTTAAAAAAAAAAAAATATGATCCACAAATACGCAATTTTTGTAGTACTAGTCATTGGCTTCTTTTGGTTGACAGAAGGGTCCCCACTTCCAGAAGGTGATGGTGGCGTTGTTAGGGGAGAGTTTCACTACGATAAAAAGATTGTGTCGCTCCAACAAGAAAAAGCAAATCCTCATAACGAACAGCTCTCTAAAAGAAGGATACGCAAACACTACAATTCTATCATAAATTAGAACACATTTAAGACCCATGTGTTGAAATATCTACAAGACTTTTCAATGTGCCCATTTGGTCCTTTCCTTTTATCGTTTCGTAAATAGTCATTTTAAAATCCATCAATTTCTGTCATTAAATATAATCATATCATCATTTCATAATTATATCTCAGTGTACATGTGAGCAATTGGGTTTTTGCCAAGATAAAATTGAAGGAGAATTTCCTTTTGGACATCAACGGCTTTTTTTTTTGTCATCTGGTGTTGAACATGCCCGTTTAAATTTGTAATGGCGCCCCCTTCTTTTTTTTTTTTTTTTTTTTTTTTTTTTTTTTTGACCTCTAGCATCGATTTAGACATTTCCAGTCTGCTCCTGAACAAGGAGGGTCTCTTCATATTTGTAACAATTACCTAGTCATATGCACCCATGACATATATATTATTTGCATAATTTACTGGGGATTTATTTAAATAAAAACGATATTGCTGTAATCTCAGTTAAAAGTTGACAATATATCTTGCCTAAAAAACAATGATTGATTAGTACAACTAGTAAATATATGTGAAGTGGATGCATACTTGTTCAATTTAACAACTATCTCAGCAGGAATCTTGTAATCAATTAAAGCAACAAATGACATTACTGTTACGGCCTCTTTCTTGATCTTGGCGATATTCTATGTTCAGGTATTAGTACAAAAGATGATTGGTTGAGGTTCGAATGTGAAATATCGTATAACGTACCATTTGGTTAATATTATGTAAATTGAGATTATGTTTAGAATATTTATCACAGAGTTTAGAGTACGATTCCATTACTATGATCAATACATAATCAATGTGCTTGCGGATACTGTATGGAGTACTATTATTAAATCTTGCTGTAGCTATTTGAATATCACTAAAGTCGCTACTCTCGGGGAATATATTTGTTGATTTGATAAGCTACAAATATCGTAAGTATTTCGCAAATTATAGACAATTAGTATTTATGTTATAATTTTACCTCGACCACTTGTTCATATTCGTGTCTTTCATAATGGAGAGTTGCTTTAAGAATTTTAAGAAGAGTGTGATTCACGATCAACACATCCGAGTCACAACTGTTATTTGCTCCGCTTTCATAACTCTGCAAAGTCGAAACACAGAAATCAATTAATTGATGGTCTACTTGGTGGCCTTCTATTTTTCCTAATTTGATGCACATGTTCAACGTGTGGTCTAATTGGAAGTTTAAAACTTGTAAGGCTTCTGTGTAGTTTCCACTGGATACATAAACATTGACTGCATCGGTATATTTTCCTCTGCGTTGAAACTTTTGAGCAATAGGTGACAGGATGGTGTTTCTATAAAGTTCGCTCTCGTACATGGGGATACCGAATAGTGGTTTATATGGAGCAATCGATCCCTGTTGTAATGGCGCATAATTTTTATCGACAGATCTAATTATGCTCTTGTAATCAGTACGGCCTGCGATGTAATTGGCAATATATTCGCGGCAGATAGTCGTCATATCCTCGTTTGAGTAAAGAGTGATAAGGTATAAATATTGGAGTGCAAACTCGGCTTGATCAGATACGAATAGACGCACGTATTGATTAATAATACGAGCAAAGTTTAAACTAACATTGCCATCAGGTTCCGTAACCACTGATAAAGTAATAGTCAGCATACAAATGTTTTAGTTTGTGATTTGCACTTACATAAATCAACGGTGTAGCCCAGAGGATCACTTGGTATACGAATCAAACCATAATAGGCGAAACTGATAGCAAAGTGTACAGCCTCTAATCTGAACTCTTCCAACTTGTGTAGATAATCAATGGCCTAAAAGCAAAAATACCAAGTTTTAGTACATATACATTTTTTTTTTCATCGAATATTTCTATACCCTTTCAAATTGCAGAGACAATAAAAGAACCTTAAAGTAAAACCAAGGGTTTTTACCGTTGGGATCGAAATGCGTAGATCCATATGCTGTAATTTTCTTTTGGAAATCAGATAGTCTGTATCTCTTCTCATGCACACTTTCACGGACTAAAGAAAGCTCCAACCACAAGTAATCCTCCGCTGTTCTAATGACAGCAGGAATATTTGCCTTCTCTACTTCGCATCGACCAATAACCTTATACAAAAGGATCTTGTAAGGATCATATCTGACATTTCCATACACCATTTCCTGGTACTTTTCGAGTAATTTTTTGCTGGTTTCGTCTGATACGCTATTTATAAAAAGTGTGTTAAGTTTTAACTCGCGTAGAAAAAAAAGAGGGGGGGGGGAACACTCACGTCTTATCCGAAGATTTCAAATATTCTTTTAAAGCAGGAGGAAATTCAGGTGATTCGTGAAACGAGTTTACATGCTTTTCAACAAACCCCAGAGCCAAATCTGAATGTCCACTTCGAATCAAGAGATAAGTAAATAACCATATAGGATATTCTTGGTCAACTTCGAACATTGGATCTACCCAACTTGCGTTCTTCATAAAGATCAATTTCATAAATGAATAGATACGATGCATCAACGATGGGCAACCACCAACTTTTGCTTCTGAAGCATTGTTGTTTAACGTATCGTTCATAAATGTTTGATATCTATAGTAACATAATTTTAGTTAACTAAACTGACAGCGTGTAAAAAAAAATAGCTTACTCTGTTTCCAACCAACGTTTCGATGAAGCAATCCAAACACGGCAATCATGGACAAATTCACCACCCACGCGATGGTTATTTCCCTTTGATTCATTAGCAATAGATGATACGATACTCCAAGAATCTGCCCGAGATCTTTCCTGTGATTTATCGCATTGGGTTGAAGTGGATAAAGTTTTACACTTATTGATGATTGGGAATTTTTCAGACAATAAGCGGCTGTCATTTAATTGCTTGATTATTTTTGCATAGCTGATGGTTTTATTATTCATATCCTGGATTTTCTGAGAGGGAAAATACATGTATTTAACGCTACGCTGAAAAGCATTTTACAAATAAATAAAAATACCTTATCCTTTACTCCTGTCGTAAATCCAAACTTTTTATCTTCTTCCTCATAATCCCACTCCTCTAAAATTTGACGTTTTTCATATTTCCAATCAGAATGCAAGTTGTCATCTAATCGATCTAAAAGATTCGTCCTGGTCTACAAAAAAAAAAAAAAAAAAAAAAAAAAAAAATAGGCTCGACATTTAATTGATAAAATAAGTCTATAGGATACAAAATACTCACGATACTATTGGATTCTTCTACCGTGGCAATGACAATGTTTTCATTCACCTGCTTTAAATAAGACTATAGTACAGTTTTAGACAACTTCTTCAAACTTGGTTTATGTCTATTGTGGTATACCTCAACATCGTTGGTTGGTACTTTTTTTTTTGGTTGAAATGTAACTCGAGTGTCAATGGAGTTCAATTTCTCGATCGTTCCCTGTGTGTTTGTACCACTTTGTGCTAAAAAATAATGCCTAAAGTGAGGGTTCAAAGTGAGAAACTTGCTCCATAATCAAAATATCTCCAACACTCACGCAGTGGCGTCAAGACCTTGTCCAGTATTGAATTTTGATTTTAATAAAAAGGATTCAGAGGCAATTTGCCCCAACTCTCGTTGTAATTTAGAACTATCATTGTTTTCATTAGAATCGACAAGTGATTTCGAGTCTTGCAGAAGCTTTTCGAACAACTTTGAAGACATTTTGTGCAGAAAATAAAAAAAAGAAAAAGAAACTGAACACCTGTAACAAACGCCAGTCTTTTTTTCGCGACGTTAAATCCCCCACAAAGCGCGGGGCAGTCACTATTACCGCTCTGCATACTTGACCTTTCCCAATGTGTTCTTAAATCATGGAGTTTAATACAGGTCTTTTATTTTAATCTTCCAACGCTTCAAACAAAGTAATCGAATAAAAGAACTAGCTATTTAATGGTTTATTTGAAATAAATAGTTATACATAACGAAGAAAAAAGCCCTCTACTTTTGCCAAGTAAAAACCACAAGGATTTTCCCCTATTTACAAAAGTAAAGGGCAAAAATAATAGAAGTTCGGTTGGAACAGCACCAGTCCACTTGCTTCTGCCAAGCGCGAAGGTATATTGTAAAGATGTTCTTTTGACTGATTTTTGGGTCAAAGGAAGGACAGGGCAAACCAAGAATGACGGAGTAAGCGCCAGAAAAGGCCATAGGTGCTGCGGAGAGTGTATCTCTCCCATGAGTGGCTTGATTTAAAGCAGCTGATGGACAATGTGGATTGCGACATATGAAAGAGCCATTTACAGTCTTGATCTTGTCTTGCCCTTGCTTTTTCTTGATTCTTTTGTACGAATGCTGGAGTTTTTTGAAAGCAAAAGATACATGTTTGTGATGTGTTATGTTCGTTAGCGATACAAACAGCTGTATATCTTGAATGCTGTTTTGGTTTCCACAAACCCACCATAGCAGCTGAATCCTTTTAATCTTGAACCTACACCGTATCCTCTATCACCAACAAACATGATCTTTTTCATGCTTATGATGGGTGACACATGATATCTTTCTTTTTGACAAAGCCGATGGGCCAACTTTTGCCTCTGGAGCTCCTTTGTTCTTTTTTTTTTTTAGAAAATTATAAAGATTGCGGAGTGTATCTATGTTTGGAAACATGATTTGCTTCTATTCGCTCACTTCGTTTGCTGGAAAGACGTTTTTCTTATTGATTCTTTCGGATGTGATAGTAAGATAATTCTAGCTTTCAAGTGATTTTGCTGTTTCCACCTGCGATATTACGGCTGCGACTAGTCTTTGCTATACGGTGAAGACCACCAGGTTGGGCTCCCAGGTTTTGGCTGGGATTGCTATAAGTCATATAATTCCTATTAGTGTCTCAAATATGTACATAAGTCATTACCAACTAACCTTTTAACAAAAAAAAATAAGTATGTATGAAAGAAAGATTGGTTCATCTTTTGGTGGGAAGGAACAAGGGAAAAAAAGTATGAGAATGGATTTTATATGTAGATTGATAAATAAGCGCTGGATTATGTCAGGATGATTTAATCATCAAACCTCCATCACCGTTCATACCCAAGAATGCATTTTTTGTCAACGTCTTATTTCTCTTCATGAATGCATGTCACTATATAGTGAATTGTGCAGCTAGTTAGAAGAACAAACCTGCTAAAAGGTAGGTATATTCAATGCCATTGTTTAAGCTTATATTTGTTCTGGTAATGAGTCTTTTTTATTATTATTATGTTGGTACATGTACGCTTTAACTTTATGCCTGTTTTACGGCTTCAGAATTTTAAGATCTTTCGGGCAACGTTTGATGAAAGGCCTTAGTCCTTTTTCTTATTCTTGGGGTCTGGATGGAGAAAGTCCCATACTTTTTTATTCTTCATATTACTACATTTGAAATGACCTCAGCCAATCAATTCTAGTTATTTTTATTTTTCAGCAAAATAAAAAAAAAGTCGTGTGTGAAGAACATCTGCGTTTACAACTTTTTTAATTTAACGCGTTATACTTTCCCTTTCCCCAAACCAGATGCGCTCTTTAAGAAAAGATCAAATGTCAAAGTGGTTTGGATTAAGGTAAATTTTGGTGTCTTAAGTTTTCTCCCTGTGTTTCTTTGACCTCTCATTGTTGTGTACTTCTTGAACAATCAGATTGGGGAATAGAAGTGCAGGTACGGTTTACTTGTGTAGGGGAGCTATTCCAAACACTGGCTCTATAGGTAAGAATAACACGTAACTTTGTTGAAAGCTAGCTCACCATTTTAATTCAACTCAAATTGGGATTTAAAAGAAAAGAAGTTCCCGGATACATTCGTTCGTACCCATGAAATTTGCTTCAACAAGGGATGTTATCTATTTGATCCTATCGCTGATGCCAACAAAATTGCTTGTCCCGAATGCGGCGCTTCGAAACAGTTCAAATCTGTGGTCAGGATGGTTGATATTGGCGATCATGTTAGTCGTATGCTTGCATATGATGAGTTTCGTGGTGAAGTTGAGCAATACCGGGAAGTAATTGAAGCAAGAACAGACCAAGATCCTTACACAGACTTCTTCTCTGGTTCCACCTACCAAGAGCTTCGTTCCAGAGGTCTATTTTCTGGTAAGCATGATATTGCAATTGTTCTTTGTGTTGACGGGTTTACGTCGCATGTATCAAACGAAAGTATGGTTATGATCCATGCAATCATTCCAAGTATTGATCCCTCGATCAGGTAATATGTTATCTCTATGCGCATTTTATAACTGGTTTTGACCTTTCACAACTAATAGATATACGGATGATTACACATTCCAGA